CTGTATGAGGAATTATTGAACTAGTCTCTTAGCCAGGAGAGAGTGAAGTCTTTGGCGTAATAACAGATTTGGGGTGGGGAACTTGTAACTGTTGGATTTCCTGAATCTTCTTTTGGAGTTACTTCAACAGAATGCATGGCCTCAGGTAGAGAATATAATCTCACTCAGGTGTTATTTTGCAGTATAATGGTCATATAAGTTCATGCCACCGACCAAAGTGACAGAAAGGCCTCCATGGCATGAGAGAGGCAAGTTTAGGATAGCAATATTAGAGACTCTTGAACCCAGCTAGAACAAGTACCGGTAACTCTCCATTGTCAAGAAGATCCATTGGAGTTAGGATAGCCACTTTCCAGATATGTATGACTTCAGTCCCTGTTGGTCCCACTCTGCACGGCCAGTGGTCAGGGATGCTGGGAGTTGTAGTCCAAAGCATCTGGTGGTTGCCATGTTGGATACCCTGGATTAGAGGATTGTGTGGCCTTCTTTGAGATCTCAGTTCCATAATGAGAGAATCTCTCTTGCTAAGCACACCCATGTTGATGCCTTTGGTTCAGACTTGGTTATCTCTGGAAGAGTTAGTAGCTGCCCATGTGAATTCTGTTGTGCTGAAAGAATAGGTAAAGGTAAAGGGACCCCTAACCATTAGGTCCAGTCGTGGCCGACTCTGGGGTTGCGGCGCTCATCTCGCTTTATTGGCCAAGGGAGCCGGTGTACAGCTTCCGGGCATGGGGCCAGCATGACTAAGCCGCTTCTGGCGAACCAGAGCAGCGCACGGAAACACCGTTTACCTTCCCACCGGAGCGGTACCTATTGATCTACTTGCACTTTGACGTGCTTTCGAACTGCTAGGTTGGCAGGACGCAGGTGGCGCTACGGGTTAAACCACAGAGTCTAGGACTTGCCGATCAGAAGGTCAGCGGTTCGAATCCCCGCGACGGGGTGAGCTCTCGTTGCTCGGTCCCTGCTCCTGCCAACCTAGCTGAAAGAATAAGCCATGATATATTCCCATGCAGCTCCCTGGCACGCTTGTTGCAGGACTGAAACAATGCCATTGCCTGAAAAGAAATGAAAAGCAGTGAAGTTAGGATGCCTTGCCCCAGCTCTGTATATGAAAATGTGGCACAAGTGTTCGTAGTTTGTTTTTGTTCTTGTTTTATTATATATGTTGTGTTCTCATTCTGCATTTTTATGCTGTGAATTGCCCCATGATCCTGGGATGAAGGGTGGTGTGCAGATTTAATAAAAATTAAAACAAAGATAGGTACGTAAGAATGTATGCAGTTCACGTGGCTGCCCTCTTCCTTCAGCGTGGGGGGCGGGCAGCATGGGGGTGGCAAAAGCTGTGGGGAGATAGTGAGGATTGGGGTGAGTTGTAAAGGGTGGGGAGTTGGCAAGGGGGAGTGGCTGTCTTGCCTAGTGGAGCAAGCAGGGGCAGAGTCCCTGTTGCTTTACCTTTTGTTCATGTGTTTGTTCAGGGAAGGTCTCCAGAGCAACAGCATATGCAAATGTAACCTAAAAGTAGAATCTCACGTTCTGTCCGCAGTGAATTGTAATTGGACTAGGAGAGGTTTGCCCTTGTGGGAAGAAAATTATACCGTAGTAGTTTTGCAAAACTGAGTCGTAGTGGTGTCAGCTAATGTGCCGCTCACATCCTACAGGTTGTGTAGGAGAATAGATGGCAGTTGTGTACTCGGAGCAGGGGTTACACTATAGAATTTATCTCTTAAAGAGTTTGGTCGTGCCGTAGCTAAATGTTCTGTAAGCTCAGAAGGTGTAATTAAGATTCCACAGCCTACACATCAGGCTCAAAATCGTGCACAAAAAGTGAGCTCTGTGGGAAAACCCAGCCAGAAGTGCAGGGTATAAATATTATTATTATTATTATTATTATTATTATTATTATTATTATTATTTGTTCCCTTCTGCTTTGTCCTAGATAAGATGAACAGGAGCCATAGTTACATGCTAAGTGCAGGTTTAGTGCTAAATGTCCAGCATAGTACAGTGGTACCTTGGTTCTCGAACTTAATCCCTTCCAGGAGTCCATTCGACTCCCGAAACCATTCGAAAACCAAGGCGCGGCTTCCGATTGGCTCCAGGAACTTCCTGCACTCAAGCGGAAGCCTCATTTACTTCCAGGTTTGCGATGTTCGGGAGCTGATTCGTTCGGCAACTAAGCCGTTCAGGAACCAAGGTTCCGCTCTGTACATGTATCTGGATTGGTTAACTTTGAGTTACAGCCCAGAGGCACTCCTGAGGGTGTGGAAATTTCTGTCTGTCAGCCCACTTGAACTCCAAATTTGAATCTCTGTAATTTTTCTCTCTGGCGAAATAATGAAGCTTGTCAAAATAATGTGATGTCTCTCTGTGTGTGTCTCTCCAAATCTAAATTTGCAAAGTCGCATCAGAATCGTGCTGTGCCCCCCCGCCCCCCGACTGATGAATAAAAACTTTTGTCCAGTGTAAAATATTTTGGTTACTTTGTGGACTAAGCCAGTGTGATCTGTGCTTCGCTGGGGCAACAGACTGACACTTCCTCTCCTGTGCTCTGGAGGGTCGGGGGACCCTCCAGGGTATATTTTGGGGGGACGCATGGGGAAGAAATAGAATTCCCAATTGTGACGGCAGATCTAAGCACGCAGAGAAATGGGTACAATCCTAGGTATCTGTTGTATCCTGTTCAATTTCCTATGTTTTTGCTAGGCAGCAAAATAATTTGAAATGGTAAAATGAGTAAAACATTGAAAAACAGTGAAATCTCAGCAGGCATTACTCTATTCTCATGTAATTCCATTAAAAAATGTACAATTGTAGGAGCTTTGCCTTGTTTTCCAGAGCTGTGTGGCTGCTGTACTATGAAAAGTAGAAAGCAGAGTTATTTTGATACTTGGCTGATATGGCTGAAGGGGAATCTTAGGGATAAGTCCACCAGATAAAGCCTTGGAAAACATATATTTTGGGAAATATTGAAATATCTTTCCTATTAGAGCTAAACTCAGTTTAGTTTAAGAATATAAAATGCATATAAAATATAAAAGTAATACTGTATGGTACATACATATATGGAATTAAAATGTGTAAGTGCATCACTTTTATTCAAACAACAATTACAAATGTACTCATTAATCATCTTTCATTTCCAATACCAGAAAAGGAAGTTTATTGCAATGGGCAAAAGTCCATCCATCTGTAAATTGTCCTGTAAATGTTGAAAGTCAGGGTATAAATGTTATAGGCAGTGTGCCCTCTATACAATTGCCACCTTCAAAATGCAACACAAGAACCTGCAACATTTGTTTAGCCGAGGTGGCAATGGGATGCTTGTGCTTTCCGCTCCTGTGTGGTGGAAGGAGCCTGAGGTCTGCATCCAGCCTGAGAGATCAGTGCATCAAGGAGTGTCTGGAATCTGGATGTTGTTGAGCTCAACATTGGCGTGGATTCAAAAGGTGCTTGTGTGGGTAGAATATGTTTCCTTTTGTGCCAGAGATATCTCCTTCAGTGTTTATCTGCAGCCTCCAGGCCACATCCCACATCTTTCCTGAGGATCCTCCTAATCCTTGGGAGAGGTTTTTGCCAAGGACACAGGTGACTGCAGTGAGGAAGAGGAGATGGCAAAGCCTTATTAATGTTTTGAACTCTGCACAATGCTCTTTTGGACTCTTATCACATTAGACAATATATCCATGAAAATACTGCCATCTCAGGCTTTATCCTAATTGGTTTCTGAACCATCAGCTGTCTCTGTTTTTGTCCTTCCGGTTACCCCACCCTGCATGGCCTTAGGACCAGCGGTGGAGAACCTCATGCCTGCAGGCCAGACTTGGCCCAGCAGGTCTCCCCATTTGGCTCACCAGGTCATCTCCAGGAAGCCACACCTGCCTGCCCTACACGTGACACTAGACCTGACATCAAATGTGGGCAGGTAAGGGCAGGGCTTCAAAGGAAAATCAAGAGCTTAAAGTGAGCACCTGGTTGTTTCTTTTCTGGAGCAAAGCATGATCCCACCCAGCCACCTCTCAGCTCACTGGTGGTAGGAGCATACCTTGCTCAAGGAAGGGGACATAGTTTCCGTTTAATCATGGAAACCTCTTTTACCTCCCAGTGCTACATTTTGCAGACTTGGCTGTTGGGTCTTCAAAGCACAGCACAGGACTTCCAACAACCTCCATGGTTCTCCTTCAAACCTGCACTTTGAAATCCTGACAACTGAGGCTTCTAAGTTCAGTATCTCCTGGTGTCGCTATGATATCGGGTGGCTGTCAAACTTGGTCCACAAGAGGTTGAGGAGATTAAGATTTGGCCTACTGGCCAAAAGGATTTCTCTTCCTCTGACTTAGGAGAACAAAAAGTATGTACAGATTGAAACAACTTTTTCCGAGCTTGGGGTGTGTATGTGTGTTTTGCTGTATGTATTTCCAAACATAGTGGTCAGTTTATTTCACATGCTGTAGAAGGCCAAGGAATCTAATGCAGACAAAGAGTTTAAGTGTATATAGAATTGTAATTGCCTAGTATTGTCGATTGCATTCAAATAACTAAGGATTTTAGGTTAGTAAGGGCAACTAAAATAAATAAGACAGACAGACAGACAGACTGCAGATTTATATATAGAGAGAGATTTACCTGGGAGCAATTCCTGTTGAACTTAATGATGCTTACATTGCTATTTTATATCACTTGCTAAAGCTGTGTTAGAGGCTGATGGCCTAGTCCCTGAGTTCTTATTCAAAAGGAGCTCACACCTGCCACTAAGAGTCTCAGACACAAACCAGTGGCAAATGTGGCCAGGCAGCTGTTTCCGCCTACACCTGGCCAGCTGGTTTTTTTAATTTTAATTTTTGCACATCAGATGTTGGACAACAGCTATCTCAGATTTCAGAGATAATGCATGCTGTAATACATTGTGTCCTTGGAAGGTGGGGTTGAGTAGGGCTTAGAGGCAAATGGTGCTCCGTGTTCCTGACCATCCGATCATCACATTCCCGTTGAGAAAGTATTGCAAAATAGGCCGTTACCTACAGCTGATGAGCTCCAAGAAGAGCGAAACCTGTTAAAATAGGTCCTGTAGTATTGGCCAAGAGAGCAGCTCCTTGGTGTGGCACCCTTGCCCCAGTAAACATGCTCTGGTTATCTCTCACTTGGACTACTGCCATGCGCTCTATGTGGGGCTACCTTTGAAGGTGACCCGGAAATTACAACTAAGTCAGAATGCGGCAGCTAGACTGGTGACTGGGAGTGGCCGCCAAGACCATATAACACCGGTCTTGAAAGACCTACACTGGCTCCCAGTACGTTTCCGAGCACAATTCAAAGGGTTGGTGTTGACCTTGAAAGCCCTAAACGGCCTCGGCCCAGTATACCTGAAGGAGCATCTCCACCTCCATCATTCTGCCCGGACACTGAGGTCCAGCGCCAAGGGCCTTCTGGCAGTTCCCTCGCTGCAAGAAGCCAAGTTACAGGGAACCAAGCAGAGGGCTTTCTCAGTAGTGCCACCTACCCTGTGGAACGCCCTCCCACCAGATGTCAAAGAGAAAAATAACCACCAAACTTTTAGAAGACATCTAAAGGCAGCCCTGTTTCAGGAAACTTTTAATGTTTAATAGGTTATTGTATTTTAGTGTTTTGTTGGAAGCCTCCCAGAGTGGCTGGGGAAACTCAGTCAGATGGGCGGGGTATAAATAATAAATTATTATTATTATTATTATTATTATTATTATTATTATTATTAAACTATGATGCCTCCCTGGGATCACCAGTAAGGCTACCCAGGCATGTGACTTTTAAACCTTTTAAATTATTTTAGCTAATCCTGCCTTCCGAGGCAAAAGTCATAGGGCATTCTTCCATCAGTCCCTTCCTGTACCAGTACTTCTGCCTTACATTTCCATTTTGACATGCACCTTACTTTTCCCCATCTGATTTCTTACATCAGAAAAATAACGAGGAAAGAATTTGCATTATCTTTTTAAATTTAGCATTCCAAAAACTCTTGGCACATGTGACAATGCATTTAGGCTACTGCTACTACTGTTTAGAATACCAGGACTTCTGTGAAAGGCAACTGGACAGAAAAGGCAAGGCTAGTTCTTCTTTGCTATATCTAAGGAGCATTGCACGACTCCACTGATCCTGCTAATAGTTGTCTTTCAGAGAACTGACTGAGCAGCGAAATCAGTGGGAGAGGGCAAGCAGGCCATATGTTCATAGCCAAACAGGTTTTTTTTGTTTTGTTTTGCAAAAACATTCCTTCCATGAAAATAGGAATTCCACTCCTGGGCTTCATGTGATAAAGTTGTCCCGAATGGAAAGAAAAGGTTTTGCTCCTCCAGGGCAGTGGGAGAGGAGCTGCACACCTGCTCCCATTGAAACCTCCTGCACTTTCAATGTAGACCTTGCAAACAAATGCAAAAATGCTGTCGTCCCAGTAGTTTTTCTGGTGGCTAACGTGGAGGACTAACTTAGCATAAGCAAGGGAATCATCAGTATTACTCAGACACAATGCTGGAGAAGGAGCCACAATGGAGAGCTGCCTGTTTCTAAGTCAGCGCTGTTTGCAAAACGGAGGTGGCAGAAGTTTTTAGTGTCATTTTTATTTCCTAAAGCATCTCACTCCTGTCAGCCTGTTTTGCAAAATAAAGTTGCCCTCTTCTTTCCCACTTGTACCTGGGTCTGTATTTAAAACAAAATCGCAGGAGGTGGTTTCTTTATCTTGCTAGCATTTCCCCCCCTGCTCTGCGTACATCCCAGTTCTCAGACTACCAAAGTAATTGGCGTAGTTCACTTTGCCTAGTGGTTTCTATGCGCTGTTTCCTGTGTGACTTTCTAGATCAGATTAATACAGAAACTTCACGAACCCCCTGCAGGCTGGCTTAGCTAGAGAAGCCAATGGGGCTGAACCTCTCACTTTGTGTCTTTAGGATGATTGAGGAGAGCGGGAAGAGGAGGAGAACGATGGCGGAGAAGAGGCAGCTGTTTATGGAAATGAGTAAGTGGAACTCTGCTGTGGCTGACAACTTCACAAAATAACGTTCTGCAGTCTTTTGAAAGCATGTTAAAATGAACCATGGAAAGAGAAGAGAAGTCGCTGGATATTTTAAAGTTTGTAAAATGTTTATTTGAAATTGTAAAACAGAATGTTTAATAACATGGGTTTTTTATTTTAATAATAATAATTTTTAACTAAATTGGTTCCACTTGAGAGTTTTGGGGTGTCACATTTCAAAGACCAGGGGTGTTTGTGAAGCTTATACGTTTACACCTTTCAGTTTTCAAATAACATCTAGTGGTTACCTCATCTCATATCCCATGACACCCTAATGAAGCCTCGGTTGAATTCTGGGGACGAGGGTCTACGTTAGCTCTCAGCTTTTGGGGATCCAGCTCCCTCTTCCATGCTTGATCCTCAGTTTCCATCCCTGACCATTTTCCTTGAGATACTTGGGGAAATGCCATCTAGGAGGAGGCTGCTGGTATTGCCAAGGGCAGATGCAAAAATGAGAAAAGAGAGAGAGAGAGGCAAGGCTCTGAGGCCGTTTGCCAACATGTCATGGGGCCTTAAAGGACAGGATTCCTTTATTGCTCAAATAGTGATAGATTATTTTTAAAGCATTATTAGGAGAACAAAAACATTGTTTAATCAACATCCTAAAGGCAATTACAGGAACAGGTTAGTTAAATGTTCCTGTGAAAAAGTTTGTTTGTTTTTAAGTGTATGAATTGTTATAGTGTTTAGCAGGTAAGAACCCCAGAATGCACACCTGGGCAAGACCTTTTTGAGGTCCAGCAAAAACACCACAAATGGTCATCCACTGATTGGAGCTGCGGTGGGTGATTGACATAGGGCATGACGTAGGGTTATATATGCTTTATTGATGTTTTCACTGTTGTGCCATTTTAAGTTATTTCATAGGAAACGATTCAGAAAGGAAGTGAAGGAAATTAATAGTTCTGACACAGAATTACCAGCTGTCTTGAAAACTAGGCCAAAAGTTCAGTTGGGAAATGGATTCTGTGCCGGGATGTGATCCAAGGCCTCTTCCCACTATAAGACAAGAACTCTCTTGCTTCTAATTCACAGGGGCTCAGAACTTTGACGTCATCAGATTGTCAACGTATCGGACTGCCTGCAAACTGAGATTTGTGCAAAAAAGATGTAATCGTAAGTGAAAAGTTCCACCCTCTGTAGAAACATCTTAGATAAGTGCACATGTAAAGATTTATCTTCGCATAAACTCCTCTGTATTGCACTGACTCAGCTCACAATAAGAACAAATCAACCCAAACGTTGCATTGTTTGGGGGAAAGATAGACAAAATTAAAAGTGGTAATGCCAAGCTGGGAAAAGCTTTCTGTGCCTCCACCTCCTTTGCACAATGTCCTTGTTGTCATGTGCTGATGTGCTCCTGTTGATCCACGTGAGGCACACAAAGACTAGCTTATATTTGGAAGATCCCATGATGCGCTTTCTTCTGGCCAGGGGACAATCTGGTGCTTTGAAGTACATGCTTGAAGATCACACACAGAAAACTTGAAGGGCAGTGTTCAGACGGGAGTAAAGTGTTGTAGCTGTGCATAAACCACAGGGCAATGTGCAAGAGAGGGGTGTGTTGAAGAGGCATGGAGAAGGCCGTGTGACTCAAGGGCATCCTGATCAAATTTGCAGATGACACCAAACTGGGAGGGGTGGCTAACACCCCAGAGGATGGGATCACACTTCAAAACGACCTTGACAGATTAGAGAACTGGGCAAAAACAAACAAGATGAATTTTAACAGGGAGAAATGTAAAGTATTGCACTTGGGCAAAAAAATTGAGAGGCACAAATACAAGATGGGTGACACCTGGCTTGAGAGCAGTACATGTGAAAAGGATCTAGGAGTCTTGGTTGACCACAAACTTGACATGAGCCAACAGTGTGACGCGGCAGCTAAAAAGCCAATGCAATTCTGGGCTGCATCAATAGGAGTATAGCATCTAGATCAAGGGAAGTAATAGTGCCACTGTATTCTGCTCTGGTCAGACCTCACCTGGAGTACTGTGTCCAGTTCTGGGCACCACAGTTCAAGAAGGACACTGACAAACTGGAACGTGTCCAGAGGAGGGCAACCAAAATGGTCAAAGGCCTGGAAATGATGCCTTATGAGGAACGGCTAAGGGAGCTGGGCATGTTTAGCCTGGAGAAGAGGAGGTTAAGGGGTGATATGATAGCCATGTTCAAATATATAAAAGGATGTCACATAGAGGAGGGAGAAAGGTTGTTTTCTGCTGCTCCAGAGAAGCGGACACGGAGCAATGGATCCAAACTACAAGAAAGAAGATTCCACCTAAACATTAGGAAGAACTTCCTGACAGTAAGAGCTGTTCGACAGTGGAATTTGCTGCCAAGGAGTGTGGTGGAGTCTCCTTCTTTGGAGGTCTTTAAGCAGAGGCTTGACAACCATATGTCAGGAGTGCTCTGATGGTGTTTCCTGCTTGGCAGGGGGTTGGACTCGATGGCCCTTCTGGTCTCTTCCAACTCTATGATTCTAGGATTCTATGACTTAGAAATGATGTTGAGAGGAGGAAACAGCCTGCTGGGAGGAAGCTCTCTCTCTCTGTGTGTGTGTAATTGGACTCTCTGGCACTGAGCATGTTCTTGTTAGTTTGGAAATGTCACAGGAAGAGTCTGTTGGGCAGGGTCACGTGGCAGAGAGAAGAATGAGGAGGCTTCTTCCAGACAGCCAGTATTTTGTGGGAGAGATGGAGTGGCATCCTGGGAAATTCAGGTTACACAATTAAAGCGGGCTTGGGCTGCCTGAGCAACAAACCCCTGCTCCTCCCAGAAAGTGCAGAATAACAATCGCTCGACACAAAAGAATCAGAACAACTCGCTCAATAGACAGAGGATGCCGTGTAACCAAATCAGGATGAGTGCTCAATCAACATGTCATCTGGAAGTCACCTAAGCGATAAAAAAAAAGCAGCAGAGAATCGTTCCTAGAGAATGCAAGGGCCATGGCAAGATCATCATGTGGCGTGGCCGTATTTGGGGTAGAAAGTAAAGGGTTGGGGCCCTGATCCAGTGGAGCTGAAAGACCCTACCCTGCCCTCCTCCATGTCGATCATTAGAGAGTGTCACACTTCAGAGAGAAGTGTTGTGTTTTTTCCTGCCATCCACACCCCACCCTTGGGTGGTTGGCCCATCCTCCATCTCCCCCCCCCCCACTCCATGCAAGGGGGCAGTCGCTTGCTTGCTTGCTTGCAAGCAGAGTTCAGTGGACTAACAGCCCCCCCCCCCCGCCCTCTCCACCCTTCCCTGTTAGAATAAGGAAAGCCTGGCTGTTCTCAAGGGGCTTCTCTTTGTGTTTTGCCACCAGGGGCTGCTGTATCTGTGGAAACAGCACTATGGGGACATCTGGTAATGGGAAAACAAGCAATTGTGGCTTAGCTTTAGGTTTACCAAGCAAGGGAACTGCGTTTGGGGGAGGCAGGCAGGCAGCAACGCCCAGTTATTGAATCCAGACAAGATGCTGTATTTGCAACGTCTGGCCTTGTTTAGTGCGACCAAGAGGGGAGGGGTGCCACTCACCTTACTGGATTTCTGTCCTGTTTCCTAGCCAAAATGCACCCCCCAAAGTTGATGCAATGCATCCTCAGTCTGCCAAAATATACTTCTGCACGTGGCCACGCTCATGCTGCCTCAGTGCTGGGGCCAAGGAGGCTGGTTGTTGGAGGCTGGCTGGGGGTGGTGAGGGGCTGCAGTTTCTCCCCACACCACTTCTTCCTCAGCCAGGCTTTCCCCTCTTCCTTGTGTACTGATAAGGCAAGCGCAAGTCTACACCCAACCCTGGACAGCCAGCCACAAAGATTGGCCATGTAAACTGAATTTCAGTCTTGCAACACCAAGTTAAGATTGTGAATAGAAATGCCCAGATAATCATGGAGCCTCAGCTCTGGCAGAACCCCTGGAGAAAGCTGGCAGAGAGCAGCTTGACTCTGTTGGCTGAAGAGTTAGCAGAATGCACAAAGACTCATAAGAGTTGAAGGGACCCAAGGGGTCATCTAGTCCAACCCCCTGCAATGCATAAACTGCAACTAAGGAATCCCCAACAGATAGGATAGCCGTCCAGCCAGCCACCCACATGAGCTGTGCCTGTAGAAGGAAATTCCTGGAAACGTCGCTGTGTTTTACGGTAGGGATGCTTCATAAAAACGCAGCCAAACTTGCATCAGTTAGGAGTAAAACTTGTCTTTCCCCTTTCCCTTCCAGTTCACCTTGTGGATATCTGGAATATGATTGAAGCCTTCCGAGATAATGGCCTTAACACATTGGATCACAACACGGAGATCAATGTGTCTCGATTAGAAACCATCATTTCCTCCATCTACTACCAGCTGAACAAACGCCTTCCTTCTACTCACCAGATCAGCGTGGAGCAATCCATCAGCCTTCTCCTCAACTTCATGATAGCAGCATATGACAGGTCAGGGGCTTCTATCTCCTCCAGGCTGCGTTGCTTCCCGGCAGCCATTGTGTGGGCTGGGGCAGAGCCTGAGGCCTTGGGCACCCCTGGGCTAGAGCAGGCTTTGGCCCTTGACAGAGAATCACACCCGCGTTTCATCCTCAGAGCCCTTCTTTGAGCAAGGTGGTTTATCCCCCTGTGGTGTCTCGGTGTTCCTTCAGGCTGCAGATCCAGACAGATTTGTGAGCTCATGTGCTGTAGTCATCTGCTCTGTCAGCAATTAAAAACGGAGCGAATGTTCCTGCTGCAAAGTGAGCATGGGCCTAGGACGTGACCCTGCAGCACACACACACTTCACACCCTGTTGCTCAGTTTTGGATTCCGCACACCAAGAAATCTGACCAGTTGAAAGGTTATAGAGGGTGATGGGGGTTTTTCCACCTGAATGTGTGGATCCAAAAACTACATTTTTTAAATGGCGCAGTCCAATTCCATGAGGCTAAAAGGAGCCTTCCTCGCAACCTCTCTCCAAAGGTGCCTTTACACAAGCTGCTGGGGGCACGGAAATTGCTGCAGCGGTTGTTGCAAAAGGCTGGCTCAGACTAACGTTTCCCCATGGAGTTGCACACCCAAGTCACGCGTTCTGTGCTACTGCAGGGGAGAGCATGTTGAACCCAATTGTGGGTACCAGCCCCACCCCTTCCTAGTCCCTTTGGCCTCTTTCCTTGGGGCTGAATATGAAGGTGAAGCAGCAGTTTCACGTGTGAATCTCCAGTAGTCAACCTCCATATCCCCAATTTTAGGCCGTTGTGGAGCAATGTGTAAGCCTCTAATCCCAGCCAAGAGCAGGAGAGCCAAAAACTCCTCAAGATAGGCTTTGCTTCATTTCACCTGGCTGGCAGCTGTTGACGTTTTTCTGCTGTGCGTGTTGGAACAGTGTGCGCTCTTGGGCAAGAGAGATGGAAAACTTGGTTTTACTGGCAGGGAAGACTCTGCTGGTGTTTTGGCTGGGAGCTCTCTGTCTTTCTGCAGCTGCCCTCTCAGGTAGAATCTACTCCTCTTCCTCCTCAATGGTTGCAGTTGGGAGGCAGAAGACTTTGTAGACCAGAGGAGGACAAGTTGTGTCGTGATGGAAGTCCACTAACGTATCACAGGATCTGTTTACTTAATATTTTGAGACTTGGGGGCTGATAGCATCCTTGGGAGTCCCTTTTCCTTTATAGCCATCCTGTGTGTACAAAGTAGCCCAGTCAGTACAGAAGCGGCTTCTCTTACCAGAAGACCTCTTGTTTTGCTCAGGGGGAAAGCATTCTGTCATCCTCTTAGGGTAATGGCGTGTCAATCAGCTGAGGACCTTTGTGCATCTTCGTTCTGCTAGGAGTGTTTAAAAAGCATGTCCCTTTCCTTTATGGCAATAGAATCACGTTTGACAGCATGGATGCAGGCAAAAACATCTCAGCACATCTCATTATTCCGATAACCTCTGTTGGGCACAGCTAACGGAGGCCTCTCTCTCTCTCTCTCTGCACACACACACACACACACACACACACACACACACACACATTGCATAAGATGTTCCACCCCATGACCAGCCAGGAAAATGTGTGGCAATTTTCTTTCTTGGACACTTTCTGAATGTTGCTCTTGTGTTGTCCTGCTGAATAATTTGTGTCTGTGCATGAATGGATCATAGACTTGCTCCTGTCACAACGTGCAACGTCTGGGTTGCAAGCTGCCTTGAGCATGGTTTTAGCTTTGGAAAAGGCAGCATAAAAATAAAAAGATTGATTGATTGATTGATTGATTGATTGATTGATTGAACTGCAGTTTTGTTTTGTTTTTTACAGTGAGGGCCACGGAAAGTTGACGGTGTTTTCCATAAAAGCCATGTTGGCAACCATGTGCGGTGGGAAGATTCTGGACAAGTTGAGATGTGAGTATTTTAAGGAGATAATTCGGGGTAGGCGGAAGGATACTGCATAATACTGTCCTTAAAAGGGAAAAAAAATGGCCACCCATCAGCTGCAGAAGCTATCCTTTGCTTTGTGTTCTTCTGCTTACCTGTTCAGTAGCAAGAACGCAGGAAGAGTCTACTGAATCAAGTTCCTGGATCAGACCCTTGTCCACAAGTATCACTGGAGTTAGGTGAGAACGAGAAAAACGTTTCTCTGAAGACTTGAGGCTCAGCTGAGAGTAGAAATGTGGGGCAGGGGAGAGTGCCTGTCATTTCTCCCCTTGGTCTTGCCTGCTGGAAGGCCTGGCGCTGACTGGGAACACTTTTGGGGGTTTCCCTGGTGAATGGGAGTCAGCTGTTCTCCTGCTCTGGGCAGGCCTCTCTTCTGCTGCCTTGGCTGCCGCAACCCTTCACTTTTCCCAGTTCCAGCCCACCAGAGTTTCTCTTGTTGTCATCTTCCATTGGACGCCCTCCTAAGCCTCTTTCGCCCGCCGGGGACTTGGCTCTGCTTTCTCCTGCCAATCCCTGAGTGTCCTTTTGCAAATAACTGACTCTGCCTGCTCAGTTTGTGGCACACCTGCTAGAGAGCAGTACTTGACTTGGTTCCTAACACCTTGCTGTCCTTGGGTGTGTATAAATAACTTCTTCCTGGCTGTGGACTAGGAGTTCCAGTAGGCACTGCAGGCATCATTTTTTATCCTGGGCTTTCTGTTCCCCCCACCCCACTTTAAAATAAAATTAAAATACAATGCAAGGGGTAAAGGGGCCCCTGACCATTAGGTCCAGTTGTGGCCAACTCTGGGGTTGCGGCTCTCATCTCGCTTTACTGGCCGAGGGAGCTGACGTACAGCGTCCGGGTCATGTGGCCAGCAGGACTAAGCCGCTTCTGGCGAACCAGACCAGCGCACGGAAACGCCGTTTACCTTCCCGCCGGAGCGGTACCTATTTATCTACTTGCACTTTGACATGCTTTCAAACTGCTAGGTTGGCAGGAGCAGGGACCGAGCAACGGGAGCTCACCCCATCATGGGGATTCGAACCGCTGACCGTCTGATTGGCAAGCCCTAGGCTCTGTGGTTTAACCCGCCGCGTCCAGCAATACTGTGGTGCTAATTTTCTCTCCAAGAATAAAATTCCCACGCAGGGTCAGCCTGAAACGTTTTGATGCCTGGGGTTCAAAATCAGGCTGATCTTCCCTCTCCTCTTTTCCTAGCATTGAAAACAATTTCACGTTGGATAACTGCTGACTCAGCTGCCCTTCAGCAGCACTCAAGATCTGCTTCCTCGCGCTGCCTGACGGTCAGGCTGGATGCCTCTCCTTGAACCCCTCTTTGGGCTTTTCTGGCACCCCGTGAGCTCACGCTGCCCCTCCAGACTGGAGCTTCTGTTTCGGTGCTTCTTGAGATCAGAGGCGGCCAGGGAACAAGGCTGACTGGATCAGGCGGTGGCCATGGGCTGTCCATCTGAAGTACTGGTCAAAAGGAGCCTTGTTTTCTGCTCTGGCTGGGTGTGCTCTTGATGTTCTATTTCCACTATGTCACCCACAATTTGTCTCCTTAACCAGCAGACATCCTGGCTTCTCTTTGCCCTGATCAACTTTCCTCGCTCTCTTACAGTCCTTCTGATTGTAGAACCTACAGGTTCCTGGCTTGCTGCTTACTAATTTCATGAAATGTATACACCACTTGAGTGTCAAAAACCTCAAAGGGGTCTACAAAATTATAAAGCCATAAAATAAGGAAAAAATTACAATACAGTGGTACCTCGGGTTACGAACAGCCTAGTTAACTAACTTTTTGGATTACGAACACTGTTTTATTTATTTTATAGTACAGTACATTGATTATTGCTTTCATTTTATGGATCAGTTGTCTTGTTAGATAGTAAAATTCATGTTAAATTGCTGATTTAGGGGTTGTTTTTAAAAGTCTGGAACAATTAATCCATTTTGCATTACTTTCTATGGGAAAGTGTGCCTTGGTTTAAGAACGGGCTTCCGGAATGGATTAAGTTCATAAACCAAGGTACCACTGTACATTAAAACATATAAGAAGTTAGCAGATTAAAATTCACACCGGTATTTCTAAGCATCTGGGTAGGTTTGTCTAAACAAGAACGTTTTGGCGGCTAGCGTGCAGAAGGTCCTTTTTCTTCATCCTCCTCCTTCATAGAAGAAGTGTTGGAGTTGGCTTGTCTTTCTCCTCCCCTCCACCACCAGCAGAGCCAAGATGCTTCACCATCGTCACCTTGATCCTTCCACATGTGGAGCACCTTTTCTCAAAGCTTTGTGCACTGTGCTTTCAGGACTATTTGGCGTTCTGATTTCCTCTTAACTTCATTCTAGATACAGGCAAATAGTTCTTCCATTCTCCACTCAAGCACTGCTGTGTTAGGTTGGCTTGCTTTAAACCTTTTAAGATTCATGGTTAATTCCTTTCTGCCACACCTCCAGGACTACTTGATAGAGTGCAGCAAAGGATTAAGAATGCAAGTCCCTTTTTTAAAAGAAGTTTAGAAATCTTGCTAAAGGTGTTATCCCCTCCTCCAAGAAGAAATTGGCCTGTCATGTTTAGAGGGAAATTCTCTGTGCACAGAAGACAAAAAGTCACTTGGGTTTTTTTGGGGGGTGGGGGTGGTAAAAAGGTATAGACGAAGAACATAAGAAGAGTTTGCTGGATCAGACCAGTGGCCCCTCTAGTCCAGCCTACTGTTCTCCCAGGGGCCAGCCAGATGCCTGTGGAAAACCCACAAGCAAGACCTTAACACAAGAGCACTTTTCCCTCTATGGTTTGCATGCCTGTCTCTGGCTGTTCATGACCAAGAGTCATTGACAGCCTCTTTAAAGTTGTGTGGTGCATACATTGCCCCCCGCCCCGGAAATAATTTAAAAGTAGATGTAATTGTTGTGTCCTTTCCACAAGGGCAGCGTTTACAGTTAATCCGAATTTGATTTGCGTTTTTTTTAGATATCTTCTCTCAGATGTCGGATTCCAACGGCCTGATGATATTTTCAAAGTTTGACCAGTTTCTGAGAGAGGTTCTCAAACTTCCCACAGCTGTGTTTGAAGGGCCTTCCTTTGGGTACACGGAAAACTCTGTGCGGACGTGTTTCTCCCAGCAGGTAAAGTTTTTGAAAGGGGAAGGTTTGGTGGAGATCCTGTGCTAAAGGCTTTCTGTGCTGCTGTTGCTTCTTCCAAAGGAGCCTCCAAGCTGGAGTCCAGTAGAAGAGGCAATACAGCTGAAGTTCCCCTGGGAACTCTGCCTTGTTCTGGGATCAGTTTAAGCTACCTGATTAAATCAACATGGAGCACAAGTGTAAGAGACTTAGAAAATAATAAAAATCACACACACGCATTTGGTCTACAGCTGGGGGTAACCAAAGCAGGTCAGCTCTGTGAGAAGGCGCTCAGATGGATGGCGGCTAACAGATTGAGGTTAATTCCTGACAAGACAGAAGTACTGTTTTTGGGGGACGGGGCGGGCGGGTGTGGGGGACTCCCTGGTCCTGAATGGGGTAACTGTGCCCCTGAAGGACCAGGTGCGCAGCCTGGGAGTCATTCTGGACTCACAGCTGTTCATGGAGGCGCAGGTCCATTCTGTGTCCAGGGCAGCTGTCTACCAGCTCCATCTAGTACATAGGCTGAGACCCTTCCTGCCCGCGGACTGTCTGGCCAGAGTGGTGCATGCTCTGGTTATCTCCCGCTTTGACTACTGCAATGCACTCTGTGTGGGGCTACCTTTGAAGGTTGACCCAGAAACTACAATTAATCCAGAATGCGGCAGCTAGACTGGGGACTGGGAGCGGCCACCAAGACCATATAACACCGGTCTTGAAAGACCTACATTGGCTCCCAGTACGTTTCTGAGCACAATTCAAAGTGTAGGTGTTGACCTTGAAAGCCTTAAACGGCCTTGGTCCTGTATACCTGAAGGAGCGTCTCCACCCCCATCATTCTACCTGGATACTGAGGTCCAGCGCCGAGGGCCTTCTGGCGGTTCCCTCATTGCGAGAAGTGAGGTTACAGGGAACCAGGCAGAGGGCCTTCTCGGTGGTGGCGCCCGCCCTGTGGAACTCCCTCCCACCAGATGTCAAAGAGAAAAATAACTACCAAACTTTTAGAAGACATCTGAAGGCAGCCCTGTATAGGGAAGCTTTTAATGTTTAAAAGATCATTGTATTTTAGTGTTCTGTTGGAAGCCACCCAGAGTGGCTGGGGAAACCCAGCCAGATGGGCGGGGTATAAATAATAATAATTTATTATTATTATTATTATTATTATTATTATTATTATTATTTATTTCTCCTGGAAGGAAGTGATCAATGGGAGCTAATGGTAAACCTTGGCAGGGGGAGGGAGATTCCAGGCAGACGGTGGCTTTTAACTGGAGATCTGACCATGACCTGGAAGGGGCATTGAGCTTGAGGGAGCCGTCCCAATACTCTGCACCCTACAGCCATTTCAAGCTAAAACCACTACTGGAAGGAGAAGGTGAAAGGACCTGGAGACTCTCCCTGCTGCTCTTTATCTGAGATGCAGGGAGCTCTCCTGAAAGGGCAGCAGAGTGAGGGAGCTTCCAAAGAGACAGGGAACCCAGGGCAGGAGCCTGGAAGAACATGGCATGCAGGGGAATCAGGAGGCACCCTGTGCCATTGCAACTGAAACCTAGAACTGATACCAAGCTCTTCCCATAGAGGGGAGCTGTGAGTTGTCCACAGAAGAGACACTCCACCCACTGTCCCACAGGATGCAAAGGGGGCTCTCCCTCAGGAGGAGGGGGCAGGTTGTGTGGTCAAACGAATCACAGGCAGTTTCTTTCCTTCCCGGGGTGCACGTCCAAGGTGTGAGGAGGAGGTTGCCACAATCACTCAAGCCCACAAACTGCATCGCCTGTTCCTTCCGACTGATCCTGGTGGGAAGGGATGATGCAGCCTGGAGAAGTCTCATATGGATCCCTGTGAGGCTGCAGAGAGGAAAGTGCCCAGTTGAAGACAAAGAGATGTCCTCTGGGTTCTGCTGAAGTTAGTTGCATTTCAGCCCCAGTAAAATACAGTCACACCTCATGTTACGTTTGCTTCATGACACGTTTTTTCAGGTTATGTCCCGCGGCGACCCAGAAGTACCAGAAAGGGTTACTTCCGGGTTTTGCCGCTCCCGCATGCGCAGAAGCACAAAATGACGTCACGTGCATGCGCAGAAGTGGCGAATCGCAGCCCGCACGTGCACAGACGCGCCGCTGCGGGTTGCGCTCTTTTCATGTTGCGAACGGGCCTCCAGAACAGATCCCGTTCGCAACCAGAGGTACCACTGTAAATGGGGCAGAAGCCTTGACAGGCTAAGGCTGCTAGTCTAACCATGCCTACTTAGAAAATCTATCCATCTATCAATTGATCTAGTATCCCACACCTCCTCCAATGGAGCCCAGAGTGGCCCTAGTTTACTCATGGTTTAAGTGGAGTCAGGGTTGAAGGCTGTGTAACAGCCCTGAGTTACTTCTGTTCCTGCTGCTACACCTGACTGTGGTTCTTCTGCGAAAGATTGCAAAGTCTCGTGGGACCTTGAAGACCTATAGATGCACCGTAGTCTTTCGGATGCCACAGGACATTTTCCTGTCATTCTGCAGCAGAATAACGCAGCCGCCACTCTGGAAATGGTTTTGTGAGAATCTTCCGTAAGCGGTTTTATGAGAGAGTCTGGGGTCTATGAAGTCGGGAGATAAATATTCTAAATAAAACACTAAACAGTGAGAAAGATTTGAGCATGTGCTTAACTGCACAGTTGAAATCAGCTTTTAAGACAGCCTTAATTCTGGGAGTGCTGTGTGTTTGGCACAAACACTCTCTTTGTGGAGGATGAAACTTCACTGTTCTTTTCTGAAACAGACCGCAGTTGGCTTTTCTCTCACTTTGACCTCTCTCCACAGAAAAAGGTCATGCTAAACATGTTTTTAGACACGTTAATGGCTGACCCGCCGCCCCAGTGCCTTGTGTGGCTACCTCTCCTGCACAGACTTGCCCACGTTGAAAATGGTAAGTGGATCACTGTTTGCAGGACTTTCCTTCTGCTGAGGAGCACTGCAGCCTGGGGGCTCTCTATGGCAAGCGTGGGGTGGGGGGACCTGTGTCTTCTGTGCCGGAGAGCTCAGTTTCTTGAGGCTCCCCTAATATAGGTCATCAGGTGCCCCTCCACATCAGAACCTAAGAGGAGCCCTGCAGGGCCAGACCCAAGGCCTCTCTGCTCCACAACCCGGGTCTCCCAGGTCCTAGTCCAACGCTAACCACTATACCACACTTCCTCTCAGTGTGCCTCAGGCTTCCCCTAGGCATCTGGTTGGCCACAGAGAGAACTGGATACTGGACTAGATAGGACTGGCAGGGCCAGATTTAGGTTTGATGAGGCTCTAAGCTTCTGAAGGTAATGGGGCCCTTTCTATGTCCAACTGTCCTTTGTCAACAACAAATAGTCACTGTTTTTTGTGTTGAATATATGCTATATGGTCATTTATGGACCTAATAGGTATCTAAATGGGATGCAGGTGGCACTGTGGGTTAAACCCCAGAGCCTAGGACTTGCCGATCAGAAGGTCAGTGGCTCAAATCCCCGCGACGGGGTGAGCTCCTGTTGTTCGGTCCCTGCTCCTGCCAACCTAGCAGTTCGAAAGCACGTCAAAGTGCAAGTAGATAAATAGGTACCACTCCGGCGGGAAGGTAAACGGTGTTTCCGTGCGCTGCTCTGGTTCGCCAGGAGCGGCTTAGTCCTGCTGGCCACATGACCTGGAAGCTGTATGCCAGCCCCTTGGCCAATAGAGCGAGATGAGCGCTGCAACCCCAGAGTTGGCCACAACTGGACCTAATGGTCAGGGGGCCCCAAGAGAGTGGGGCCCTAAGCTAGAGCTTGTTGAGCTTAGACGTAAATCCAGCACTGGACGCTGTCCTGATCCAGCAGGCTCTTCATACCTGCCACACATCCACACAAATTGCCGCCTGTCCCAACTGTCTTCCAAGTTACAGCCTGTTTATAGCTTTGCCATCTCTGCTCAGCCCCACCCTGACATCTGTTTCTTGGTGCAACGGAGTGTCAGGAGGGGATTTTAGATGGCAAATCAGGAACTATCTAGAGAAGTCCTGGGGGAAAGATCTAGGCACTGCTGCTGTTGCATTTCTTACCCAGACTTCACCCAAAGGTCCCACCATGTTGTAAAAAATTAGTTTAAAAAACCATTTAAAATGGGAAGAATAGGGTGGGTCCAGAAGTGCCAAGCTGCCCCCAAGATTAAGGGGCCCAGTGCAAAGCGTGTCTGCATGATGGAGAAGGCTGAGCACTCTGGAGTAGCCGGACACTGGACCTACATCACAGAATGCATGGCGCATGCAGGGCTGCCTCAACATGGAGCAGCGCTGAGCCCCTTAAACCCAGTACTGAGGGGGCCGAGGTGCCTTCAGCCCCCTAGTGTAGGCGTGCCTGGGCGGGTCCTAATATTTTCTTCCGTTTCTGAGACGAGGGTAAGGATGCCAGTGCCTGTTTACCAGGCTGGCAGGCAGCCATGCGCCCCAATTAGCACACGCCTGTTTGATGTGTGGGGAATTCTAGGAGTTTGTCCTTTTTCAGAGGGGCGTGTGGGGTGTGCCTCGTTCAGGACGAAGCCTCCTGCAGCTCCGGAGGCGCTTCTGACTCCTCTTCCTCCCCTTTCCCCTCCCAGTCTTCCATCCTGTGGAGTGTTCTTACTGCCGCTGTGAGAGCATGATGGGCTTCCGCTACCGATGCCAGCAGTGCCACAACTACCAGCTCTGTCAAAACTGCTTTTGGCGCGGCCACGCTAGCGGCCCTCACAGCAACCAGCATCAGATGAAGGAGCACTCCTCTTGGGTAAGCCTCTTGGTCTCCTGCGGCTCAGGCGCATTGCTTTTCTGCCGTGGGTGTGTTTGGGGCTGCGGGTTCTCTATTGCGCAGCCCCAGAGGTCTGTCCGTCATGGGAAGGCCAGTAGCCTGTCGGTTCTGCAGGGGCCAGTGTGGAATGGCCACAGGTCCTCTTGTAAGGACACCTGCGTGGTGTGTTTTTTACTCCACTGATCCTGCCTGCGTCTCTGAAGATCGATCTGTTGTCATCAAAGCTCGCCTTTATTTGTCAGGATAACCTGGGAGCCCAGCAGTGAACACCCATGTTCTCTATATCAGCACAAAACCTGTTAGCCACTCAGGGGCCTCTCGCAGGAGCCCAGCAAGTCATGCAGTTTCTCTTGGGTCAGGGAGGGTAAGCTCTTGAATCCCAGAGAGAGATGGGAGGGGGAGGCATCTTGAGAATAGGATTGTTTGCCTTGGCTTTGGAAGAAACAGCAAAAGTAGGAAATGCAGCAGGCAGGGTTGGGGAAAGAACGTGCCTGAATGGTCTTGGGTGCAAAACCACTTCTGGTGCTCCGTAACAGAGACCTTGGGCTGCACTGCTGCTGCCAGGGTTGTATTTGCTTGCTATACAGACAGAGGCTCTGTTTCTGAAACTTGATGCCTTTTAAAACGGAGAATAAATGTTTGGGGCTAGGAATTCTTTCCTAATCTCAAGGAGTCTATTCTGGATTCGTAGCCATTGACAGGCATCTCTCTCTCTCTCTCTCTCTCTAAATCTTTAATGGATATAGGAAAGTGTTAGAATAAGGTGCTTTTTAATGGGAATTAAAAATGATGTCTGCTGATTCAGGAGAGAGGCTACTATTTCTCACAGAAGACAATTCTCCACTTGAGCAAGGACTTCAGGGTGGCGCTGTGGTCTAAACCACTGAGCCTCTTGGGCTTGCCGATTGGAAGGTCGGTGGTTTGAATCCTCATGACAAGTGAGCTCCCATTGCTCTGTCCCAGCTCCTGCCAACCTAGCAGTTCGAAAGCACACCAGCACAAGTAGAGAAATAGATACCGCTGCAGCAGGAAGGTAAATGGTGTTTCTGTGTGCTCTGGTTTCCGTCACAGTGTCCTGTTGCGCCAGAAGTGATTTAGTCCTGCTGGCCGCATGACCCGGAAAGCTGTCTGTGGACAAACGCCGGCCCCCTCAGCCTGAAAGCGAGATGAGCGCCACAACCCCATAGTCGCCTTTTGATTGGACTTAACTGTCCAGGGGTCCTTTACCTTTACCTCTGGGTTTTGTTAGCAACCTGATCATTTTCTGATCTTTGTGTATCAGTAGAAGTCATTCTGACTCTCTGTGAAGTCCTCCACTCTTGCTCACTTCCTGGGTATTGGAAGGACAGGGGGCTGCAGCTGAACCTTAAAAACTTGACATGACTGTCTATTAAGTGGAACCTGCTTTGTGAGATGCACGAGACGGGCTGGAAATGAAATGGGTATTTATTGTATTTGTATGTGAACATTCACAGAGTGAGGTGTGGTGGAGAGAAAAGGCCTAACGTGAGATTTAACAGATAATATAACTCCAAGAATGCACCCTTGGAAGAAAAATACAGTACACAGCCAGCACTTCCTGGAGCATCAAAGCATGAATAGGGGAAGTGTTGTATTTCAAAAGCTAAGTGTTAAATCCAGGTGTGTGGGAGAGAGAGAGAGAGCCCCTTTGCATGTATCTCTGTCATTTGCTACTGTATGAAATTTGAACATTACAACTCTCCAGTCAAGTGAAATACTAAATTCTAAACTGCTAAATACTAAAACGAAAAAGCAAACAAACAGATCCCTCTGTTTTGCATCAAGTCAGCGTATTGCACCTGACTCAGCACTTGGGAGAGGCTGGATGTGTGCGCATGTGCGTATGCTCATGCATACACACTCAGGATGCTGCAGTGAGGGCAAGAGATCAGGGAATTCCCCTTGATGAGTGTCTTTCCACTGACGTAACTCTGCATGCCAACCAGTATGTATCAGTTACGGTTAGCTGAGCATAAAATGGGTTTAATGCGCAGTACCTGGATTGAGACTCTCTATCATGCATGGCCCAAAGGAAGATGCCATCATAATTTCTGTGGGTGTGATGGGAATCCACAATATCTCACTCCTCAATTCACCTAAGACAGCACCTGAAGAAGACATGCCCATTTTTCTGGCACCATGCTTCACAACAGATGCTGACAGTTTTGAGAGAGCTCGGCTTCCTAAAGAGAGAAGCACAGCTGGAAAAGGGCTATATTTGGAAAATGTTCAACAGCTGAAGAAACAAAAGGTAAAGGTAAAGGACCCCTGACAGTTACGTCCAGTCGCAGTTGACTCTGGGGTTGCGGTGCTCATCTCGCTTTCAGGCTGAGGGAGCTGGCATTTGTCCACAGACAGTTTTCCTGGGTCATGTGGCCAGCATGACTAAGCCGCTTCTGGCAAACCAGAGCAGCGCAAAGAAACGCCGTTTACTTTCCCGCCGGAGTGGTACCTATTTATCTACTTGCACTTTGACGTGCTTTCGAACTGCTAGGTGGGCAGGAGCAGGGACCGAGCAACCGGAGCTCACCCCGTCGTGGGGATTCGAACCGCCAACCTTCCAATCGTCAAGGGTGTGAGAATGAAATATTGAACAGGCACCAAGCAGGTTTCCTTAGGGAGGGCAGATGTTGCAACCTTGAGGTGCAGCCACAGAGATGCACCCCACTCTGGTGTGAGCATTAAACGCCCGTTTGCAGATAGTAAACTCAGTCTTTTACAGCAGAATGCATCAATTAAGTAATTAAAGGCAACTCACAACATTATGCAATGTGAGAATGAGACATTACAGTACTGACATCTGGTAGCGCCTGCAGAAAAGCGTCCCTGGAGGAAGGTCTGTGGCAAACATCTCAGCCAAAGGGCATCTTGCTAACCCAGAACCCCTTCCAATTTAATTGAGAGTTGGTCTGCATATACTTGTCTCCTATGTCAGTATAAAGCATTTTCCTCACTGTATTGCACTCTTGGAAATGGTGTTCCTAAATTTTTTAGGATGATGTGAAGTTTCTCCAGCAGAGGGCAGGGTCTGCTCATGTTCTCGTGCCAGAAATCCCGGTCTTCACCTTGGGGTGGAATTTTTCACTTGTTAAGGCAGAAAGCAAAGCAGCTGGGATGTGTTTAGTGACCTCCTCCATTCTCTCACCAGATTATTTTTTAACCTTGGCTACAGCCTGCTTCTTTGACAGAGCAGAGCAACAGGCTCTCAGAGCAAATGCATGCACGGAGGACAAGCAAGCAAAAGCACTTTTCATGGGTCACAGGCCTCTCCTTTATTTATTTCACCAGAGTTTATTAAATGAGCTTTAGAATATAGCGTATAACTGCCCCCCACAAAATAATATATGCTCTAGGCTCATAAAGTGACTTAGTTGAATTCAACCCTATCATTATCATCTGCCTCTAAATAATCTATTGCTAACCATATTATTTTTTATTCAGTTTATATCCTGCCCTTCCTCCCTAAGGGAGCCCAGGGCAGCAAACACAAATGGTAAAACATCTTAAAAACAATTCCAGTGCAGATACAGACTGGGATAAAGATCTTCATTTTTAAAGTATTTCTTTACATGCATGACATTATATATTTATGTCTTGCTTTCCCTCCATTTTACCCAAGTAACAGACAGCTCTGTGAAGTGGGCTAAGCTAAGCTAATATATGAATACTACACCCATATGCACATAAGCAGCAGTTCTTGTTAGGATATAGTTCTGTTCCACCTTAAAAGGGTGCAGGCATGACTCTTGTGTGTCACGTGCCTGTTTACTTCCAGCGCTTGCTGGGAACTTCCGTTTGTATATAGCTTTTGCTTTGCTGCTGTTTTGCTGGACACAAAGGGAAGCAGACATGTTTTTTCTTTGTTCCTGCTGCTGAATAAAATGCTGTAATATACTGCTTACACATTTTTCTGTCCACCTCTTGTGCTGTGAGAAGATTTATTCACTCTGCTGATAGAGCGTGCTCGGGTCTCTAAACGTATCTTAGGCTCGTGTCACAGATTGATGCTGTTCCGAGGGAGACCGGCGATCATCCAGCTGCCAGCCGGTGGCTGGAGCCAGCTGGGGTTCTGCCTGATGCCCCCGTCTCTCCGGCAGTATCCCAACAGTTCTTGCCAATAGACTGGGTGGTGGGAGAGAGCCCCCCCAACCCACATGCTGCATGCCGGGGCTCCCTGCCTGTTTCAGAGAGAGAGCTGCCCGTTCAGAACAAGCAAGCAGCTGGCTAGTGCCCCCAGAACCACCCACCTGCAGGGCCTCTGTTTTCGCAGGTGCAAGCTGTTTGGTAGCCCTCCTCTGTTCCTCAGTGCACCCAGGAGCCATGACAGTGTGTGCTCAGCCTGTCCTGACTAATGTTGTGGAGAAAGAGAGCCGGTTATGATCAGAGCATGGGTGACATTTGCTCCCAAACTCCTGTTCACTGCCTCTTGACAGCAGTCTCGGTAAAGATTCAGCCTGGGAAGTATCCCGGCTCAAAAGGCTTGTTGGAAGAGGAAGAGGAAGAACTTCAGGAGGTGCAGATGAGGTAGCAGGCGGCGTCTGCCCAGCATTCAAGGGGGAAGGAATTCCAGAGGGCAGGAGCCACAACACTAAAAGTCCATAATGTATTTTTAATCTTTTGTTGGAAGCTGCCCAGAGTGGCTGGGGAAACCCAGCCAAATAGGCAGGGTATAAATACATTAATTATTATTATTATTATTATTATTATTATTATATCACACACAACAATACCTTGTAAGAAAAACAGCTCCTGCCTCCACCATCAGCTCTGCCCTTCTAAAGTGTAGTGAACTGCTTTTGAAACGTAGATTCCTACACTGCAGAGGGTTGGACTAGATGACTCTTGGGGTCCCTTCCAGCTCTACAATTCTGTATGTGCTAAAAGAAAAGCCTGTGATTGTTCGCCACCTGAAAGTACGTATTGGCAGTTCCCCATGGTCTTTTAAGACTATAATTTAGGAGAGATTAGGTAATGTAAAACTGAGAGAATCCAAATAAGATTTGCAACATTTTGGACACCGTGCCATTATTTATTTTTAAAAAACAAAAAGCAGACATATGCCGGGAAGTGCAGCTTTGGCATAATGGTTAGCGCCGAAGCTTTCAGTAGTTCTTTGCTCCTGAACATGAAATGACACACTTTATCCTGCTAATAGTGCAGAATCATAAGAACGTGATCATATAATAATAAACAAAGAATAATGAAGACTTAAAACCAAGGCAAATACAACATTTAAATTACTGAGCATCAAAGAAGGGAAAAGAAGGCTTAAGAAATGAAACGGTGCCGTTAGCTGACTTCAACTTGCTCTGCTCCAGAAACCTCCTAGCTGAACAAGCAGCAAGAACATCCAGCACGCATAGCTAGTAAGATTATCCTCTCAAAACCTTGCTTTTTGAAAAAATCAAAACTGCTTTTGCTGGCGGAAGCATTGATTCTTTCAGAGAATAACACCAGCCGTGCAGGTTAGCATGTTACTGGAGCCCTCAAGAAGTGTTGCTTTGTCCCAGATCCTCGACACGTGCTGTGCTGCCATCGTCTCCAAAGAGGTTTTTCTAGCGAGGTCAGTGGCACCTAAGAAATCCATGTGGGAAAAGGAACGCTTGACTTTCGCATTTGGAAAGAGAAATCAGTGCGTCAAAATAACATATGTGTATTTTCTTGACCAGGTTCTCTGGGTGTAGAAGCTTGAGCTGTTGGTTACCCAGAAGTCCTTCTGGTTGGTTCCCAGTGACTGGGAGAGGGGTGGGTGAGTGAGTGCCTGTGCTTTTTTGGCGCCCGCTTTCCTGGTTCCTTGTTGGTTCCCCCAGTTCCATCTGCCGCTCTCCCTTTCTCTTAAGTCAGTACATGGTTCTTACCTTCCTCCTGCCTTGAAGGGCTTAGAGGTGCCATGTCTCCTGAAGGAGGGCAAGCCACCAGAGGGACTTCTTGTGAACGGCCTTGCTCTGCCCCAGCCACTTTCCCACTGAGCATTTGCCGCCCTACATTTCAGAACATTTTTGTGGGTTCACAAGCACACTCTGCTCATGCCCTACCATAGCAGGCAAAGATTCTTCAACATCAACTTCGTTGGACTGGTCATGTTGCTCGGATGCCTGACAGTTGTCTTCCAAAGCAACTACTCTATTCCCAACTTAAGAATGGAAAGCGAAATAACCAGTGGACAACAAAAGATGTTTACAGATGCTCTCAAAACCACTCTTTTAAAAAATGTAGTATAAGCACTGATAACTGGGAAACACTGGCCTGTGAGTGCTCCAGTTGGAGAACAGCCTTTACCAAAGATGTCGCAGACTTTGAAGACGTTCGAACTCAAGACACAAGGGAGAAACGAGCTAAGAGGAAGGCACGTTTGGCAAACCCTCACCGTGATCAACTCCTGCCCGGAAACCAATGTCCCCACTGTGGAAGGACGTGTGGATCCAGAATTGGCCTCCACAGTTACTTATGGACTCACTTTTAAGACCGTGTTCATGGAAGACAATCTTCCTCAGCTACGAGGAATCGCCAAAGAAGATGACCATAGCAGGCAAACAAGTCTCCCTGCCTGAGCTGGAGGCCTGGTGTTGAGGGATCCCTGGGGTGATGGTTGAGGTTGGATCTCAGCTTCTGCACCGAGGTCACCCAGTCCAGGGACTTCATGGCTGCCATGATCACCACAAGTCTGTCCCAGTGTGTATATGCACGTGAGCAGAACATGCTCTTGACTTTGTCTTGTTGACTCACCAGCAAGATGGTGACTATGAAAGGGGTAGAATTAACATGAACGTAAAGCTGAGGCTCCAAGACTTTGGCCACCTCATGAGAAGAGAAGACTCCCTGGAAAAGACCCTGATGCTGGGAAAGATGGAGGGCACAAGGAGAAGGGGATGACAGAGGACGAGATGGTGGGACAGTGTTCTCGAAGCTACCAGCATGAGTTTGACCAAACTGCAGGAGGCAGTGGAAGACAGGAGGGCCTGGCGTGCTCTGGTCCAGGGGGTCACAAAGAGGCGGACACAACTAAATGACTAAACAATAACAACAAGAAGAAGTATTAACATCTATCCCATTGTCACGGTCAGATCATTTCCTGTTAAGGTCAAGACCTTCAGCAGCCGTTTCCCTCTGCAGGAGTGCTGGAGGGGGGGACCTGTTATTAAACAGTCCCCTCCTGGAGGTGGACGGATTCCGGAAAGCTCTGGGGAATTTTCCTCCTGGCGTGGCTGATGCCTCTGTTGAAACCACGCTCACTCTGTGGAATGTGGAGATGACCTGGGCAGTTGACAGCAGTCGTGATGCCCTGTTGCCCAGTTCAGCTCCCTGGTGGGCACCTCTGCTGAGGGCAGTGGAGCCAAAGAGGTGGCAGCTGGAACAGAAGGTGTAGGAAGACCCTTGCGGAGTCCCACCAACTCCCACATTTCTTTGGCAGTTTTCTTATTCCTTATATATACTACTTGCTGGTTGCTGACAGCCAAATTAATTATCGCCCTGGCTTTCATATCTCCTTTCAACCAAGCATTAGTCACAGGGTCGGGGGGTCATCAGTCACATAGGTCCATACTTCTTGAGAGGTCAAAAGCGCCTCCACCCGAAGCGACCATGAACTGCAGTTTTCATCTGTCAGCTGTGGGAACATCAGAGCTTTCTCGGCTTCTGGAACCCGGTCAACCATTCTGGAACTCTTCCAGACCCACAGAACCACACCAACAGGAGAAGGAGTTTTCAAACCTTTCTCAAAGTCCAAAAATGTGCAGTCATCCACTCAGCAGCTGGGCCCATAACCAAAGATGTTGGCTATTTGCAGATTAGTTGCTCTGCAGAAGGCATGCTGGGGAGACCACACATTCAAGAAACGCAAAAGTAACTTTTGCTTGGTTTAATAACAAATATCAAAAACAAAAACTCCTTTTACACTAAATTACATTATATATAAAGGGACGCGGGTGGCGCTGTGGGTTAAACCACAGCGCCTAGGACTTGCCGATCAGGAGGTTGGCAGTTCAAATCCCCGCAACAGGGTGAGCTCCCATTGCACGGTCCCTGCTCCTGCCAACCTAGCAGTTTGAAAGCATGTCAAAGTGCAAGTAGATAAATAGGTACCGCTCCGGCGGGAAGGTAAACGGTGTTTCCGTGCGCTGCTCTGGTTCGCCAGAAGCGGCTTAGTCCTGCTGGCCACATGACCCGGAAGCTGTACGCCGGCTCCCTTGGCCAATAAAGCGAGATGAGCACCGCAACCCCAGAGTTGGCCACGACTGGACCTAATGGTCAGGGGTCCCTTTACCCTTTACCTTATATCAATAAGTGTAACCCATCCACCAAGGTACGGAGAGAGCTACATGCTGCTCTTTATATTCTTTACCCAACAACTTAATTAACATAACTTAACAGCACCTGCTATACTGCTTCACAGCTGTAAAACTAAGTCATGTTATTTCTTCTGGCCCTTAAAGACGTACACATCTTGTGAAACAATAATGAAACCTAAAATTTAAAGAAACCATTCAACAGGAACGCCTGTGGGGGCCTCTTCTGTGGTGGCAAAGAGGGAGCTCTTATCTGGGGTTGAGGCCTCCTGGCGTTACAGACAAGGTGCTTGGTCCAGCCCAGCCCACCACCGATCCATGATGGACCTTTGCCTCCCTAGCCTTATTGCCTCTAATAAAGAGAAGGTTCCTGGCTGGGTCCAGGAGTCTGCAAATTCCTCCTTGTTGGAGGGCCTGATGCCAACAGCCTCAAAGTGTGAACCAGTTTATATTAAAAAGCTCCAATCCAATAGGTCTCTCCAGATGTTTCCATGGGTCTGGAGAGGTTGTCTCAATTGATTGTTGCTTCTCACATGCGAAGGGATCTTTTTAGCGCTTTTAGGGCTTCTGCCTCCCCTCAGCACTTGGCTCCAGCTCCCTCCCTCCCTCCCATCCACCTAGTCCTTGTCAAGGACACATCCTCTTAAAACCTTTGAGTATGGCAACGGGAACAAGCACCTTGCGACAAGGTCACACCTGCAGGCCCTGCTCATCTTTCCAACCACAAGGTTAGGAAAACTGCAGTAGAGATTGCGTAAGTGCCTCTCGTGCAGTGAAACCACAAGCTGGTGCCTGCAATCCATGCCAGGGAAGGGCTTGTGGGCTTCTCTGACTGTGGTTAGAAAAACCAGTGACAAGAAGACGCTGGTTTCTCTGATGCGAAATTGAGACCCCCTCTTTTGATTCTGGCACACTCTGCTGCGCATTGCAGGGGGTAAGACTAGATGGCCCTTGGGGTCCCTTCCAACTCTATTTGGAGATGAAATTATCAGTTCCATGATCCTATGAGTGAAAAGCAAGCTGGCATCCTGTCCCTACAAGGCCCTGATGCCCTGGAGACAAGGCAGTTGCAACAAGCCTATGGACTCTTGCACCATGCATAATATTAACCCAGCAGTGATGATTTATTAAATTTATATACCACCCTTCATCCAAAGATTGCAGTTTTGTTTGCAGAATAGAGCACAAAATGCATAGCATAATAACGAAACAAAAATACGTGTGTCCCCCCCCCCCACCCCGCAGCCAAAGGCCCGATTGAAGAGGAATGTTTTCACCTGGCGCCTAAAGACATATAATGATGGCTCCAGAAGACCACAAAGAAGGGCCTCAGATGACCATCACAGGGTCCGGGTCGGTTCACATGGGGAGAGATGGTCCTTGAGGCATTTAAGGCTTTATAGATCAAAACTAGCCCTTTGAGTTGGGCCCAGAAGCTATTTGGCAGCCAGTGCAATTGGGTTGGGGTTGGGGTGATGGGCAGGGTGGGAGAGATCCTGGCTCCAGGCCCCCTTTGGACACCAGGCATTGTTTGGCAGCTGCCTGGGGCTTGCGCCTGGAGAGCCCTGTGTCCTGGGAGGCTGGACCACAGCTCCTCTTCAGCTCTGCACTGTGCTGCACTGATTGCTTTGCTGTGCTAATTCCCATTTCTGTGTTTAATTCTCTCTCTGGAAAAAAACACAACAGAAATCGCCTGCCAAGAAGCTGAGCCATGCCATTAGCAAATCTCTTGGTTGTGTACCCAGTCGAGAGCCTCCTCACCCCGTGTACCCGGAGCAGCCAGAGAAGCCCCTTGACCTGGCCCACACAGGGTGAGTATCTCTTCCGTTCTGCGCCAATGTCTCCTCTCGCTTTGCCTCCCTTTGTACGCCTGGCGCCTGGGTTCTGGAAGGGCGGCCAAGAGAAATGCAGAGAGGAAGGGTCTCTGCCCAAAAAGGCTATCTGTACCAGGAGCCTTGAGAGTCATTTTGTTGATCCTCTTGGAGCGGATTCTCACTGTCTGGTCCTCGCCGTTCTGCTGTGGATGGAAAGATGCTCAGCTCTGAGACCTCCTTCTATAGCTTGGCAAGCGCTTGCAGAACATTGGCTGACTGCAGCCTTCCCTGGTGTGTTGCCCTCCGGAACAGCCGTAGGATGCCCAGGCTGATGGCAGTTGTGGTCTAGAGTGCCTGTAGGGGGGCAGTTTGGAGGAGGCTGTCCTGTCTCCAGAGGCAGAACTGTGGCAGGTGTGTGTGTGTGTGTGTGTGTTCCAAATGGCTGGTTCTGCGTTTGGCCTTGCTGGCATCTTTGAAGCAGCATGTGGGGACATAACACCAGCGTCCGGTTAGTCACTTTTTTAGCAGTTACTGGGTGAGCAGAACCTGGCAGGAATCCTAGAATTATAGAGTCAGAAGCGACCCCGAAGTTCATCTAGTCCAGCCCCTTGCAATGCAGGAATCTATAATCCTGCTCTGGTCCGATTGCCAGATGATTATGTCGTTGAATGTTATTGAACTTGTGCGCTCACCAGATTTAATCCAGAAAGTGGCATCACAGGTGTTAAATCAGAAAAGGTCTGTGGGGGCCTCTTGCTGCAGGGGCAGTGATGGCCTGGAAGAGAAATCACAGGTGCCCTTGGTTTTCTCAGGGTGGGCTTGGTTGAGGAGGTGGCTCTCTCGCGGTTGTGTGGTATAATGTTCTGCAAACAGATTGGAATGTATACTGAATAAGCAGCCAACATTGTATGACCTCCCTGCAAACATTCTGCAAATTAATCAGGGTGAACGCTCAGGAAAGAGGTCTCAACCTCAGTACCCAATTATAGGCAGATAATTTCATCTCCAAATATTGGGGAGGGGGTACCACTATCCCCTTATTCTCCTAGTTTTTTCAAGGCGCCTCCATCTTTCTTTCTCCCATTCCCCCACCGGGCCTCATTGCCACCCTGCGCTGTGTTGGGAGGTGTGTGACGTCGCATGACACGTGCATGACGTCCTGGGGGCAACCTGGCACCTGTGGAGACGGCCGAATTCCCAAGGTGGAGAGTCGGAAGAGGCAGAATGTGTTTGTTGCATTTTACTACGCCTTGTTCTCATCTGATGTTGGGCGCAGTGTGCCATGGAAAGGTTGCTTACAGATAAGCTGGTGATGGCATCTTGCATTCTGTGTCTGTCTCTGCCGCCTCCCTGAGGCTCTCCCCATCCTCTTGCTGCTTGTCTTCAGAGTGGGAAGGAGTGCGGAAGAGACAGCCTTTTGCCCAGGTCTCAGTGACTTCCTCTGAGCAGTTTTCCAGGAAGCCTGGAGCTGGCAGAGAGGTCAGGCCGTTGGGTGTTTGCACTGGACTGGAAGGGTGTTGGCAGGGGGATATAGTTCTTTGATTTAGGTAGCCCCCCAAAGGTGTCTGTTTGTTGGAACAGCCCTTTCTAAAATCCAGTTAAGCGCTCCATGGTTTTCAGAGTAGGGTCCTAAGAGACCAGGAGAAAGAGTGTTTGTTTCCTGGAGAATTCCTAGCTTGACACTTATTCCCGGGGGTGTCTTGGCATGCCTGTAGCAAGAGCAACCTCCTTGGCTTCGGTTGTTTCCTAGGTCTGTTTTAAAGCACACGGCCAGAGTCCCTTTACCAGCCAGATGGATGGGGTATAAATAAATCTATTATTTATTATTATTATTGTTGTTGTTGTTGTTGTTGTTTATTATAATTATTATTACTACTACTACTATACCACCTTCTCATATTGGCAGGGGCGGCAGATAGGTGGAGTTCCTGTAGCAAACATAAGCAATCTCTTGCTCCCTGTTGCCCGTCTGGTCCTTCCCCCCCACTGCCCCCCCCCGAATACATTTTGCCACTGCCCATGTGACCCTGGCAACACAGAACTCCTACCAAAATACTGCTGAAGCTCAGCCCTTGTATTCAAGCAACCTGCATGCTTTATAAATGAGCAGTTTTGCATAAATCGAGCATCGTATTAGAGGGTTTATATATATATGTATAAAGAAGCTGCAACCTTAACCTAAACATTAGGATGTAGAAGTTAGCAAATGAACAGAAATTAGATTTGGTCTTTCCTGGTAATTCTGATTTGCTAATGGAACAGATGAATCTGTGCCAGCGAGACCACGTGGCAGCCTTAATCGCTGCCTTTCCCCTAAGTCGTTTCACTTTTGAAAAGGGTGGATTTGGAACGGTGGGGTTGCTGTTTGCTGCACCACTGCCTGTTGGGCAGGTTTAGCTGGTTTGTTTATTTATCACCTTCCACACATGTCTCAATGTACAAAATGCAATAAGAAAATAAAAACAGGAAACAAAAGCCGATGAATTTTGAAAGCAATCCAAAGCAGGCACCTAGTGCAAATCCTGCAAAGCAAGGAGTGAGGTGCTGGGGGCATTTTGCCCCCCAAAGCAAGCATTTTGCCCCAGCTGCAGCCTCAAGGGGAGCCCCACATAGAGCGCATTACAGTAATCCAACGCTGAGGTTACCAAGCTATCCTGGCCAGCTATTCATTTCTGCGTATTTGGTAGAACGGAGGCAATGCCTCTGGACCAAAGACCACCGTGAAACCTGTGTGTGTTTGCATGGAAGCAGATCTCGCTGAGTTTAATGGGCCTTGCTCCCAGGAAAGTCTGTAGAAATCTCTGCAGTCTCAGTGGGACCACAGGCCGTTTGGGGCTGGCCCCAGGTGAGAGAGGTGTTTCTGGTGGGCGGCCACGGATGCATTTCAGAAGAAAGAAAATTGTTTTGCAATTAAACTCGCTACTCAAATTGCACCGTGTAATTTCTTCCCCTGGACTGCTGTTTACCATAAAGCTTCAAGCATTAATTCTGGGAGGAAAAGAAAATTAAAAGGAGCGGGCAATTTTGACATTAAAGCAACACTCCAAATTGTGAGGACTCCCGAGTACGAAGCAGTAATTTGGGAAAGCAATTAGCACACAAACGTTTTCCTTCTGATGCAGCTTCTTGTTCTGGCTGATGCGTATTAGGCCCCGAATGGATTTGTGTAATGATCGCAAAGCAAATCCAGCCATGACGGATGGCTGCAGGTAAGTTCTCCTCCTCTCTGCCTCACCAGCCAGTTCCTGCCAGGAAGCAAAATGGCATCTCCTTCCACAGCATGGAGGGGAGGCAGGAAGTGGGCAGAGAGAAGCCAGCAAGGAGGGCTGGTGGAGAATCAGACACAGGAGAAGAGTCGGTGGAAGAAGATTGGAAGAAATGTAAAGACTATTTACAGAAATATTGCAAAATTAATGAATGTTAGAATGATGTTGGATTGAAGTTAAGTGGTTTCTAGCTGTAATGGTATAAAAGAATATGGAAAAATTGGATTTTCAATACGTAAAAACCTGGGAAAGGAATGGCTGAACTAATAAATTGAACTGGAATACAAAAAAGGGAGGTATGAGGAGGTCCGGGAAACAAGTAAATGAAAGAGAAGTGATGAAAAGATGGAATTGTTTTTAATGGTTTTTTTGTATTTTGTATTTTTCTTTTTTCTATTTTTCTTTTTCTTATTTATGTATCCTTCTTTTGAAACTTTAATAAATATTATTTAAAAAATAATAATAATAAAAAGAGAATCAGACACAGGAGTCTGTAGAGCTGGTCCCTGCCTTGCCTGGCTCCACAGGCACACAGAGGGAACACACCGGTGGCTGCAGAATCATTGATTCTTTCCACCCCACCTTTCTGTCCAAAGGCACCAAAGGCAGCAGATAAATTCCCACCACCACACAGCCAGTAAAACATACCAGATGCAGGCCATCTTGCAGGATAAAGCTAAAGAAAAATGCAAAGGTGCCTGGGATAGATTTGCTTGTTCTCAGTCCCCCTTGTTCAGCAGGTGGATGGCGCTCCTGGTATCGTCTCCTTTTCAGCTTCTCTGCAATCCTCGGAGACGGGTTAGAGCAGCTTCCTAGCTGCACGTGACTGTCCCATTTTTGACTGTCCTGTGTTGCAGCCACTGGCTTGCCGCTTTTTAAAAGCATTAATGCCAACACTGACCTTTCGTTTCCCGTCCTCCTCAGAGAAAGCTCAGCATGAAGCTTCATGTTTGTTCTAGAGTTTGCATGCTTTTTTTAAAAAAAATCTCTAATGACATCTCGTGTAGACTTTACAGTGTAATTGCAGAACCTTACGGAGTCTTGTTTAAATTAGTCATGGGAGTCATTTAGTCCATGTGACAGAGTGAGTGTCAGAGATGTTTACCTTCTGGTACCCTTAAAAAAAAAAGAAGAAAGCAGGAGAAACCCTGCATTTGGGTCAGGAAAAACAGCTCACCCTTTTCGTTTTGTAATAAACGAAAATCTGCCCTTATTCCCTTATGGGGGACACAAGAGCCCTCATAGAGTCCTTTGTAGGTTCTCCATCAGTCGGAGGAAAAAACAGAGGCCAACAGAGAATATTGAGAAGCAAAGCAGCTTGTAAGCCTGATCTTTATTGATCTGTTGCAACGGGATGCTCCCCTCACACGCAGGAAAGGAGGAGGACCCAGAACCAAGGTGTGCCCGCCCTTATATAGACATTTTAAATTGCCCGCCCTGGAGTTGAAGACCACCCCCAGATACATCATACCTATATCACAGAAGAGGCTGTCTGAAGCAGAAATCTGAGTGTGTTGTTTATCTCCTGTCATCGTTTATTTCCTGTCTGGCAGGTTACCTGTTAATACTTACTTGATTGGATACCCTGGGGAGCTTGGCCAGTCTTTTGTAATGATAAATACTTCGTTCCTGAGCCAGGTCACAGGCTCACCCTGTTCATACACAGACATACCCTTAAGACAGGATTTGTGAAGGAAAAGACAATGGGGAGGCTTTTCCATTTGACCTTGCAGAGAAAACACCTGGTCAGCCTGGGAGTCAAAATGGCTCCATGGCTGCTCTCCTGTGCAGCTTCAGACATGTGGCCTATATATCTATGTACGTGTTTGCTTGGTACATTTATGAACCTTTATTATATACATAAGACCTTAAATTATTTATTTCAGTTTCCTTCTGACTCTTTCCCTCTTGCTGTCACTGTTCTTTGTGGGTTTCGCCACTCCCTCCCTTTTGGATAAGATGCAGGCAAGATAAGGGAATAACAAGAACAGCTTTCCTAGATCAGGCCAACGATCTTTCTGGCTTCATGGCCTCTTTGGCTGTGGCCCCCAGGATGGAGGTAGCTGCTGCCCCTTGTTCCTCTCTAGCGCTGGCTTTGAATCAATGGGCATCGCTTTCTAAAATGCTATTTCTGCCCCAGCTCAGAGTGTGGTGTTGATAATGCCAAGGTTGCAGGTTTGATCCTGCATTTTCTTGCATTGCTCGGGGTTGGGCTAGATGATCCTCAGGGTCCCTACAATTTTATTTATGATTTGTGACTCCTAAGTGGTGGCTTTTACAACACGTAAAGTTACAGTGGCATATAAACAGCAATATAAACCCGTCAACTGGGAATGCCAAACATAGGCATTCCTTGCTGGGACAAAATGGCTTTTAATGGCTCATCGGTAGTGGCACCCGCCCTGTGGAACACCCTCCCACCAGATGTCAAAGAGAACAACAACTACCAGACTTATAGAAGACATCTGAAGGCAGCCCTATTAAGGGAAGCTTTTAATGTTTGATGCATCGTTGTTGTTGTTGAGTCGTTTAGTCGTGTCCGCCTCTTCGTGACCCCCTGGACCAGAGCACGCCAGGCACTCCTGTCTTCCACTGCCTCCCGCAGTTTGGTCAAACTCATGCTGGTAGCTTCGAGAACACTGTCCCACCATCTCGTCCTTCGTCGTCCCCTTCTCCTTGCGCCCTCCATCTTTCCCAACATCAGGGTCTTTTCCAGGGAGTCTTCTCTTCTCCTGAGGTGGCCAAAGTCTTGGAGCCTCAGCTTCAGGATCTGTCCTTCCAATGAGCACTCAGGGCTGATTTCCTTCAGAATGGAGAGGTTTGATCTTCTTGCAGTCCATGGGACTCTCAAGAGTCTCCTCCAGCACCAGAATTCAAAAGCATCAATTCTTTGGTGATCAGCCTTCTTTATGGTCCAGCTCTCACTTCCATACATGGATCCCTTCATGGATCACTGCCTTGCTGTGGCAAAGTGGCTTGAATAACTCAGAGAAGCTATGAGCCATGCCATGCAGGGCCACCCAAGATGGACAGGTCATAGTGGAGAGTTTTGACTAAACGTGATCCACCTGGAGCAGGAACTGGCAAGCCACTCCAGTATCCCTGCCAAGAAAACTCCATGGACAAAGACAACAGGCATATAAAAGTTTGATGCATTACTGTATTTTAAGATTTTGTTGAAAGCCGGCCAGAGTGGGTGGCGTATAAATAAATTATTATTATTATTATTATTATTATTATTACTATATTGGAAGCCGTGGGCAGAGGGGGGCATGTCTACTCCTCCTCCACAATGAGGCGCACCCTCTGAGAAGGCCCCTCTCTTGACCACCCTGCTCAAATGTGCCGCCACCCGAGGGGGATCCCCTGGGATCCCCTGGCTGACGTCCAAAGAACGAAGAAGAGCCTGCTGGATCAGGCAGTGGACCTCCAGTCCGGAATCCTGTTCTCACAGTCGCCAACCAGGTGCCCCCACAGGGAAACCCATAGGCAGGATCTGAGCGCAAGAACCTTCTCCCCTCCTGGGGTTTCCAGCAACCAGGATTCAGAAGCCGGGCTGTCTCTGACTGTGGAGGCAGAGCGGAGCCACCAGGAGCCGTATTCTCCTCCATGAATTTGTGTAATCCTCGTCTGAAGCTGTCTTGGTTGGTCCAGAACCCATGCGGAGCCTCCCCTTCGTGAAATTGCCCCCTTCGTTTCAGAGTCATCCTGTCGTGTGGCCCTGAAGGATAGCTCAGCCGGTAGAGCACGAGATTCTGAATCTTAGAGTCATGGATTCAAGTCCCATGTTGGGCGAAAGATTGCTGCATTGCAGGGGGTTGGACTAGATGGCCCCTATGTGGCTCCTTCCAAGTCCCTGTCTGTCTGTGATGCATTGAAGCAGCCTTCCCCAACCTGCCGCAACTGCAGCTGCCCAACGGCTTGACTTTTGGGGAGGCTGTGGAATCTGCCTGGCTTTTGTGCCTGCAAACAGGGGCCTCCTTAGCTCTGGGACCTGAGATTTGGGGGCCCTTTTTTGTTCATCTATGGAGCTGGCAAGCCTGAAGCTGGGCTCAGCCCCCAGGCAAGTCTAGGCTGCCTTTCTGCCCTGCCTAGTGCAAATGTTGGCCTGTCTGAACACCCTGCCTTGCCTCACTTAGGCCTCTCCATCCTAGCACCAGCCCAGTCACAATTCCTGCAGGACCAGCTTGCGTTTTGAGTTTGCTTTTCAAAATTGGGGCAAGCGTGTCTCCCCAGGGGATGCTATCTTTGCGTGTGACTGTCCTCCCTCCACCCCGCGCCTGCTGGCTCTCCCTGCTTCCTTCCCCTTCCTTCCTTCCTTCCTTCCTTCCTCCTCCTCCTCCAGGCCCCAAGGGTGTGCTTCTTTCGAGAAGCTTCTCTGCTGTCAAGGAAATCTGGCTTTTGAAAACGAAGCGGGTTTTTTTGCTGGCATTGCAGTTATCTGCTGTGCCCTTTTTCAGAAAGGGGAAACTCCTGTATTGCCCGGCGAAGATTCCGGTTGTGACGGGGATGGGGGAGTCAGCAAAATAAAAATAATAATAAAACAACCCAAAACCCAGTGGCAGCTCAGTAGCAGCAGTGTAACCGTGAGCTTTATGAATTCTCCAGCGGAAGAAGGAGCTGTCCAGGCTTCTGAGATGCTTGAAAGGGGAGATGCAGGGAGGCAAGGCGACGTCTTAAAATAGATGCTGCCTCTGGCTGGAGCCAGGTAGCGGGGAGGTCTGGTGCCTCTCTCACCTTGAGCAGCTGGAGGTGCAGGTGAGTGTACACCTGCCTCTCCGGGAGGCCTTCCTGGGGGGTACCTGCTCTTCCCCAAGAGAGAGAGAGAGAGCCAGTGGCTGGCAGGCAGGAGATCCTCACGTGACACGTCTGTTTCCTTAGAGACAACGGAGGAGGAGGAGGAGGAGGGCTGGGCCACGGCTGCTGCCCTCTTTGGATGCCTCTTTGGCAAAGGAAGGCAGAGGCACTTGCTCTACAGCAGCGAAGGTTTGCTGTCTTTGCTTCTCTCTCTCTCTCTCTCTCTTGCTGCTTTAGGGCTTTTGCATGCACTTGTTCGGGGCGCTGCAGGGAGCCCTTTCCCTGGCCAAGTGAACTTCTCAGAAGCCGGCGGATGAAAAGAAACAACCTTTTCCAGCAGTTCTTTGTGGTTCTTTGTTATGGGGTGGGAGGGGGTTGTAGGTGCAAAGGACGAGGCAGCTTTCTGGCGCTCCCTCGCCTGGTGCCTTTGAAGGAGGCTCCTTCGACAGCAGGGCAAGGGGCAGCTGCTTCCTGGGCAGCTGTCGTTCTCAAGACCTCCTTGAGATGCTTCGAGAGCAAAGGTCCTTTGCGAAGTGGCCTCTTTAGCAGGAAGGGTTCGGGGTGCCGGGCGGGAGGAGAGACATCGGAAACTGCGGCCGTGCAAGTTCAGGGGCCGACAAAAAGAACTCTTGGAGCCTGAGGGTGGCTAGATTTATCTTAACGTTTGCCATTGATCTCTGAATAATTGCTCGAGTGATTACATCTAAACACTCCTCTGTGGTTCCTGATGCCTTTTTCTGTACCAGACCCTCTCATGCATGAAAGCTCTTCTTCTCTCTCCACCCCTGAACTATGTTTTTCCCCCTCCCCAGAAAAAAATGTGAGCATTTTATAAAGCTGACTGAGAAGTTTTAGCACCAGAACACGCTGTTTTGAGCGGCATTGTTCTAATTAATGTAGATTAGCATTTGCTGTTTAATGCTCACCTTTTTGATGCTCCCTTTTCAGATTGGATTTCTGCTCTTTTTATAATTGGGAGCCAAAGTCTCCCAGCCGCCCTTTTCCGATGAAATATAGCTAGTCTGGTGAGTTCCATCAAAAGGGAGGCTTACATATGTGACTCTCAAAACGGCTTTTGCTCTGTTCCCTAAAGATGGATGGATGGAGAGCCTCTGTCCAGGCTGAGTGGCAGGAGGCCGTGATCAAGGCCCTTTAGGGTGGAGCAGGGAATCTGCGCTCTCCTCCTGGCGGATGGCTTGGATAAGGGGCAGCAGCCTTCTCCCTCCCTGATATTACGGGGGGGGGGGGGTCCACAGCCATGTCTCTCTCTCTCCTCCCCCCTCCCCTTCAGCTGTGCTAACAGAAGTTTTGGGAAAGGAATGAATCTGGGGAAACCGCCACTATGACACCTGGGGAGTCCAGGGCACCAAGGTGGTTTCCAAATTTGACCCAAGTTTTATATGTTTGTTACCTGATTTAGGGCACAGATGCCCCTTCAAGCCTGTGCACAAAAAACAACAACATTTTAAAACGTTGCCGTTTGAAAGACATAATGCACACCCCTCAGAAATATAAAAGCATTAATAAAGGCAGCAGCAATTAATATAAAGCTGAATGTAATAATTTCTTGAAACGAGGTTGCTCTTATTTCCTGGAAAGAGTCTCATAAGTGACTTTACCCTTAGGCTGTCTGTTTGTGGGGTGCATGTGTTTGTGCATTGCGCAGATATAGAACCCCCCAACGTATGAGATGCAAAATGGCCTTGGTGCTCTGTCTGGGGGCTCTGCTGACCCACTGCCTGTTTCCGTGCCCCATAGCGATTGGCAGGGCAGCCAATGACTAGATGACCCCAGGGCTCCCTCCTGACTCTGCAGTGATTCTGCAAGTGAGGCAGGCAAGCGTTTGGTGGCACAACAGGTGCTAGGACATTGGCCGGACAAGGGACACGCTCCCCCCGGGCTCCCCTTTCAAAGGGGTGGGGGCAACTTCCGCGCAGCAAGTGGGACGTTTATTTGGATGGGGCAAGCAGACGGGAACTCCTTCAGGTGTGTGGGCCTGAGCTACCTGCTCACATAAGCACCTCCATCTCCTAGGCAAGCTCAGGGTTGAATCTAGCCTGGGTGCCTGATGCCTCCCGAGTGGGTGGGGACTTGGCAATGGAGACTGCTGGAGGGGCAGGCTCTGGTGGTATGGGAGGGGCCCCCATGGCTGGAGGCAAGGCTGGCAATGAGCGCCTCAGACAGTAGGAAGGACCAGGGAGGGATGACATGGCAGCAACCCTTGGCTTGGATTCCTTGCCCACTGTGACCCCTTCACAGAGCTGGAAGAGGACCCCCAGGGGTCATCTAGTCCAACCCCGCAATGCAGGTGCTCAGCCTGGGAGTCATTCTGGACTCACAGCTGTCCATGGAGGCGCAGGTCAATTCTGTGTCCAGGGCGGCTTTCTACCAGCTCCATCTGGTACGCAGGCTGAGACCCTCTCTGCCTGCGGACTGTCTGGCCAGAGTGGTGCATGCTCTGGTTATCTCCCATTTGGACTACCGCAATGCGCTCTACGTGGGGCTACCTTTGAAGGTGACCCGGAAACTACAACTAATCCAGAATGTGGCAGCCAGACTGGGGACTGGGACCACATAACACCGGTCTTGAAAGACCTACATTGTCTCCCAGTACGTTTCCAAGCACAATTAAAAGTGTTGGTGCTGACCTTGAAAGCCCTAAATGGCCTCGGTCCTGTATACCTGAAGGAGCGTATCCACCCTCATCATTCTGCCCAGACACTGAGGTCCAGCTCCAAGGGCCTTCTGGCAGTTCACTCCCTGCGAGAAGCCAAGTTACAGGGAACCAGGTAGAGGGCCTTCTCAGTGGTGGCGCCCGCCCTGTGGAAAGCCTCCCATCAGATGTCAAGGAAATAAACAACTATCTGACTTTTAGAAGACATCTGAAGGCAGCCCTGTTTAGGGAAGCTTTTAACGTTTGATGTTTTATTGTGTTTTTAATGTTCTGTTGGGATCTGCCCAGAGTGGCTGGGGAAACCCAGCCAGATGTGTGGGGTATAAACTATTGTTGATATTGTTATTTTTAACATTTCTCAAGGCCCACATACAGCCTGCCATAACCTGCTGGGTCCCTCTGCAGGGCCACCAACCAGCAGCTCCTCAAGCTCCTCCTCCCAGCCCTCATCCAGATCCGACCACCCTGTCCAGGGCTTCTTCTCGGGGATCATGACTCGAACCCACTGCCCCTGTTACCACCTGGAGGGGTGCTCTTGCGCTATGGTGCAAGGACTATTTGCGATATCAGAAATTAGAGGGTTTCAGCAGGAAAGCCACGTGACATGCTGTGATGGAGAATGAAGCAGTCTGTTCCCCCCTGAGTGCCTTGGTGCCATCGTGAGTGCAGAACAGAGAGGTGAATTGTTGCTTCCTGGCACTGGGCACTCTCTTGGTCCTGCAGCCAAGGGTTGCATTAGCTTGCATGCGCCTGTTCTGCTCCTGTTTGTAAGTGCACCCACATTCGATCTGTTCCCGCCTCCCCTCCCTGGAACAGCGGGCTCAGTTTTGCCTCTGCCACCAGAGCTTTCTGTATAATTCACGCCCCGACTAATTCAGGAGGGAAATGCCACCGCGTGCTTTGAGACTGTGGCAGTGGCAGGCGCAGAAAGCCTCTGCCGTCTTGCCATCTTCTTGCCTGGTGCTGTTCTGGCCCAGCAAGCAGAGCCACTGGCGGTGAGGGATCCGGCCCAGTTTTGTCATGTGGAGTCTCTGGGTGTCTCTGACGTCTCTGCAAAGAGCAAAAGGAAGTTGTCTTTGGAAAGGCAAAAGTGCTTGTTTGCCTCCTCTCATCCTTTGAGACAAAAATGAGGTCAGGAGGAGTGTTGCCACCACTCAGCTGGGCAAGAGAAGCGGGAGGAAGAAGAGGAAACTGGGTTTCTCTACCCTCCCCACCGAAATTTGCTGCATCTGGGTTACTGCCCTGAGGGCAGTGTTCCATGGGCTTTCTCTGATCTCTTTCTCTCTCCTCCTTTTCATTTTTTTTGTGTTAGAAATATCCGGCACCAATTTCTCACCTCTTGGCAGCAGTGTCATCCAACACTGGGTTCTGTGTGTGGGCACCTTCACTACCATGCCAGGGCAAACTTGCCGTAGGCTTGATAATCTGGACAGACGGACGGAGCCGTTGCTCAGAGGCCCGGCTGCTCTTCTGTTCTCTTCTCAAGGGGTCCTGCTGTTCAGCTCAGTCAAGCAGCCGGTTGCACACTCATCGAATCATAGAACTGTATTGCTGGAAGGGACCCCGAGGGTCATTTAGTCCAACCCCCTGTAATGCAGGAATCTCAGCTAAAGCATCCATGACAGATGGCCACCCAACCCCTGCTTTAAAGAGTCTTTGATGGTGTGCTGGGCCCAGGGGAACCCCATGAAACGTGGTCCAGGTCCAGTCCAGAATCCAAAGGTTCCTCTAAGAGTCAGTGTGACAGGCCAAGGCAGGACACGAGGCAGGAAACCAGGCAAGGACAGGTACAGGATCTCAGGCAGGATCTAGCATACGGCAATGTTGCTCTCGCAACCTGGGGCGGGGTCCGACAGCCTTTTATCTCTGTCGGGGTAACGGCCAGTCCTGATCCCCCGGCGACTCACCTCGCTGTCTTGCCCGAAGGTGAGCACTCCTCCGGTGAGTACTCAGGTCTCTCCTTCTCTCAGACTTCATTCTCTGCAGCTCGGGAGACGTCGGTGACTAGACCCAGGGCCGCCTCAGCCTCCCCTGACCCAACCAGTAGTGGAGCAGCTGTAAGTGATGGCCCAGCTGGAGGCAACGAGGGAATCCCCGCATCTGGAGCCAGGGCAGGCTGAGGCCCCTGACTCGGCCCAGCTGGTGTTTGCGTGGCGAGTTCCCGCCCCCCACCAAGAATAAATAAACACACGAGACACCATAATTAAGGTTAATTGGGCGAATTAGGCCACAACTTTATTGAATTCAGGAATGAGAGGCATTGGCTTAGGCATTGGTCCTAACGACTATCCGGCTCCAGCCCATTTGCTGGAGGCACGGTGAAGGGTTAACACTGATCGGGGGAGTCTCCCGCCAAGGCACGTCGACTAGGAGCTCCCCCGGGTCACCGCTCTGGGGCGTGCCTTTGGCCCACACCTCCATAGGCTTCGGACAGGGCCACGCCCCGGAGTCCTTTAACGGACCACCCTTCGTTCACTGGGGGAGGTGATGGCGTTCCTCCCCTAACACATCCTCTTAACCCCTTCTTACCAATGCCTACCGCCAATGCCGAAGAGTTGTGACGAGTTGCTACGAGGTAGGCGAAAAACCAAAAGGCTGGAAATTGCCAATTGGGAAAAATTCCTACCATGCCCCATGCGGCGACAGGCCGAAGCCCATAGCAAAGTCAGACCTACCTAAAGCCCAACTAAAGGGAGGGAGGGTGGGGAAACGTGGGGCTAGCCGGAGAAGAGAGGGCGAGCCCCCTCCGCTCCGGCCCTAAATAGGGCAAGCCACGCCCTCCAGCCAGCCGATTGGCTGGCCGGGAGGCGTGGCCGGATGGGATTCCCCTGCTCTCGCGGGGGCTGAGACCAGCCCCCGCTCACGTGGGGAAGGGCGTGATGCCCGCAACCCCACCTCCTGGGGCAGGCCTGGAAGTGGCTTTGCGTGGCGAGTTCCCGCCCCCCACCAAGAATAAATAAACACACGAGACACCATAATTAAGGTTAATTGGGCGAATTAGGCCACAACTTTATTGAATTCAGGAATGAGAGGCATTGGCTTAGGCATTGGTCCTAACGACTATCCGGCTCCAGCCCATTTGCTGGAGGCACGGTGAAGGGTTAACACTGATCGGGGGAGTCTCCCGCCAAGGCACGTCGACTAGGAGCTCCCCCGGGTCACCGCTCTGGGGCGTGCCTTTGGCCCACACCTCCATAGGCTTCGGACAGGGCCACGCCCCCCGGAGTCCTTTAACGGACCACCCTTCGTTCACTGGGGGGAGGTGATGGCGTTCCTCCCCCCTAACACATCCTCTTAACCCCTTCTTACCAATGCCTACCGCCACCGAGCAGTCGCTCGCCGCCAATACTCTCATGCCTGAATCCACTCCCTTATCCCCTTAGCAATATCCATCAGCCAAACATCGTTACCAGCATCCGAAAGATGCACGCCATCATACCGGTAGAGGGCCTCAAGGTTGAAACGAATGCCCGGGTGGCCGATGACCAACCCCCCCAGGGCTGCCACTCTACGCACCACCGCCCGATCCAAGGCTTTCCTAGCCCTATTCATAGCTATCGGGCACCTGCAATCTCTCCAAACCCGCCTCTCCATCAGCGAGGCCCAAATAATTGTGACATTCGGGTAAGCTGCCTTCAGCTCCTCGAAGTCGCTAAAAATGTGCCACTGCAAATCAACTGCCTTCCTGTAGGCTAGGTCGTTTTCCCCCCAATTGTATCAGCAAAGCGTCTGGGGGGGCCCTCCACTGCTGCTCTGGCCTTAAATGCCGGCAGCATCTCGGCCCAGCGCATTCCCCTCCGGGAGACCCAGGAAATGGTGATGTCAGGTGGAAAGCCCAAGCGTGGCCCGAGACCGGAATTAATGGCACGGACCCTGGCCCAATGCACAATACTGTGCCCGATAATCCAGACGCGCACCCCCATGTCACCTGTAGGAAATTGAGAGAAAAGGCCATGGTCAATCACCATCACAAATTCTTTCTCAAATAACGTTTGTACGCATCAGACTTCCAGCGACCTAAGTCCCTAATCCTTTCTGCTGTAAGACCCAGGTGCATTGCCGTGGTGGCTGCTCCAATCCTGAAAGAGTGTGCTGCAAAATCTGCTGCGGGGATGCCGCATGCTGCTAGCGCTAAGCGCATGACCCGAGTGAACTGGTGACGCGTCAAAGGTAAACCATCTGCGTGGATCAATAGAGGCCCTGCCGAGCTGACCCTCAGGGATAAGAAGCGCCTCGTGTCTTTAACTGGACATGGGCCAGGCATGCCGGTGGCCATCAGCTGAACCAGAGCCCCCCTCCCGTACTGGTCTGTTTTGGAGCTGCGTATCCGTATTACCAGGTCCTCCCGTGACAGGGTAACATCGCTTAAAAGCAAGCCCCGGGAGAAACCGTGCCGACCCGCTTCATAAACTACCTCACCCACGCGCAGAGCTCCAAAAAAGGCAATGGAGTACGCCGCTGAAAATAGGCGCGCCTCGTACTTTGACCAGCATACTGCACGCAATTTTTTATGGATTTGGGAAAGGATGTCAAATGATATCGGCCTTCTCATATCGCAGTTTGGGGGCTGTAGCCTGCGCCAACCCTCTAACGTCCTTCGTATAACAAAATCGTCACAAGGATCTGTGGAAAATACCGCCTTGCAAAAGAATGAAATTGCTGCGGCTTGAAGGTTGAGGGTTCTAGGGGCGCGGCCCAAGCGTCTTAGGTAAACTAGGTAAGATAGCACCTCTGGCTTGACGGGAGGGGCATTGCTCTTGATGGCTCGGGTTTTGTCGCGGAATTTTAAAAAATCTGACCAAGCCTTCTTATACGATCTCAAAGTGGAAGGTGCCAATGAGGCCATTACTCCCTGAATCACTTCTGGCTCCCAGGCCTCTGGTCCCCATGCCTCTGGTCCCCGAGACTCCAAAGATGTTCCGGGAATGGCTGCGGCAGAAGCTCTGCATCCGGTGCCAACGAGCGGAAGCGGTCCATCTGAAAGCGAGATAGGGCGTCCGCGATGTCATTATTTACACCAGGCACAAATTTTGCAGAGAAGTGGATGTTGAGCTCTAAACACCGGAGAACGAAGGAACGCAGGAGGACGCCTACCCTTGGTGACCGTGCGACCTGCCTGGAAAGTACTGCCACCACGGCCTGATTGTCGGTGTGGAAGCACACCCTATGGTTACTAAAGGTTTCCGGCCACAGGTGCACTGCCACTACTATCGGAAAGAATTCCAGGAAGGTTAAGTCTCTGGTAATGGGGCCCCTTTGCCAGTCGGCGGGCCAGCGCTGAGCACACCATTGGCCCCTAAAGTAAACGCCAAACCCCAGAGAGCCCGAAGCATCCGAATGGACCTGGAAGTCAACCAGCAGCGACAAGTTGTCCTGCCACAGGGAAATGCCGTTGTAGTTCTGCAAGAACTTCAACCAGACTTCCAGGTCGGACTTCACTTCCTTGGATAGCCGTACCCTATGGTGAGGGGAACGCAGCCCTGCCGACAACTTCGCGAGGCGGCCGCAGAATGGGCGGCCAGGGGAAACCACGCGGCAAGCAAAATTTAAGTGACCTAACAGTGACTGGATTTGCCTGAGTGTAACTTTTCTTAGGGGGAGCAGCTGCCGAATCAGGTCACCAAGCGCGATGAGTTTTTCCCTGGGAAGTTTTGAGGTCTGAGCGACAGTGTCCAGCTCGATACCTAAGTAAACCATTGTCGTAGCCGGACCCTCAGTTTTGTCGGCGGCTAGAGGAACCCCCAGTTCCCCTGCTAATGATATAAAGGCTTCAAGGAGCTCTGAGCACTTAAGCCTGCTATTGGCCACGAGGATAAAGTCGTCCAGGTAGTGCGACACGCCCTCGGCGCCGGTTCTAAAGCGAAGCGCCCAGTCTAGGAAGGTGCTGAATGCCTCAAAGGCTGCGCAGGCCACAGAGCAGCCCATGGGCATTGCCTTGTCTACAAAATACGCCCCCTCAAATTTGAAGCCAAGCCACCGGAAATCTTCCGGATGAACTGGCAGGAGTCTAAAGGCCGACTCAATGTCACATTTTGCCAGCAGCGCCCCCTTGCCGAACTTGCGTATGAGCTGTACCGCTTGGTCAAACGTGGCATATCTAACTGTGCAGAGTTCCTGTGGTATCGCATCGTTGACGGACCCCCTTTGGGTAGGAAAGGTTGTGGATCATGCGATACTCACCGGGCGCTTTTTTGGGGACTATGCCTAACGGGGATATATGGAGGCCTTCAATTGGAGGGACTAGGAAGGGGCCGGCTACCCTTCCTGCTTTAATTTCCTTACTAATTTTCTTTTGGGCGACCTCGGGCATCTCCTCACCGATTTTTGGTTTGGAGGATCACCTGAATTGGGGGGAAAGGCTACTGGGATCCTGAAACCAGTACTAAAGCCCTCCCATAAATATTGTGCTGCCGTCCTGTTAGGGTAAAGGTCTAACAGGTTTTTTAGCGGGGTCAACTTGATGGGGGACCAGGCTAAGCCAAGACTGGAATTACTGTCTGCCACCCTGGGGTCCAAATGGCGCTCCGTGGCCACCTCTCGGTCCCTGGTTATAGGCGCCTCTGCCACCCCGAAAGGGCTGCCTCCCTTTAATGCAGGCAGTGGCTGGGTGGTTACCAAGGCATTTTTCGCACTCGTGGCTGTACTTACAGACAGCCCGTGCACAAACCCCCTTGTTGTACTCCCAGCACAGTCGCCTCTGCTTAGCAGTGGTCTTCCAAGATCTTGACGACTCCTGGGGCTTCTTCTCCACGAAGGGACCCACGTGCTCTGACCAGTAATTTTGGTCCCTCAGATCCCAGCGCGTGGACGACAACTGTGATGCATTTCTGCGGAAATCTTCATCATAATTTAGGGCAGCAATATCTCCCGCTAAATCCCGTGCCCTCCTGACATGAGCCAGGTACGCGATCAAGTGCATCGCCCGCTTTGGATAAGCCGCGCTGACGACGCCCATGAACACCTGGAACCCATCCAGCCAGTTGTCAAAAGTACGTTCGGGTCTAGGTGTCCTGTACCTGCGATTACCATACTTGCGCTTCTTCTCTCCTTTACCCATAAGCTTTGCTGGAGGTATCAGTCTGAATATATCTATAAAGTCCCCATTGAGGATTTTATTCCTCTTTCTTGGAGATAAATGAGAGCCTACGATGAAATCCGTAGACAGATTAGTGGACGTTTTAACATCCTGAACCAATGCGCCATCCTTCCATTCAAGGGTCCCGTTAAAGGATTTTCTGTAGGAATTGGCCCTTCTCTCATGCACCCATAAAGGAAGCCCCACACAGTCCTCCCCGTGGCCCCAATACTCCTCCCTAGGAGCATCGCTATCCGAATCGGAAGAAGAAGAGGTACCTGAATCATCCTCTGAATCCGAATGCCTGCACTTCTTCTTCTTCTTTGAGGTGTGCTTCCTCTTCTCTTTCCTCTTCCCAGAGTGGCTCTCGGGTATGGCTTGATCCGGAACGGTGATCGCCTGCGCTGCTTGCGTCCCCAGGGCTTCCTCGTCGGAAGAAGAACTTGAGGCACCCTCGGCTGGTGCCGTCTGTAGTGGCGGGTTCTGAAAGAGACTCGGAACACCTGGATCCTTTTGCAGATTAGTAGCCCCAGGACAATGAACGCAAGCCTTACCCTTTCTGCCTCCCCTCGGGGCCCCTTTTGCCTTGCCCGGGACGGCCGACTGTGCCCGGGTATTCCTTTTGGGCCGGGGTGTTGTCTCCTTGGCTGCTTTCAGCGCTGCCACCGTGGCTGCAGAAGTGCCGGGAAGATGCACCTCGTTGAGTTGTGTATCCGGAATGAAATCCTGTGTGAACGCTCTTGGTGCCTCCGGTACAGATACCGCCACCAACGGTGCTGCTGCCGATGGTGCCCCTGGCGCCAGCACTGGAGCCGCTGTCGCTTGCGCTGCCGGTGTTGCTGCCCCTTGTCCTGAAGATCTATGCCTATAGAAGTCCTGAAACGCTGTGAAAAAGTCTGCCAAGGCTTGAGGGTTACTTGGGATGACAAAGGGTTGGGGCTCCTCCTGATTCCCCTGAGGCCCCCCAGATGCAGTGGAGTTTACTTGGTTTCCTTGACCAGACATAATGCGAATTAAGACTCTTGCTTACCCTGATCAATGACACACCAACCACGTCGCACAACTAATGTGTGTAGTTTCAGAAGGAAACAGAGGCAGACAGTGAGCAGCGCAATCCAGTAAAAGAATAGCTATGCGTTCAAAATTATAGTTGTTATTGATATACGTCAAGTTTTATTTATTTATTTATTTATTTGCTTTTTAATTTTTAATTTATTTTATTTATTTTATTTTGTTTTGTTTTATTTTAAATATTATTATTATTAATATTATTACTATATATATATATATATCGAATGCGTACAACTGTTTTTAGATAGAAGGGGTGGGTGCTGTAGGCAGGGGCAGTAACTGCCCTTGCTCCTGATCAACGAAATAAATTTAAAGCAAGCACCAATTGAAAAAGTTGGCCAAATGAACCAAATTCCAATTAATTGAGACGGAATTAAGTAATTAACTTGGCATGAAATAATATATACTGACTCTAAACAACACCCAAAGCAATGAGGTAAATTAAATAACCAAAAGACTTAAATCAACCAAATAAATCTAATCACCAATTAAATTAAATTGATATACAATCAGAATCCGGCGGCAATTGATTTGCCCTTTCACTTAGTCAACCAAATGAATTTAATGTTCCAGCCAAATGAATTAAATTAGGCTGCAATTTCTATCGCTCCTTAATTCACTCTTTAAATTACCTCCGAACCAAATTAAAATTTTTAAATGCAGCAGCAACAAAGTAAAATAAAGCGAGGTAAAGAATATCAACAAAGTAATATAAAGTAATAAAGCAGTAAAGCAGTACTAGCTGAATTGCCTTATGCAGCACCTTGCAAATTTAAATTACTCCATAAATCACCCTTCAAGTTTGCCTCCAAACCCAATTAGAGTTTTTAAATGCAACAGAGAGGTAAGATCACTTGTCCAGCAGTAAAGCAGTAAAGAATTATTAGCAAAGTAAAATAAATCAAAGTAAGATCAATCAAAATAAAACAAAGTAAAATATAACAAAGTAAAATAATATCAACAAAGTAATATAAAGTAATGAAGCAGGAAAGCAGTGCAGGCTGAGTTGCCTTATGCAGTACCTTGCAGATCTAAACTGCTCCTTAAATCTCCCTTTAAATTTACTTCCGCACCAAATTAGAATTTATCTAAATACAACAGGGAGATAAGATCATGGAGATAAGCCTAGAAGTTATGAAAATCAGCCTCCTGTGCTTAGCCTTAGAGCAATAAACAGCAGAAGCACTCACACTGAGCACTGAGTATCCAATTCCCACCACAGAGTGCCTCACCTAAAATGGCCGCCGGGTCAAACCACGTGGTTAGCTCAAAATGGCGGCCGCAACTTCCTGGTTACCAAGCAACACAGCTATCAACTTCCTGTCCCTGGCTGCCAGCGTCCTGCCCCTGTGTTTGAAACAATAAACCTCAACCCGGGCGCGCTAAATAAAATCAAATCGGCAAATCAAATCATACTACACCATACACACCAGTCACAGGCCGACAGGCACACACCTCACTCCCTTTTCAATGCTTCAAAACGAAGACCTGTACTGATTTAAAGGAATATTCCCAGAAAAATTGCCCCTATTAAAATGGCGGCCGCCCCCCTGGTCACGTGGCCCCTTAAAGGGCTATTAGGAAGAGATCGTTACTAAGCAACCCCGCCGCCCCTTCTCACTAGCTTCAGCGGCAAGTAACACACAGCCGGCGTGCTGCTAAAGGATCCCCTGGACTCTCCCAGATTTTTCAACTCACGTGTGTTCCCTGGCGCAGAGCAGCCGGTGCACAATACCTCCTAGACAAGGACACGTCAGCTGCTACCGTTGCCTTTACCTCTCTTAAGCCGATGTGGAGAAAAGCTGCGCTGAACTATGCCAAGCAGCCTCTTTCAGACGAAAGGACCTATGAGAATAAAGCCCACCCCTGCGCTGCGAGTGATTTCAGCCCGGGAAAGCTTGCAACTGAAGCTGCTCTGCGAGTGATTTCAGCCCCAGAAAGCTTGCAGTTGAAGTGGAGCTTGGACTCCAGAAGGAATTAAATTTCCTTTAGTGATTTCAGCTCGAAATGCGAACAGCAGCTGCAGCTTCGCCCGGAAAGATCAGTGCCTGCTGCACTGAAGCTCCACGTGGCAAAAGAAAAAAGGCTCCAACGACGACAGGATCAGCTGGGAAACGTGGGGCTAGCCGGAGAAGAGAGGGCGAGCCCCTCCGCTCCGGCCCTAAATAGGGCAAGCCACGCCCCCTCCAGCCAGCCGATTGGCTGGCCGGGAGGCGTGGCCGGATGGGATTCCCCTGCTCTCGCGGGGGCTGAGACCAGCCCCCGCTCACGTGGGGAAGGGCGTGATGCCCGCAACCCCACCTCCTGGGGCAGGCCTGGAAGTGGCTTTGCTGCAGGGGAACCTGTGCAGACTGGGGCTCTTCAGGATCAGGCCCCAGATTTGGTTCAGATGCCGCCTGGGGCAAAGGATCTGGTGCAGACCGAGTCTCCTCTGGTTCCGAGTCCGAGCCCCAGACCATCACAGACAGATTAGTCTTTGTACCCTTCCATGGGGCAGAGGCGGGGGCTTAGTGATAAGTGTGTGACACAGCCCCCTTTTGACTATGTTTTCATTTTTATAGGCCCCCATACCAACTGGAGCAAGGAAATAATTCCCACACACACACACACACACACACACACACACACACACACACCATCCTTCCCTACACCACAGCAGCATTATTTTGCTACAAATTGGAAATTGAAGGCAGCAGAGTACAAAAGCACATTGCCCCCATCCCTGTTTTTTTTTTAATTCTGCTGCCCTTAGTGCAGTTGCTTCAGCAAGAGATGTGGGACAGCGAGAGGGTCTAGCCTGCGGAAGAAGGGCTTTCTCCCTGCTGCCTGGGATTCTTGCAGACCTTGGGGACCACTGGGGTGGGGGAAGAGAAGGATGTTGTTTGACAAGCACACAGAGTGCAACGAGATTGAGTGTTTGGGGTGATGGGGAGGTTCGGTTAATTTCATAGTGTTGCAGGAATTTATGCATAGGTTGGGGGGGTTGCCCCTCCAGCAGATATCCTGCACATGCAGCCCACTACCAAAATCAGCACAATCACTTTTGTGATTTGTCCCCACAAAACACTTCATCACAGTTTCTTCCTATCTATTCAAAGGGCCTTTGCTGCAGGATACCAAATGGAAGAATTCACTGATAAATGTACTGGCTCGCTGGGAAAACTTCAGAAATTCCTATAGACATGTGAGCTCAGCTACTCAGCAGCCCCTCTGCCTGAGGGATAATCCCTGGCATCCTGATACCTGAGTGCCAGACAGGTAGCCATTCCAGGAATAACAAACCCAGATGAAGACAAAAGGGTGGGATGAACTTGGCTGCGAAACAGTGAAATGCAAATATCTCTTTTGTTCCACTTGATGGGTGTTTGGTGGAGGGCAAGAGGAACGTGGGGCAGGGTCCAGGATGCTCAGATTACTGCCACCAGACCTCCCCTTTCATGATGTAACCGTGATGTAACATCTGGTGTCCTTGGTTTTTGTCCAAGGGAGCCCTCAGATTTCTCTGTTAACAGTTGTACATAGGTTGTACATTGACAATAAAAGTATTATTATTATTATTATTATTATTATTATTATTATTTCAAGCTTTGCTGGGTGACAGCTTGAGGCAGCTGCAAACAAGCAGGTTTCTGGTTGCCTATTGAATGTTCTGAGCCTTGTGTGTTTGGTGAAAACCACAGGATGGAAGAAGGGTGCTCTTAAGCTGCTCAGGTCCTGCTTGCAAACTTTCCATGGATGCATCTGGTTGGCCTCTGTGAGAACAGAGTGCTGGACTAGGTGGGTCTTTGGCCTGATCCAGCAGCCTCTTCTGATGTCCCAGAAGGGCAAGTGAGCATCTGCACCTGGCTACTCAATCTGCAAACGGCTGTGCTTCCCTCTCTCCCTTGCACAAGGTAGCGACTGGCCTGCGACACTTTGAGAAGAACTGGACTGAACAGGAGGAAGTTGCTGAGTTGCCTAATAGAGGGAGCAGAGAGAGGCTTGGTCTGCTGACGGCAGGGATTTTGTTGTTGTTTTTTGGTAGTATGCAGCTGGACACAAAATGTGGAATCGGGAGAAGAATTGTGCAGCTGGGAAGCTGATAATGTGCAGCTGGTGAAATGCAGGACAGGACTTGACATGTGTGTTTGTTGAGCACTTGAATGACTGACAATGCCAGGGACAGCTTGCACACAAATTATAGCAAGGTAGAAGGCACTCGGTAGTATTCTCGTCATTTCACAGTTGGCTTTTATTTGTTTGTGAGCTGCCTCCAAGCTGCTGAAATGAAAGGTGGTCATAGCAGATAGATCGATGAAGATGTCGCCCCAGTGTGCGGCATCTGTGGAAAAGGCGAACGCCATACAAAGGATCATTAGGAAAGGAATTGAAAGTTGGACTGCCAACATCACCCTGCCGTTATACCAGTCTATGATGCAGCCACACTTAGAGTGCTGTGTTCACTTGGGTCAGCTCAGCTCCGAAAGGAGATTGTAGAGTTGGAAAAGGTTCGGAAAAGGACCACCGAGATGATCCAGGGGAGACAGCAGCTCCCCTGTCAGGAAATGTTGCAGCGCCTGGGAATTCTTAGGTTAGAGAAAAGGGGAGTCAGAGGCAACATGACAGAAGCTTATAACACTGTGAAGAATTTTATAATTGAAGAAGAATGGTCTACTTTAAAAAAAAATTATAGTCAAATGAAATCGCAGGTATGATTCGAGGAAGAAGCGGAGGAAGCAAAATGGTGAAATGTTGGTAAATAGACAATTCTGACATATAAAGACATAATGCAGTAGAAAAGATTTGAGTACAAACACTGCGGAGGTGGGAGTGGGAAGTCAATTTACGAAACAATGCAATTATTTGAGATGAGGATCATTGTGAAAATGTTTGGAAAATCTAATAAAAAATTACACCACAAAAAAGGAAGTGGGGGCAGAGTCTCCAGCCAGCTGCTGCCCCCGAAGAGTCTTCGGTTGGTTTTCCTCCAGCCCTGCACCATCTCTTGGTCTTTGGCCATAACCCACCATAAAACCTTTCTGTTTCAGCCCTTCCCGGCCCCTCGCGAACATGAATGATGCCATGGTGACCCACATGTCCTCCGGTGCCCCGACTCCAACGAAAAGGTAGGGATGTGCACTCTGTGAGGGGTGGGAGATGGGGGGCTCCTCTGGGGGCACTGCAGAGAGAAAGCTGATGAAGGAGCAAAGATGGCAGCTCCTGCTCTGAGTGTTCTGGATATTGCTAAAACCAGGTTTGACTGCTGGTGGTGTCTCTGCTGCTTGAGGTTTCCCCCCACAGCACATTTGATCCATTTCTCTCCACCTGGAGGAGGCACTGGGGTTCCCTGCCAGCTGGGACCAGCCCTTCTCTCTCTCCCCACCCAAAACACCACCCTTCAGGTCTGAATTCCTCCCCCCACCCCCATGACCCGCTGTGCAGAACCTGAAACAAGTTCATTTCCCAAATGTCAGGAGGCAACTGAGGAGGATAAAACCACAACTGACAGCTGGAGAGATCTGGTTTGGCGTTTCCCATTGACTCTCTGAAGAGCTTCCCTCCTTTCTTAGGCAAAGATGAATTGGAGTCTTCTTTTTAAGTTCCTTTCGCTTGTTTTTTAATCATCAGTTTTGTCTCCTTTTTGTCTCCTGCATGTAAAGGCTACGTTTGTTTTGATCTTGTCCCTTAAGTGAGTTTAATGTACAGTCATAGCTTGGGTTGAAGTAGCTTCAGGATGAGTATTTTCGGGTTGGGTCCTGCGGCGACCCAGAAGTAACTGAGTGCATTACTTCTGGGTTTTGCCGCTCGCGCATGCGCAGACGCTCAAAATGACGTCACACGCATGCGCGGAAGCGGCGAATCGCGACACGCGCAGATGCAGGTTGCGTTCGCTTCAGGATGCGAAGGGACCTCCAGAATGGATCCCGTTCGCATCCAGAGGTACCAGAGGTACTAATTATAATTGTAGAAGGATTATCCTGACTGGGATGAACGGTGCTTGTCTCTTACTTGGCCCAGGGAGCTACCTTAGACTAAGCAGGGACCATTCTCCCATTGGGTTTGAGCTGGCTTTGAAGACTTCTTAAGGGCACAGTGGAAAGGAAAAGAAAGAGGGGAACCTACTAACCAGGCAATGTTCTCGAGTGGGCATTATCTGGAGCTCTAGGAAGGGGCTGGCTCTGGGAGTAACATCTCCATCTTCCGCTGCTCCAGCTTCTCATCCCTGCCTGGGAGGAGGCGGCAGAGCCAGGAAGAGAAGGCGCAGGAGCAGCTGCAATTGGGCAACATCAGAGAGGGCACAACCCTGGCAGGACCAAGCCAGAACTGGCCCTAAGCTAAGGCACCAAAACGTTTGGTGTTCTTGGAGGGCTCGCACGTGGCTGAAAAGCACCAGGAAAGCCTGGCTGCTCTCCTCTCCTCTGGTTTCCAGCAACTGCTATTCAGAAGCATCGCTGCCAAGCATAGCCATTATGGCTAGTAGCCATGAGGAACCATTACCCTCCATGAATTTGTCCCGTCCTCTTTCAAAGCCACCCAGTCGGGTCAGAGGAAGCGAGAGGCACCTGTCCCTGCCAGAGCAGCTCTTGCTAAGCAGCTATGCCTTCAGCAGTCCTCCACCGACTTGCCCTGCCTGTGCCATGTTCTCACGTCAGTTTTGCAGTTTTCACCTCCAAGGTTGAGGGAACGAGAATGTTCTGTAAGAAGCACACACTTGAACATTCAAGCAGCACCCGAGCTCTCTGTTTCGTGTAGGTTTCCTGCTGTCTCTTTCAGGATTCAAGTGGAGGAGCATGTTGCTGGAGCAAGTTTCTTCTCGTTCTTCCTCTCTCCCGCTTGTTCTTCTGCAGCTGCCCCCTTCCCATCTATCACAGGCTGCTTTTCTGACATTTCCAGACAAGAGGGTCCAGATTCTCCTTGCCTCTGCCCAATTGCACATTTTATTAGAAGCCTTGCAGCTCTGATGCCCACATGCCTCTGTCCGGAGAGCAGCTTTCTCTTTTGATCTAGGCCAGAGGGAGGCCTGCTTGACATATGCCGCCTTGTGAGCAACGCAGATTCTCCTTCCACAGACGCAACCTGAGCTGGGGTGGAGCTGGAGCCCACGGCCTCGTGAACGGGAGTCCAGCCAGACCATAATGCATCCAGCAGCTCGCTTTGTGTTTGCTCTGCCCGCAAAGTGATGTCACGGCGAGTGTTACAAGCCCTGGTTACGACCGTGTTGCCTCGGAATGGGGGGGCGCAAAGACAGGTTGTGGCCTTTTCTACTCCAGGACCAGAAAGCCGGTAGCGGAGCCTCAGGCATCCCTGAACTCCTGCTTTTCTTACGAGTTCTGGTCTTACGAGAGAGGGAGAAACCATTTGGGCAAGGAGACTTAAAACAGTCTTGAGAAATGTAACACATGAAGATCAGACAGGATTTCTACCCACAAGGCAACGGAGGGATAATGTGAGACCAGTGTTGAGTGTTCCTGAATATTTTGAAAAGCGTGGTGATAAACAGATAGCAGTGAGTTTCTTTAGATGCTGAAAAAGCCTTTGAACTGCCTTTCTTAGAATCTGACCCACGAGTTCTAGTCTTATGAAAGAGGGAGAAACACTCTTTCCATTTTCTCAATGCCGTTCACAATTTTATTTACCTCTGCCATGCACCCCCTCCCCCTCACCTTTTCTCTCTCCCCAAGAGCTCGAAAAATTGTAATTTTTCCTCATGGGGCAGATGTTTCATTTCGTTTTCCCTTTCTGAACCTTTAATTCAAGCCTCTTTGCTTGGGGGGCCACCAGCTTTTGGGAGCTTGTGCCTCTGCCACCCTGAAGTTCATCAGAGGGGGGGAGTCATTGGCTTGCATTGCTTTTGTTCTTGCTTTTATTATGTATTTCGTATTTTTATCTTGTATTTTTATGCTGTGAACTGCCCTGAGATTTACAGATGGAGCGCGGTATACAAATTTTAATCATCATCATCAGGGTGAAACATGTCAGCACACAACCACTAAGTTAAAACCCAGCCCGTTACTAAAAAAAAAAGGCTCCCTGGACAAGTGAAAAGTTCTCCATCTGTTGCTGAAAAGGCATCAAAGTTTAGCGTCTGGGTGGGGAAGATGAAGAGCCACATGCCCCCTCCGCAAACATTCACCCAGCTCAGCAGCAGCTCCCTCCAGGGGATCCTTCCTCCTCCTCCTCTTTTGTCTTGCTCAAGATGGGCCGTTGCCTCCTGGAAGGTCCCCCATGAATCTTACGGGGAGGGGGGCCTCCTTGTTTATGGCTTTCCACTGCCGCTAAGCCCAGCTTTATGGCGAGGCCATAAAACACTGCAAGCGGCGATTGAAGTCAGCTTGGAGGTGTAATGCCTTTAAAGCATGATGCGGGGTCAGAGGTGAGCCTTGTAAATAGTCTCATGCCATAAAAGTAATTGGGGAAAGGGAGGCGCTCCAAATCGGAGAACAATCTTTGTGCACCGGGGAGAGAGGAGGCTGTGTCTAGAGCAGCCGGTTTGGTGCACCCCAGGAATAGCTGGAACTACAACTCCCATCACCCCTGACCATAGTGTCTGGGGCTGATGGGAGCTGTCCTCCAGCGACATCTGTGGGGCACCAGGTTGGGAAAGTCTGGCTTAGAGCAGACAGAAGAAGAGCCTGCTGGATCAGGCCAGTGCCCCAGCTAGTCCAGCATCCTGTGGACGACCAGATGAGTCAATGGACTGGAGCACAAGGGCACTCTTTCCCCTCCTGCGGCTTCCAGCACCTGGGATTCAGAAGCCTTGCTGCCTCTGACAGTGGGGGGCAGAGCAGAGCCATCCTGGCTAGGAGCCGGCAATATCCCTCCCCCCCCCTCCTCCATGAAATTATCCAATCTCCGTTTAAAGCCATCTAAGTTTAAAGCCATCTAAGGGACACTGGTTGCGCTGTGGGTTAAACCACAGAGCCCAGGGCTTGCCGATCAGAAGGTCAGCCGTTTGAATCCCCGCAACAGGGTGAGCTCCCGTTGCTCGGTCCCTGCTCCTGCCAACTTAGCAGTTTGAAAGCACGTCAAAGTGCAAGTAGATAAATAGGTACCACTCCAGCCGGATGGTAAACGGCGTTTCCGTGCGCTGCTCTGGTTCGCCAGAAGCTTAGACATACAGGCCACATGACCCAGAAAAACTTTCTGTGGACAAACGTCAGCTCCCTCAGCCAGTAAAGTGAGATGAGCCCCGCAACCCCAGAGTCGGCCGCGACTGGACCTAATGGTCAGGGGTCCCTTTATTTTTAAGTTGGTAGCCTTCTGTGGGCTGTGCACTGCATGAAGAAGGACGTCAATGCAAGAAGACTCTTGAGAGTCCCATGGACTGCAAGAAGATCAAACCTCTCCATTCTGAAGGAAATCCGCCCTGAGTGCTCACTGGAAGGACAGATCCTGAAGCTGAGACTCCAATACTTTGGCCACCTCATGAGAAGAGAAGGCTCCCTGGAAAAGACCCTGATGTTGGGAAAGATGGAGGGCACAAGGAGAAGGGGACGACAGAGGACGAGATGGTGGGACAGTGTTCTTGAAACTACCAGCATGAGTTTGACCAAACTGCGGGAGGCAGTGGAAGACAGGAGGGCCTGGCGTGCTCTGGTCCAGGGGGTCACGACTAAACGACGGCGGACACGACTAAACAACAACAACAGGGGAAGGAAGGGTGTGAGGAGCTGCTGCTTAAGAGACAAAAAGTGTCAAGGGGCATGTCTTTGCCAGAGCGGGGAGAGGTGGAAGCAAGCAAATCTTGTTTCCTCAGCCGTGTGGCAGAGAAGCAAAGGCCTCTCCATTTGTGCACTGAGTCTGGCCCAAGTGAGCTGGAAGCAGAGGCTGCTCCGGGGTCTCTCCTCATGATGGCACCATTTGCGCCAAAGAGGCGGGGGAGCTCCTGCTTAGGCACACCTGGGGCAGTGTTTGCATTTTGCCTCCTCAAGTGCTGCCTCCTCCTCCCTCCTTGCGCAAGAGTCTCATTTTGCAGAAACACGGCTGCTGTTTGCCTGCAGGTTCCAGGTGACATGGGCAAATACAGGAAAATCCAACTCTTTCTCCTTGCCACCGCGATTCCACACTCTTTCCAATGAGGTTCCTGCACATTTCCTTCCATGTTTTGCATGTTTTTAAGTTTCCTTATTTTAATTGTTGCTTGCCATCATTTGCAATTTCCCGATTGCCCTCATCTTTTTATTTCTGTCGTGTTGTTTTGCCTCCTTTGCCCCCCCCCCCAGGTTGCACTACAGCCCGGCCCCCTCCAAGCGGCTTAGGGATGAGCATGCCCTGATCGCAGCCTATGTGAGCCAGCTCCAGAGTGGCGCACGGTCAGTCTTAGGAGAGGGGGGAGGGCAGGGGGAGCCCATGAACATGGCAGCACCATGCGCAGCTGTGCCCAAAGCCTGAGTAGCAGCTGGACCACTACATAAACTGAAACTTGCACATGGAGAAGGACCATGACCCTGCAGCACTCAGTGCCCCAAAGGGTGCGCGTGCATGCGCACATGGCCCAAAGAGGGTTAGTTTTTAAAACCGCATTCTTTGTAAGCAACTTAATGAAAAAAGCTTCTAAATGCTTTTTGAGAGTCCTGAAATACTGAGCAGTTCCGGATGAACCATCTGTAGCCCATGGTTCAAACATGTTTATTACAGGGCTCTCTTTCTTTCCTGCCTAAATTTGCTGAGGGGTTTCCTCTGCGATGATGACTATTTCACCTTGATGCATGGTTTCAAAATGAGGAAACAGCCTTTTTTGGGGGGTAGAGGGAGCCATGATTGTATTTGTAAAACATGCAGCCTGGCTGTGCTGTGGGTTAAACCACAGAGCCTAGGACTTGCCGATCAGAAGGTCAGCGGTTCGAATTCCCACAACGGGGGTGAGCTCCCGTTGCTCAGTCCCTGCTCCTGCCAATCTAGCAGTTCGAAAGCACGTCAAAGTGCAAGTAGATAAATAGGTACCACTCTGGCGGGAAGGTAAACAGCGTTTCCGTGCGCTGGTCTGGTTTGCCAGAAGCGGCTTAGTCATGCTGGCCACATGACCTGGAAGCTGTACGCCAGCTCCCTTGGCCAATAGAGTGAGATGAGCGCCACAACCCCAGAGTCGCCTGCGACTGGACCTAATGGTCAGGGGTCCCTTTACCTTTACCTTAAGAGCACAGAAGCAGCAGCAAAATTCAGTTAAACGGCAGCAGCAGCAAGGCTGTTTCGTCCTTTTGAGTTTCAGAAACAACCTCCTTTCATCTGCTTCGAACTTGGTGCGCCAGGAGCCCAGCACATGGGTGCATGAGGCTCTGGTTTGCAAAACATGTGCTCACCATTGTGTGCAGAAATGCACACCCTCCCTGACCTAGCGAGCAGCTTTTTCACAAAGGAAAGCCCAACGGAAATGAAATACACACCATCACTTCCTCACCCCACACCTTCTCACACACAGCCCAACAGCCAGGGTACGTCTTTCCCAGAGGAATTAGGGGGATGCCACCTCCCAGGGCATCTTCACCCTAAACAGAAGTTGGGACCCAATTGTGTTTAAGATGGATCTTCCGTTGGGTTCACTTCTGCTCGGCAGGACATTTGGTTGCTGCGTCATTTTAAACAGGTCAAGTTTCGTTCCTTTTTATTTTTACGCACAGGAAACCATCCCAGATGACTCTGCCACTCCTCTGGTTGGTGCTGCGTCCAATCAGTTCTGGTTTGCCACAGCTGAAGCCCCTTCAGATTTACAGCCTGAGCTCTCAGTCCAGTCCCTGCATCCCATTTCTTCTTCTGAAACATAAGACTCCCATTGTCCAATTCCTCTTTCAAGTTGGTACCAGCCGTATATTCCTGAGGCCTTTTGCAGACTCCAGCCGGCTCCCTGTTCCCCACTTTGCTCTGGCCATTTTGTCATCTTTGTAGCGCTTCAGATTTGCAAAGCGCTTGGCAGCTTGCCCTTGCAAAACAAACAAACCCACGTTAAAACCAGTTAAGACAAACACAAGCTGTAAAAGTTTAATAACCCATCAGAGATTCTTCCAGATCCCGCCTCGCTAAAAAGAGGCCCCAAATCCCCAGACATTCCCCCTGCTGCAAAGGCAGGGCCACCACCAAAAAGGCCTGCCCTCATTTGCCACCCTCTGGACCTCCATGAAGAAGGGCCTCAGTTGACGACCGCAGGGTCCGGCTTGGTTCACATGGGGAGAGGTGGCCCTGGAGCTTTTTGGGGTTCTGAGCCACATAAGGCTTAGAGAGATAGATAATTTATTATGGTCAAAGACCAGCTCGCATAACACAATAACAACAGTGTTCATAAAGATAAAATATACAATCAGAGCAGATCGCAGCAATAGCTCATGAGTTAAAGTTGAAATATATACATACACCTGTACAACTGAGATTTGGGCTACCATGAAAATTGACCCTGAGGCACCCCAAAGGGCGACTTCAGCATTTCCCTAGTAAGCTATTTTATTCTAGAGGATGATCTGTGCCTACAAATCTGGGCAACTGATAGGTCAAAACCAGAATGCTGACTTGGGCCTGGGAAGAACTAGCCCACTTTTGATGCTGGTGTGGCAGGAGGTAAGGTGGGAGGGCCCTGACTCCTGCCTGGCGTTGGGCAACTGCTGGCTGCCTTGCCTGACTGGCGCTCACGCTTGTTGGCTTTCTCTCCCCGCCCCCAGCAGCGTCCTTGACAGCCCCAGCCGGCTGGACGAGGAGCACCGACTCATCGCCCGCTACGCTGCCAGGCTAGCTGCGGAAGCTGGAAATGTGGTAAGCAGCCAGTCTGGCCCCCTCTCTTGCTAACAGTTTCTCTGATGGCTGTGGTATGCTCTGCTGCTGCTTCCCTGGGCAGGTGAGCTGGCAGCGCTCGGCTTCTTCCGAAACATGCTGCAGCAATTCAGGAGGAGCATTTTACGTGGCTGAGTCTGTGTCCCTCCAGTCAATTTCGTCACGTTGCACCACAGGCGTGGCGCTCAGATTGGGAGTCACATAATTAGTTGGAGGCCACGCTGGAGCCACGCAGGCCCAGTGTCCCCAGGGAGGCTGCCTTCCAGAGAGTCAGCATATTGGAGCAAAGAAAATCTTGTATGCTTGCTTACACTTCACGGTGTTTTCATGCTGCCCATTAAGAATAGGTTTTCTGGGTGGTGTACAACTTTTCTGTTAAAAAACAAAACAAAAAGCCACACCATAAAATATCAAAATACAGAACATAAAAAGGTTAAGACAGCATCAAAATTAAATCGATAGCGGACAACAGTAGCACCCCCCCGGGTCCACAAAGCGCTGAAGCGTGTTTTTAAAAAGCCTGGTGAAGTTTCTAAAAAGGTTGGAACTGGAAGGACCACAACGCAGGCCCCAGGTGAACCTCTCTGGGGAGGGCATTTCGTAACTAGGGTGCCACCACTGAAAAGACCATCTCCTTAGTAGCAACTCCCATAAGAACCCGAGACAAGCCAGCTGGATCAACCCATCTGGTTGGCCGCAGAGAGGGCAGAATGCTGGACTACAAGGTCCAATGGCCTGATCCAGAAGGCTCTTCTTATGGAGGATCTGCCCCTGGGGACAAGGCACTAGCTCAGTCAGTAGAGCACGAGACTCTTTATCCCAGGGTTGTGCGTTCAAGCCCCATGTTGGGCAAATAATAATTTTATTATTTATTCCCTGCTCCTCTGGCTGGGTTTCCCCAGCCACTCGGGGCGGCTCCCAGCAGAACACTAAAAACAGAATAAAACCTCAAACATCAAAAACTTCCCTAAACAGATTCCTGCATTGCAGGGGGTTGGACTAGATGGCCTTTGGGGTCCCTTCCAACTCTACGGTTAAACGACAACCTGATCTGATTTCCTTCCCCGTCTTTACCACCATCTCCCCAGCGCTGTTGGTGACGGGGAGGGGGCTGCTCGCGTGGGTTTCAGTGCTGGGTCCTCGTTGAGCCCTGTGTGTCTTTGGGGTCTCTTGACAGCCACGCCCACCCACAGACCTGGGGTTCAACTTCGATGCCAACAAGCAGCAGCGGCAGCTGATAGCAGAGCTGGAGAACAAGAACAGGTAAGGGGGCTCAGGTGGCGTGGAGGAGGGGTGGCCGTCTGGCCTTCTTTGGGCTCCTGAGCAAGAGATCTTCTCCCTTCCCCACTTTCCATTGCTGCTGCCTCCTGGTGGGAGTTCTGTGGACGGATGCTTTGACAAGGGGACAGCCCCACAATGCAGCTGGTGAATTTTGCAGTCCTTACGCTCCATCAGCTCAGTGAAAGGTTTCATTTTTTATTTTTGCATAAGAAAGTTGGGGTGGAGAAAAATGAAGGCTTGGTGTTTTAAAGGGGCATGCAAAATATTCATGCCCTGGCATGGCAAAGAGAGAGATGGGGGAAGAGTCTGGACAAGGTCCCCTCTGTGCCGGACTCTGGAAGAAGACGGGGATTGGACTGATTGACCCCTGGGACCTCATAATAATAATAATAATAATAATAATAATAATAATAATAAATTTTATTTATACCCTGCCCTCCCTAGCCAAGACCGGGCTCAGGGCGGCTAACACCAAATATAAAAACAATTGATTGAAATACAGCTTACAAAACAAGATTAAAAGACAATTAAAATACAACATTAAAACATTAAAATGCAGCCTCATTTCAGTGGAAACGCAATCAACTCTTCCAACTCTACAACTCTGTGGAAGTGGAGGGCAGCCCATTCTGCCTCCCCACTGTCCTTGGGTCCACACCTGTTCAAAACTAGGCATTCCACAGGTGGGTCTCCTATAGCATTTTTTTTCTAGGACGTATCTCTACCTGATACAAACCCACCCAAAAATAATTGGGTTGTGTGTGTGGATTGTGCTGCAGAATCCTGCTAGGTGGTCAGATTGCAGCCCAGCCAAGGCCAGAGTTCGCTGACTCCACTGACATATTAAACCCTGTTTAAACTCCTTCCCTGGGAGTTTAGAAAGCAAGAGGGCTAATGCTGGTTTCTTTATTTTACTTGCACAGAGAGATTCTGCAAGAAATTCAGCGGTTGCGGCTGGAGCACGAACAGGCCTCTCAGCCGACACCAGAGAAAGCCCAGCAGAATCCGACGTTGCTGGCGGAACTGAGGCTATTGCGGTAAGAATGTAGGGGAGGGGCGGGACCCCAGGAGGGAGGTTGCTTGCACAAGAGTACTTATTCACGCAGCAAACAGTTCAGCTGTGGAACTCCCTCCCACAAGAGACAGGGATGATTGCCAGCCTGGATGGTCAGGGGGAAAACAATGCTGTCCAGGGTTGTCAAGACTGCGGAGAGAATAATTGGGTGCACTCTTCCCACCTTGGATCAAATCTATGCTTCCAGGTGCCATAAGAAAGCTGCAGAGATAGCGCAGGATAGTGCGCACCCCAGAAATGATCTCTTTCAGCTTCTGCCTTCTGGAAGTAGGTCCAGGGTTATAAATACTAGGACTAGCCGCCTGAGAAATAGTTTCTATCCAAATGTGATTTTGGTTTTAAACACAGTGTAAGGTAGTCTCTATGGGAGTATATTGTATTCAATTATGGGGTCTCAGAGTTTTTAGGGGCAAACCAGGCTGGGATAGCTGGGATAGCAGGCTTGTTGGTCTTGAAAGACCTACACTGGCTCCCAGTACGTTTCCAGGCACAATTAAAAGTGTTGGTGCTGACCTTGAAAGCCCTAAACGGCCTCGGTCCAGTATACCTGAAGGAGCGTCTCCACCCCCATCGTTCTGCCCGGACGCTGAGGTCCAGCTCCAAGGGCCTTCTGGTGGTTCCCTCACTGCAAGAAGTCAAGTTACAGGGAACCAGGCAGAGGGCCTTCTTGGTGGTGGCGCCCTCCCTGTGGAACGCCCTCCCATCAGATGTCAAAGAGATAAACAACTACCTGACATTCAGAAGACATCTTAAGGCAGCCCTGTTTAGGGAAGTTTTTAATGTGTGACATCTTAATGTATTTTTGGTCTTTGTGGAAGCTGCCCAGAGTGGCTGGGGAAACCCAGCCAGATGGGCGGGGTACAAAGCAATTATTATTATTATTATTATTATTATTATTATTATTATTATTATTAGTTTCTGAATGTCTGATGTAGATTTTTTTTCCAATTTTGTTGTTCTGTATGGGACAATGACAGTAAAGATTATTGTATCATATCGATGGCTTGAAAAGAGGATTAGATGAATTCAAGGAGGAGGTGGCGAAAGAGAGGGCCATCTTATGTTCTTCTGCTGGTGGTGGTTGGCAGTGGCAAGCAGACTGAGCAGATGGCAGAGCTGTGCCCGTCTCTGATTCTGTGCCACCTTTACCCAGGGCAGAGGGCTTTTCTTCACCCTCACAACTGACCTGCGAGGCACTAAGTTGCATAAGTATTCTGCCCATGAAGATTGGGAAGGATAGGGGCCATATTTGCAGGCCGCTTGACCTTCTTTGAATACCAGCGGAACTGCCCTTCTGACAAACTGGCGCTTCTCCTTCTCCAAACAGGCAGAGGAAGGATGAGCTGGAGCAGCGAATGTCCGCCCTTCAGGAGAGCCGGCGGGAGCTGATGGTGCAACTGGAAGGGCTTATGAAGCTGCTCAAGGTAAGGTCTGCCGGCGCTGGAGATCCCCTCCTCAGCACCTGCCACATTCGCAGCTCCCAGGCAGGCTGTGCATCAAACCTGTGAGAAGCCCTTTCTGTCCTGCCTTAGGCTGAGTCAGACCATCCTTTTCAACTGGCAGCACTGATCAGGGTTGGACCCAGGCCTTCCAGCGCTCAAAGCGGGGGCTCTGCCTGCCCATAAGCTGCAGCCCTGGCCCTTGCCCTGGGAGAAACCCCCTCCAGAGGGCTGTGTGTGAGATCCGGCCTGCTCTAGCATTCAGAAGCCCCTTCATGCTTGGCCCACGGAGCCCCCAAGAAGGGCTGCCCTCGTCTCCCTCATTGTCTTTTGTCCCTTCCGGCAGAGAAGGGATTTGCCTGCAGCATCTTCCAGGTGGCGTGGGTCTTTAGAGGTCCTCTAGTCCAGGCATAGGCAAACTCAGCCCTCCAGATGTTTTGAGAATACAATTCCCATAATCCCTGACCACTGGTCCTGTTAGCTAGGGATGATGGGAGTTGTAGTCCCAAAACATCTGGAGGGCCGCGTTTGGCTATGCCTGCTCTAGTCCAACCCCCTAGGGCTCAGTGATGGAAATCCAGTGCTAGAAGCATCCTCTGTGCTCAGGTATCTGTCCAGCGTCTGCCTGAAGACCTCTAGCAGGGGAGATCCCAGCCCCCAGCCCTGCCCCCAACTCGTTCCATTACTGCTTATCCTTAGGAAGTGTTCCCTCCTGATGTTTAGCCCAGTAGGCCCAGCAGGAGGAGAAGCGAAAGAGTGTTTCCCCTCCTCCTGTGGGATGACAGCCTTTGGGGGGCTTAAAGGTGCTCTGCTGTGTTGGGGTGTGGATAGATGCCAGGAGAGGATATATTTATTAGATATTATCCTTCCTTCCTCACATTTGTGAGTTCAGCAGAGTGCATCCCTTTGCAGCTTAACAGGGAAGCTTTGATAGACTACTTTTAGCCTTTTCATTTAAGGATTCCAAGGTCCTTTAAGGCAGCCTGGATTTTCCTGGTATTTCCCCCTTAGAGCAATAACCGCGCAGTCTTGTAGAAGGTAAAAATAACATTTACTCACTCAGAATACCTGTCAAAGAGTAACCAAATACAGCAGCTTTGTTCAGGCAGGCTCAAAATAGTAATTCAGTTACAAGGACATAAGTAAATCTAGTTTAAGTCTGAGCATGGAGCTCAGATGAGCAGGTGTTCTCACATTGCTGGCAGAGAGGGAAGAGGAAGAGGTGAGAGGCAGTGTGCCCAGGCAGGTAAGAGAAAATACATGGCTATGGCCTCTCCTTGTCAGGGCACAGGGGGAGTGTCTCTCACAGACAAGCTCACAGGAATACGCAGAGCTTCAGCTCCCATCATGTGCCTATCTAACAAAGCAGGAATTGTTTGTTTGACTATATGTTAGATATCCCACATCCTGTCCCCTGCTCAGTCCTCTGAGTGTTCCCCGATCCTTCAGCGCTTCCTCACGTGTCTTCTTTCCCACCCAGAGCCCGGACCTCACTCCCTGCCCTTCCCTCTCCCTCGCTGGACCAGGGGCACCTAGACTCAGCCTGTAGCATCCCTGGGAGGGAAGCCAGAGGCAGCCGTGATGGTCTCACACACCGCAAGGCAGCAGCTCCTGCCCTCCTGCCTCCCTTCCCTGTGTCCTTCTCCGCCTCCTCTCTTGGTGTCCTTGAGCGTCAGCAGACGTGGGGGTTCCTCTTGGGGATCCCTGCCTGTGTCCGTTCCCCCCGTCCTGATAATGATTAACTGTCCTCTCTCTTTCTCTCACACCTTTGCTTACTGCCAACCTTTATAGGAAGAGGAGCAGAAGCAGGCAGTAAGTTGATACCCCGTGAATCTTTTCTTCCCTTTGGTTCTGCATGAAATGACTCTGTGCGGCACTTTCTCATCCTGGTGGGGTTTGGGTGCCCAGGAGGCAAGTGGGGCAGAGCCACCTTTGGGTGCCCAGGGCAGGATGAGGGTCTCCTGCCTCCCGCAGAGTGTGGGCTTATTAACCCTTGGCACACCGGCTTAATTTCTCAATGTGTTTATTTCCCAAAACGTAAGACTAACGAGCCAGTCCCAGTTTGATTTGCGTGCGCGTGCGTTTAATGAAATGTGCATGATTGACAAGACATGGAAATGCAGAGATCCTCCCATGTTGCTCTGGTTGCTTTTTCTGCCCTCAGGCACCTCCTTGCATTCTCCTTCCTGGCCACGCGCACGAGTCCACGCATGGAAACAGACAGCCCTGTCTGGCCCTGCATCCTGCTGCCTTGACAAGCCTGGCTCAGCAAAAACTGTTTCTTCCAGGGTGGGGGGCTCCTCCAAGAGACCTCCTTGTTGAGCATCCGTCTTGGTTTGTTTGCACAGGGATTATGCAGAGGTCCAGAGACGATGCAATATTCAGATTGGTTTTGTGTGGAGGTTGCATGACAAGGAGCGTCTGTCCTGGTCTGCTTGTGTGGGTGGAGACTTTGCTCTGTCCCGGCTCCTGCCAACCTAGCAGTTCGAAAGCACTCCAGTGCAAGTAGATAAATGGGTAAAGGATCCCTGGTGGCGCTGTGTTCTAAACCACTGAGCCTCTTGGGCTTTCAGATCAGAAGGTCAGCGGTTCGAATCCCCACGACAACGGGGTGAGCTTCCCTTGCTCTGTCCCAGCTCCTGCCAAACTAGCAGATAAATAGGTACCGTTGTGGCGGGAAGGTAAACGGCATTTCCGTGCATTCTGGCTTCCATCACACTGTCCCGTTTTGCCAGAGGCGGTTTAGTCCTGCTGGCCACATGACCCAGAAAACTGTCTGCAGACAAATGCTGGCTCCCTTGGCCTGAAGCGAGATGAGCGCCTTTGACTGGACTTAACCGTCCAGGGGTCCTTTACCTGTACTCTTTTTTAAAACCTTCTCTGTCACTTGCTTAAAGGTAAAGGTAAAGGGACCCCTGATCATTAGGTCCACTTGTGACCGACTCTGGGGTTGTGGCGCTCATCTCGCTTTATTGGCCGAGGGAGCCGGCGTACAGCTTCCGGGTCATGTGGCCAGCATGATTAACCCCTCTTCTGGTGAACCAGAGCAGCACCCGCCGTAGCGGTACCTATTTATCTACTTGCACTTCATGCTTTCGAACTGCTAGGTTGGCAGGAGCAGGGACTGAGCAACGGGAGCTCACCCCGTCGCAGGGATTTGAACCGCCAACCTTCTGATCGGCAAGCCCTAGGCTCTGTGGTTTAACCCACAGCGCCACCCGCGTCACTTGCTTATCTGACACTTATTGGTGCAGATGGGTGCCAGCCAACCATTTGTGCATTTCCCCATCACTTTCCTAACTGCAAAAAATACTTTAAAAAAAAAGTAGACTTGTTGCCCCAGAGTGCTCTAATCCACATTAATTGCATAGACCTAAACTTCCAGTATGCAGCTGAAGCCCTCCAGCAAAAAACTGACCATCTGCAGGAGACGGTCCCTCCCCCCCTTATTCCTGCCCGGCAGTTAACTCCGAATCCCCTGCAGAGGGAGCCATCCTTCCTTCTTAAGCAAGCAGCCTTTGGTGCCTGTGCAGCAGGATGGAAGCCGGCTGGTGGAAGCGCCAAACCTCTGGCCTGCTGGGGCTTCCCTTGCGGATTTGCACATCTGCAGTGATGTGCAGGTCCCCCAAAGACTGGGTTTTGGGAAGGAGAAGCACGTTTTCTACATCTGTTGCAAAAATCTCCATAAGCGGTGCAAAGAGGTGCCTGGAAGCCAAGAATGGACACTTCCCTTCCCTGTTGAAGCCTGGCTGACCTCCTGCCTCTGCCAGGCTTCAAATGCACAGAGCCTCCTGATGGCTTCACAGTTTTAATCTATCGTCGTTTCTGGTGAGCGTTCACATCTGTCGAGTGCTTCCCCTTTTCATGACACCTTAATGATGTTTATGGGGCTACTTCTGGGTTCAGCGCCGTGCGCATGTACGCAATCGCACGTCATTCGGATGCGTCTAAATCGGCAGTTCATTTATTGTGAAAGATTATGCAGCTGCTTCTACAGCACCGGATCCCAACGCACATCAATGTAGCATCTAGGCAGCTATGCCCAGATCCGCTGTCTGTGGAGCCGTTACCACAACTGGGGACCACTCTCCCCTCCACCAGTTCGTGTACCTTCCCCTGACGGCCTGTGCACATACAGCCAGAGACTGTGCCTGTGTGGAAACTTCCTCTGCTCTTCCCACTTCAGTCGCCTCCTGGTTCTGGGAGACGGGATGCAGGAGAGGTTGGGCAAGCCCCTGGCCCTTCACTTACTTCTTCCTCCTCTTCTTCCAACCCCTCCTGTGCTCCACCCTCCAGCTCTGAAGCTTCCCCTGCCGCTGCCTCTTGCCTCCTGGCCAGCACAGGTCCCCACAAACCACTGCCCCCCTCTCCCAACTCCAGTCCACACTCATCAACCTCTTGCCAGCCCCTGACAACACCTGTTGAACAAACAGAAAGTGGCAATTTTGGTGTGTCTTACTTGGCATCGAGGGGGACGCGGGTGGTGCTGTGGGTTAAACCACAGAGCCTAGGACTTGCCGATCAGAAGGTCAGCGGTTCGAATCCCCATGATGGGGTGAGCTCCCGTTGCTCGGTCCCTGCTCCTGCCAACCTAGCAGTTCGAAAGCACGTCAAAGTGCAAGTAGATAAATAGGTACCGCTCCGGCGGGAAGGTAAACGCCGTTTCCGTGTTCTGCTCTGGTTTGCCAGAAGCGGCTCAGTCATGCTGGCCACATGACCCGGAAGCTGTACGCCGGCTCCCTCGGCCAGTAAAGCAAGATGAGCACTGCAACTCCAGAGTCGGCCACGACTGGACCTAACGGTCAGGGGTCCCTTTCCCTTTACTTGGCATGGAAGGAGCACAGGGGAGAGACCTGCCCTGCCCCCTTTTGCAGTTCCTTCCCAGGCCCCCTGCAAAGCCACTTCCCCAAACCACTTGCACTTCCCTGCTATTCTGGTGGGAACAACCCCCTGTCCATCCGCAAGGCAAAGCAAACTTTGCCTTTGGTCAGATTGCAAAGAGGCTCTTCCCCATGTGACTGCTGGCTACTGACCTTTGCAACAACCCCTGGAACATGGCCGGGCTGTCTGGCTGCTACTATCAAGCAGCCACCAAGGGGAATTGTCTCTCCTGCTTATCATCACAAATAGCCCCCAGGGTGGAGAGAATACAGCCCCCAACGCCTGCACACCTGGGTCTCATAAAAAGCTTCGGAGTTAAATATTGACACGTTTCACTCCAGAATGTGGAAGAATGGGCTGTCCCTTTCAAGTGAGCTGCCTGCAGACTTTCGAAACTCCCATTTCTGTCTCCTGGGGAGGGCCCAGGGACCGGGGTAAGCCCCAAGGAGTTTCCATGGCAGCCTGGCTTGTGGGGGTGGGGTGTCCCCTGGTCTAGCTGTGGGAGGAGAGGCTCCCCATAGAACTTAAGGTGGGTTTATTTTGAGATCCCTGTATTTCAGAAGGGTTGGACTAGATTACTCAGGGTCCCTTCCAACCATACAAATCTCTTGCTGAGAAGGGGAGTTAAATGGTGGATTGTATGTTGTATGTGATGTAAAGGTGCAAGGCAGGTAGAAGGGGAGAGAGAGAGAGAATGTTTCTGCAAGCACCGAGTTAACAGTTTATTTTTCCAAACTAGATTTGGGAAAGAGGATCTGCTCCCACAGATCCATTTTTCCATGACATCATTGTGTGGAAGTACTCAGTGCATCCTGAGTAGACTGCAATTTGCCACGTCCAGAGAAACCTGGAAACGTGGTTTGGATCAGCTCTCTGTCACAGGCCTAGAGTCGGAGTGTTCACCAAACTCATTCAGAGCACCGAGTCCACAGAAAAGTTTCAGTGGCCACATAAAGAGCAATTGATCCTGGGAATTGGCCCCTCTCGTCCTCCAGGCCAGGAGCCCCCGGTTTCTCGGCAGAGCCTTTTCCCACCTCTCCTTTCAGCAGGGTTTGTGGCTGTTCCCTTTATCTCACCAGATGCCCCCACTTCCCCACTGGTACCGCTTCTTGAAAAACCTTAGGAATAAGCAAGGACTGGAGCCCAGGGTGCTTTTAGCCTGGGAGCCATGAAGCTCTGCTAAGCCCCCATCCTGGCTCCTGAACTGTAGGAGGCCTTCCTGGGAAGCTCTGTGGGCACTGAGAACCAAGGAGGAGCCCTCAGCGTTGGTGCAGAGAAAGGCCTCTTGGGCTCAGCTGCTGAATCCCACGGGAGAAGAGCCTGGGTGGGGAGCAAGGAAGCATCACATGACCACTGCGGTGGGAGACTTCTCTGTATTAGGAATCCAGTGGTTTTTTTGGATTCCTGGTCCTATAAAGCGGAAAGAAGAGAACTCTGAACAAGCGGGGCTTTGTGATGTTGGGTTTGGCACAGCTGCCTAGTATCTGAGGGAGAAGGGTCTTCAGCCAAGCTGCTGAATGGGGCTGGAGCCTCTGCGTAGAGGGGGGGGTGGGCTTAGCCTTGGAGATGCTTTAGCGGGGTATACAGTGGCCTCGATCCCTGTCACAAAGGCCAGACGTTGCTGCAGAGGAAGAGGAGGAAGTGATGTTTGCTGACAGGTTACTCAGAAGAACAAGCCTTGCTGAAGAAGCAGAGCCAGCATGGCTTCTGCTCAAGCAAGTATTCTCTCTATTTGAGTTATTTGTGAGCGTCAACAAGCACATAGAGGTGATCCAGTGGACATTAAGGTACATGGGTTTTCAAAATTCTTTTCAGAATGCACTTCACCAAAACTCCCGAGTAATGGAATAAGAGGGAAGGTCCTCTTGTGGATCAGGAATTGGTTACGGAGCAGAAAACAGACAGCAGAAATAAATGGATAGTTCTCCAAATGGAGAGATGTAAAAAGTGGCTTTTTGGGGGGGTTCTGCCCAGAGATGCCCCTCAACTGATCCGAAGGACGTGCCCTTTCCTCCTCCCCCTCCCTGGAGGCACAGGGGGCCAGTCTTGCGACTCCCAGTTTGACCACAATGGCATTGGGCACTTCCCAGCACGTCAGGTGTGTAGTGATGGTCAGTCCCGTGCGCAAGGGGTGTTGTGCTGTGGAGCCTGCCTTGTCCTCCATAGTTCACCCTGAGCCAGAGGGAGCCCAGGCGCCCTCAGGGCTCTCACTTGGGGGCAACGTTTCTCCGAAGTGCTTCTGCTGACCATGTGGCTGGTTTCTTACTCCGATCCTCCTGTACCCAAAGATTTCTGCCTTGTCTCGGGCCCCTGCACATAGCTAGCCGTGCCAGGAAGCCGCCATGTTGACAACTTCCTCCATGAACCTTGGGAAGACGTTTGGCCTCCCACAAGCTTCCCCACACTTCCGCAGAGACCACCAGGCCCGGGGCCAGGGCCTTTGCTTGCCCACAGATGCCGTCCTGGTGAGGCTGAAACTTCCCTTGAGAAGATGGAGCTCAGGCACTGGCTGTAGATCAGGAACTGTGTTTGTGCTTGTGCTTTTAACTCAGGTGAGCTGGGCTTGCCCTGCTTGTCTGGATGGACTCCTCTGGGGCAGTTTCAAGCCTCTTTCTGTGGGTCACTTTCTCTCTCTCTGAACATGGTGCTCTCCAGACAGGGTCTGGCCTGTGCCTCTGCGGAGCCAGGGCTGGACGTCTTGGGCTGCCTTTGGCCCCTTCTCCCTGACGGGCCGGGCGCTCCATGCCCTGCCCAGGCAGCCCTGCTGGAGGGCAAAGGACAGTGGCGGCCCCTTCGCTCAGAGGACCCCTCTCTGTTCCCGGACAGTCGGCACTTCCCGCTTCACACAAGTTAATCATTAGGGCTGCGATGGAGTTTGCCTTCTCCCTGCCATGGAGCCCCACTCCCGCTTTGCAAGGGAGGAGCCTCTGCCTCGTTTACTCTGGCCTGGAACCGTTGCGTGCAGCCAAGGGGAAGGAGCGAGGGCTGAGTAGGGGGTCTGCAGGCCCTTTTCCCAAAAAGCCAAATGAGCTGCTTCGCATTTCTGCCGGGCTCCTCTCTCGGGCGTGTGCGTGCAAGCCCTGCTGCTCTGTCCTTGACGTTCTCCGCCATCTTAGCTATTTCTGGCTCCCTCGTCCTGCCGCCACGGCGGCAGCAGCAGCCCCCGCACCACCCAGACTCCCCCAGCACCACAGCTGCTGCAAAGGCCCTGGACGGATGAGCTTGCGTGCCGGCGCGCTTTAATTGAATTACGCAATTCTGAGCAATTAAACGCAATCTTCTGCCTCGTAATCCCGTCGATCCTGCCTGCTTCCCCCCTCCCTCCTTCCCATATGTTTGATTAGACAGCTGTGCTTTTTTTGGGAGCTGCCGGTGCGAGCAGAGGCCCAAAATAGAACATGCGAAATGGACGGTGCACGTCTGCCTGCCTGCCTGCCTGCCTCCTTCCCTCCCTTCCTCCGCCCCCCCCCCTACTGTACATTGCTGTCCGGGTGCCAGGAGCACATTCTGCGGCCCCCTCTCCTGGCTGCGCACACAAGCACCTTTCCCTCTGCCGCCGCCAAGGCGTTTCTGCGCAGCCCTGGCGAAAGGCAGCAGCCGAGAGGGTGATGGCGCTTGTTTTGTTTAAGCATGCAGCGGCAGAAAGCAGGGAATTGTCCTCCCAGCCATCTGCTCACCTGGCTGCCTTCCATTCGCTCAGGAGACAGCGGCGTACGTGGGGACGAAGAGCCTCTTTCACTCCGTTGCCATGATAACAGGGCCGGTTTCGGAGTTTTAGCAGGGAAAGGGTTATTAACGCTTTGGGGAGAAGAAAGGTTATTAGGCTGCTGGAGTAACAGGGATTGTTCCTGGAAGTTTCGCAGCAACGCACAGAAAGGGGAGACCAGAAGCACGAAGGGCCCTTTCGGAGGCAGGAGCCGCAGCTGATGGGGGCCACGAATAGGAGCCGCCCGCTGCCTGCCTTGCATGGGCTGCTCACCCAAAGCACTCCTCTAGGTGGAAGGCTGGATATCAGGAGAGCCCTGGGGAATCAGGCCAGTGGCCCGTCTGGTCCAGTTCTCCCAGTGGCCAACCACCTGTGGAGGGCAGAGCAGAGCCATCCTGGCTGGTGGAAATCAATAGCCCTTTTCCTCCATGAATTTGTTCAGTCTTGTTTCAAATAGGTTGCCTTCAGCCTGGTGCCAAGCAACTCAAGGATTTCTGGCCGTGCAACAGAACTTTTTCTCCCTCTGCCCCCCACTCCCTCCCAAGTACCCCCTAAACCTGTTCTTCGATTTCCCCTAGCTCTCCGGAGCAGATTTGGGAAGTGGGGAAAGGAGGGAAGTCCTTTTGTGCTAACAGTAATCCTTGTGCTGGCAGGATGCGGGAGCAGAATATCACCCAGGGCTGCAGTGCAAACTTTGCTTCCAGAGGATCCCCAGTATCTCCACTTGAAAGGGGTCTCTGGTGGGTAGCAGGCCTGAGCACAACCTCAGCTGGGAAACTGGAGAGAGAAAGTGCTGTCAAGAGGAGGCAGTGCTAGGCAAGGTCAACCAAAGATGTGGCGTCATGAATCCATGTCTGGCCTCCTGGATGGTAAAGGGGTGGTGGTGTTGTTGTTTAGTCGTTTAGTCGTGTCCGCCTCTTCGTGACCCCCTGGACCAGAGCACGCCAGGCCCTCCTGTCTTCCACTGCCTCCCGCAGTTCGGTCAAACTCATGCTGGTCTCTTTGAAAACACTATCCAACCATCTCGTCCTCTGTCGTCCCCTTCTCCTTGTGCCCTCCATCTTTCCCAACATCAGGGTCTTTTCCAGGGAGTCTTCTCTTCTCAGGTAAAGGAGTAGAATCATAGAATTGTAGAGTTGGAAGGGATCCCATGGGTTCTCTAGTCCAGCCCCCTGCAATGCAGGAATCTCAGCTAAAGCTACTGGTCTACACTTCCCCCTAACACCCTTCCTGCCCCCTTCGCGTTGCCTATTAAGAACCAGGCCTGACTGGACCCCAGGTGCACAGCCAGGTTGGGCCAGAAGCAGCAGAAAGAAGCAGCACGTTGGTGACCCTCATGAATGGGAAAGTGTGTTGGGGGAACTAATCTCCAAGTCCTCTTCCAGTCGAACCCCAGCCTCTTTCAGGGATGAAAGCTGGCCTCCTCCCTGGCTCAGCACCTGCATTTGAGCCCAGCATCCGGCTGCCTGGGTTTATCCTGGCACCCGCCTTCAAGGAGATGCTCTTGCGCAGCATTCATGGATTTCAGTGGACCTTCCTTGCAGGAAACGAGTGCCCAAGCTCTGCTCGTGCCTCTTCTGCGCCCAGCATCTTTGCAGCAGAAACTGAAGCATCTCGGCCGGCCGGCTTTATTTTTAGCTGGATTTCCAAGTGTGTTTTCTGTTCCTAAATGACTTGGAATGCGATGGGACGCAGCCAGCCCATCCACGGAGGCATTTGGCTCTCAGGGACCCGACTTCCTTGCCCTGTGCAGCCGGCCTCTGCATAGCAGGACTTCCACGGATCCTGGCTCAGGAGAAGCCTGCAGGGTTACAGTGCGGCCTGGTTTTATTTTTGTAGCCATCCAAGCCCCGGGATCATCAGCCTGCCACTGTCCTCTTCCGCAGCCATGCCAGAATCAGGGTGGAAGACGATGACCCGCCTCTCTTGCTTATTTAAAAGAGCCTGGCGGGTCAGACTTCGCCTCCAAGCCAGATTCTGAATTGGCCCAGTTCCCGCGGACCACGCTCAGAAGCAAAATGCCCTGCCTAGTCCTGATCCCGGAACAGGTGGCAGCAACTCCAGAGCTTCTAAGTTTTCTTATTGATTGTGTTTTAATCATCATTCTTGATTTCATGTTAAACCATCTGAGGGGTCCCCGGAGACATAAATTGACTAAAGGACATAAGTAAATTTGTAGTTGAGCACACAAGAAGAGGACATAAGAGGAGCAGCTGGATCCGGCCCTGTGGCCCTTCTACTTAACTACACATCCATGAAGAAGAAATTTCATTTCCCTGCACTGAATACTCCAGCATTCAACTCCATTGGAAGTCCACAAGTCCTAGCGTTACAAGCAAGGGGGGAAAGCCTTTTCGCTGCCCGCTTTCACGTCGCCTCTTCCTCGCGACATGCGGGACCTGCTGCTGCAGTCACTCTGCACATGACTGGACTTTGGGGTCCTGCTCATTTCCTGTGAAAACGCGATGATCAGCGGACAGGACTGGGAGCGGCTGTTGGCTCCAAGGCCTCTCTGTATTCAGACTGACAGTGTGAGGGGAGAAGAAGACGGTTTGGCATGGAAGTGGCCCCTGTGTTGAGCTGCCCGTTGGAATACCTCTGCTGGATCTCCCTTGCACTTGCTTCCCTGGGGCTTGAAACACAGCTTAGAACTCTCCCTACCCAGAGGAGGCAAACTGCAGCTGCCACCCAGGACAAGGGATTTGGAGCACCATTAAGGATAAAAAAAGATAAAGGACCCCTGACAGTTAAGTCCAGTCGCAAAGGACTCTGGGGTTGCGGCGCTCATCTCGCTTTACTGGCCAAGGGAGCCAACGTTTGTCTGCAGACAGTTTTTCATGTGGCCAGCATGACTAAGCCGCTTCTGGCGAAACCAGAGCAGTGCACAGAAATGCTGTTTACCTTCCTGCTGGAGCTGTACCTATTTATCTACTTGCACTGGCGTGCTTTCGAACTGCTAGGATGGCAGGAGCTGGGACTGAGCAACGGGAGCTCACCCTGTCGCAGGGATTCAAACCACCAACCTTCCTATCGGCAAGCCCAAGAGACTCAGTGGTTTATGCTACAGCACCACCCGCGTCCAGGGTGCAAGACCAGGAAAGTAGACCAGCCTCCTTCAGCTTGGAGCCTCCAGGTGTTTGGCACTCCAAGTCTCATCAGCCCTGTCTGGGGCTGATGGCAGTTGTGGTCCAAACCCCTGGGGGGCAACAGCTTGGCTAGGGGAGGCCCATCTTGGGCGCGAACTGCAAGGAAGCCACGTCGCACACAAGTCCCATACCAGGGAATACGGTGGTGCAAATTCCATCCGCCTCAGAGAAATTCCCCGTGGATCGTGCCCTGTGTTGGTAAACTTCAGGTCTCTGAAATTGGAATCCGCAGGGCCAGCCCTGTCCCCTCCCCCCCAAAAGGCCAGCTGATTAGAAATGTATGCGCAGACGCACTCTGCCCCCCAGGAGGAATTCTCCAGCTGGAGCAGCTTTTCCTCTGGCGTTGGGGGAAGTATGATTCCGTAATGGAATTTCTTTTCCAGCTCCCATCTGATGGCAAAGGAGTTGAGTTTATTTGGCCCGCTGTCAGGAGCTGAGGTCACCCGCTGGCACTGACTCTGCAGGACCTTTTTTGCAGGCAGAGTCGTCTCTCCAAAACGAAGCCCCCCGTTCTGAAATGAGAGAGGCCCCTCTCACCTCTCCCTGCTACCTTGGGCCACTCATGCGGCGATCTCCTGCTGGCGGTGGCAGCCTCCAGGTGCCCAGTTGGCCACCTCTTTGCCCGGCTTCTGCTGCCCGCTGGGAATCCCTGCTGACATGAAGCTTTTCTCTGCGCTAGGAGTCTGTGGAGCTCCATCCCAGCTGCTGTTCTTCGTGGGCAGACACATGGCACCCCTGCCCTTCCATTCCTGAAATGCCTCTCTTGGTTTGCAGAAGGTTTCCATTGCCTCCTTCATCAGGCAGAATTTCTAAATGTCTGCAGGGCTCCGCATGGTGGCCAGGTAGATATCCCAATCCCTAAACTGGGCAGGACATGGGGGCCGTGTCCCTCATCCCCTGCTTGCCCACAAACCCCTTTGGAGACTTTAAAAACGGTGGCTGGTAGATTTTGACAGGTCTCTCTTCTGCGTGGTCACCTAAGCCTCCTTTCTTAAAAAGTAAAAATACAATACAATCACATCTTATGTGTACCTAATATGCATGATTTCAACCATACGCAGATGAAGGCAAGCCGGCTGAAACTGTTCAAGTTAAATCTAAGCAAATTGGAGAGCTTAAAATCTCTTTTTGCACCAGGTCTGCGTGGGGTTACCCAGCACCTAAAGTGCCTTCAAGCTCTCTGCCTTGCTTGCTGGGCAAGGCCTGCTTAGCACACAGCCTCTGGGACTATAGGGGATTCTTCCTGTCTCCCTCTCACCCAGCAATGTGTGGTTTTCCTGTATTTGCAGAACCCTTAGCAGTGAACCTCTGCATCGCATGCAGTTGTGCTGCCCTGGTTTCTGTAAGCTTGCCTGGGAGCCTTTTGGGCTAAGTGGCAGAGCGGCAGTGCCACAAAGCAGATCTTGCCAGCTTCCTCTGGGCAGTGGCAGCCGCCTCAGGGTGTCGGGGTGGAGCTTTGCGGGGGCTGAGCTATGCTGTTGTGTGTCCCACTATTTTGCTGCGCGTGACACGACTCCAAGAAACCCTTGGAAGGAAGTTTAATTTAGCCCCACTCTGCACGCGCTGTTCCTCTCCTGCCACTGGCAGCCCAGGGATTCCCCACATGGGGGGCCACAGCGTGGCTCCTGAGACCACACCTGTGACTGCAGGGCCAGCGTGGGTCTGGGGGCACAGCAGGAGTGGAGTTTCACTCCGAACACCTCCGTGTCTTGCCTGTGGGTCCCAACTGGCTGCAGGGAGTCCACGTGGAGTTTTGCAAACAGGTTTGTGTCCCAGGTCTCTGCCTCTCAGGTGTGGGGGCTGTTTATTTGGCTGGGATTCCAGGCTCCATCCTGCCCTCATTCCCGGAGTTCCCTCTGAGCGGCTGCATCCTTCTGGTCAGTTTCCTCGTCTGCTTGCCTGGAGAGCTGGAAGGGGGTTCATCTGGCTGTGGTTTGGCTGCCTCATCCTGCAGTAGCCTTTTGGCTGCACCTTGGGCCTTTTCCTGGGTCTGTGCTCTGGTGCTGAGTCCCACCCTTCCGTTCCTGACTCTCCAGGGAGCCTCTGCTGCTGCTTTGCTGTTGAAAACCCCCCTGGGGATGTGAGTGGTATTTAAATCTGTCTAAGCCAAGCACAGACCCTCTTCGTTGCGAACCTTGAATCTCAGGAGGCATGTGGGTGAAAAACCTGCAGCAGACCTTGGTTGGCAGAAAAGGAAAATGAGGTTTTTCTGCCTTGTGTTTCTGCCTCTTGCAAGAGAAACCCCACGAGGAGGTTTTCCGTTGTTTTCCTTCCTCCTTTCCCCATCTGGGGCCGGAACCTTCGGGGAGTGCTTTGCCGTAACAACCGCAGGCTGCGTTTCGTTTCGGGATCTGCAGGGCTGCTGCCCACACCTTTCCCTGGAGGAGATTAAGTCCCTGCTGCTCTTGGTGGCAAAGAGGAAGGTCTCTGCCATCAAGGAATGTTGACCTCTGGTCCGTCAGCATCTTTCCCCCAATATCTGCAGCAGGGTGTGTGTTGGAAAAGGGGTGCGAAAACAGGAGGTGGGAACTCCCCTCTGCGGCCACCTTCATGCCCGTATCCATATTTGTGGTGGTCTTTCTCTGCTTGTCAGTGAAATCTTGAATGCGTTTCTGTAAATTTACAGGCATGCTTGTAGGAAGTGGTGATGAGGGAAACAAAGGAGACAGGCTTGGAGTTTCATCCTGCAGTCAAAATCTTGCTACTGCTGCTGCAACAACAACCCCCCCCCCCCCCCCCCCCCCCCCGCTTTTGTTTTTCCTCCTTGGGGCACAAGACAGCAGTCCTCACGATTCAGCCGCAGCATCCCAATACTGGGAAAGCCCAGTGTCCCAGAGGCCCCTGGAACAGAATATCTGCCAAAGTGGGCAAGGCTAAGAGCTTTGGCCCGTTCCTTCCTTGGTCGCCCAGAGCCACATGGGGCAGAACACCAGGAGATTTGACCCTTGCAGCAGGCACCTCTGCCCCTCTGGGCAGGAAGGCTGTGCAACCCAGGAGGAATCCCAGGCTGAGGGTACAGTGGTACCTCGGGATGCGAACGGGATCCGTTCTGGAGCCCCGTTTGCATCCTGAATGGAACGTAAGACGCGACGGCGCATCTCCACATGCGCGGCTCATGTTTTGCCACTTCCGCGCATGCATGTGATGTCATTTTGAGCGTCTGCGCATGCGCGAGCGGCAAAACCTGAAAGTAACGCACTCCGTTACTTCCGGGTTGCCGCGGAGCGCAACCTGAAAGCGCTCAACCTGAAGCACATTCAACTCGAGGTATGACTGTATACTAAATAGGGAACACAAAGACACAAAGCTGACAGCTAGAACAAGCGAGGGCCCCTGCAGTGTAGGCCAGAGAGCCATGTCTCTGGCGTGCGCCTGACGTGCCCAGGTGGGCAGAGGCAGCCTTCCCCAACGACTCCCGCCAGCCCCAGCCAAGAGACTCTGTTGCTCCTCTGAACTGCCAGGCAACTCAGGGGCAGAAGGGAGTCCAGGGCTCTCCTGTGGGATAAGCAGCCCTTCATCCGTCTATCGCTGGGAGACCCTCATCAGTGCAGGCTGGCAAGCCGCAAACGAGGGGCTGCAGGAGACCCCAGCCTTTGAAGACGGCAGCCGCAGGAAAACTCCACCATCAACTCCTGATTTGACCTTGAGGATCCTCTAGGTACCAGAGTCCCTGCTGTGGATTCCCTGCCCTGAAGTGCTGCCTGTGCTGGCATGTGGCTTGTGATGGAGCAGGATCTGGTTGATCACTAAATCCTGATCAAACTCCTCTCAGAGGCCAGTTTAGGGTGGCTGAAAGGAGACCCAAAGGTCTCCGTTTGGGTCTTAGGAGAGGCAGTGGCGTGGGGGGAGCTGCTGCAAAACCCACCCCGGCCCAGAGAGACCCCCTGGCATCCCTTGAGCGAAGCTCTGTCGAAACCAACTTCCCCCAACTTACTTTTGTGGGCATTGGCAGGCACCCTCCGCTCCGGTGACGACACAGTTTCCATAGTAGCAAATGTGGTTCAAAGGTAGGGGGCTGTTTCTTTAAGAAAAGAATGTAAAAGAGGATAAAGACCAGATGAAACAACAGCACAAGCTGAAGGAGAGAGGATGTGTTGGGCCTGTAAAACGTTAATGGGGTAATTATGGCATTAGTCACAAGCATTGAGGCCTCCACAGCCATGAGCCCTTCCGGCCCTCTGTGTCACACGGTGTGCAGCTCAGCGCATAGAGAGGGGGACGCAGTCAAAGTGCTACCGCCACATGTCAAATTAGGCACGGCACCGAGACGGAAAGGGAGCGCTCCCCTCTGGCTCCTGGGGCCGCCTGGCCGAGGCCAGCATGGGGCAGTGGATCAAGTTTGAGACCAGGACCTGGGAGACTGGGGTTCGAATCCCCACCCTCCCCTCTGGGCGAACCTCAAAGGGTTGTGGGGGGGTGAAATGGGGGGGGAGAGCACAAACTGGAGCTCTTTGGAGGGAAAACGAGGTGTAAATGTAGAGGTGGAGGCACTGGGGTTCTGGGAGGCTTGGGTCACGGTCCAAAGGGTGGCAGGAGCAGAAGAAAGCCCCACAACTTTATAGAATCCTAGAATCCTAGCCTTGGAAGGGACCCTAAGAGTGCTGGGCTGAATGAGGCCCTCCGGTCTCTAGGGCTTCTCCTAGGAGGAATAAGGCAGTCAGGCAGCTGTCCCGCCTTTTGGATTATTAAGTCTCCACCGTCTGGTTCCATTGTTTCTGCACCTTCATGGCAATGGTGCCATCCTGCCCAGATTGTTACTCTTTTGTGTCCCTTATTGGACCAGCGTGGAGACAACAGTGCCGGCCAGTTTATTGAAGTATCCGGGCCCCAGACATCCCCCTGGACCTCATGCCTTCCCCAACCTTGTGCCTTCTGGATGTTGTGGACAAGCCTTGGCCGGGGCTGGTTGGGGTTGCCGTCCTTCAGAACATAAGAGCCTGCTGGATCCGGCCAGCATCCTGTTCTCTGGGAAACCTGCGAGCCAGAACCAGAGCACCAGAGCAGCCTTTTCCCCTTGAAATATACTCAAGAGTCGCAAAGTGATTTCATGCTCTTTATTCAGCTCATAGTGGTGAGGAGGAATGGAATTCCCCTCAAAGTATCTGCTTTATATACATTATTTACACAATGGGCTGCACATGATTGGCTAATTCCGGACTTCTCCTGTAGGCCAATCAGGTTGTGGATTCACTTCTATCTGGAGCATGATTGGGTGGCTCCTGCCAACCAATCATACTGCTGCATTGTTCTAGGACCAATCAGACTGCTGCATTCTGGATCCTATTGTTCTAGGACCAATCAGACTGCTGCAGTTTGGATCCTATTCAACTCAGTACATAACACCCCTCATGTGGGTTCCATCCTGGCTCTTGTAGCCTTTGAGAGCCCTCTCCTTCTCCATGAATTTGTCTCTTCCTCTTTCAGAGCCATCCAAATTGGGGACCATCCCTGCCTCCTGTGGGAGAGAGTTCCATAGATTAACGCTGTGCTGCAGGAAGGACTGTATTCCACCTGCCCTCAGTCTCCCAACATCCACCTTCCTTGGGGGTCCATGAGTTCCAGCGTTACATGAGAGAGAGAGCACTTTCCTCTGTTGCTTCCTTCTTGCCAGGCATAATTTCCCGAGCTGCCCTTTTCTGCAGATCATCCGAAGGGCACCAGGCCTGTGACTTTTCTAGAGCCTCCCACCCTGTGCTTTTCCACTCCAGCCCAAGATTTCCTTCTCTGACACCTGTTCCATGTGGGCCACCAGCTCCGCACCCACATCTCCCCAGGGATGCCCTGTGGGCTCTTGTCTTCGCATCACTGAACACCCGCTGCAAATGCGCTGAATTTAAGGCCGGGCTTTGGGGAAAAAGAGCCGTCTCCTGCACTTCATTCCTTAAAATCTTGGTATTTTGCTCTCCAAGAATTCAACTTACACTATTTTTGTTACTTGCTTTCATTTATTATTTGGGCTGCCCCATAACTAAAGGTTACCTGGTGGCCTTAGAGTGGGAATAAAAAGGTTTACAACAGGAGCCCCAACCATAAAACGCTTAAAAAATCATGATCCAGCATAAAACTTGAGGAACAGGAAATACTACAAGCTTTAAACTAGGAACACGTTTTGCAGACAAGTTGGTTTGATGCCACCAGGGAATGTGGCTTTTGGGGGCGATTTGATTTAGAATCATAGAATTGTAGAGCTGGAAGGGAACTCCAAGGGTCCTCTAGTCCAACCCCCTGCAATGCAGGAATCTCAGCTAAAGCACCCCTTGCATGTCCTTTTGCCTAAGCTAAGAGTTTGACATTCCTGAGGTTGGCGCCCGCCTTCTGCTTTTGGAAGAGCTGTTCAGAAGGAGATAGCGGACTCAACGGGTCTCCATCTCTTGTTTCAGGCTCAGGCCGCAGGGTCTCCTCCGACCTCCCCCGGCCACGGGACGGGGCGCTCCATGCCCATGCCAGTCCGGTCCACCTCCGCCGGCTCCACCCCAACTCACGTGCCCCAAGATTCCCTGGCGGGCGTCGGAGGAGACGTCCAGGAAGCGTTTGCACAAGGTGAGTGTTTTGAGAACCCCGCGGCACTTGATAGCTGTGTGGGTGCAATTTTGCGCCTTTGTATATAGTGCGCAGACAAATTCGTTTCATGGGTTTGGGCCCAGTTCGCCCATCAGTTAAGGTCTTCTTGAATCCCAGTTCTGCAGCGATAGCTACCCCTCCCATTTGTCCTCCGCAAATTTGGGTGTTGGGTGCTCGCCTGCCAAATGCACACGCAGAAAAATAGGACCTAAACAGCCACTTTGCAATCTCAAGCCCCACTAGAGAAGCCCCCTCAGTGCTAAGAGGAATTTTGGGTGAGTTGTCAGTTAACCTTACATATATGCCTACCTACGCATAACAGGGGGGAATGTGTTAAACACGTTACCTTCTGTTAGTAATTGCATGATGTAACTTCTTTCAATTTTTCCCATTTGTATTTTGGAAATCAAAAGTTTTAAAGAAACAACAACTTCCCGTGCCTTTCCTTCCTGGGAACCTAATGTATTTTTTAAAATAAATGTGTAAGATCTTGAGTCTGAGAAGCACTGCTGGTCCTTGCATCCTAAAGGGGCTTCTCCGATGCCTCCCCCTCAAACCCTCCCACCCCCTCATTGAGCATCACAAAGACAGCCAGTGTGGTGTCTGGTTAGAGCAGGGGTCAGCAAACATTTTCAGCAGGGGGCCGGTCCACTGTCCCTCAGACCGTGTGGGGGGCCAGAGTATATTTTGAAGGGGGGGGGGAATGAACGAATTCCTATGCCCCACAGATAACCCAGAGATGCATTTTAAATAAAAGGACACATTCTACTCATGTAAAAACACGCTGATTCCCAGACCATCCGCGGGCCTGATTTAGAAGGCGATTGGGCCGGATCTGGCCCCCGGGCCTTAGGTTGCCTACCCATGGGTTAGAATGCTGGGACTCCAGAACTGGGAGAGACCAGGGTTCGAATCCCCACTTGGCCACAAAGCTCACTGACGTGGCCTTGGGCTGGTCACTGCCTCTCAGCCTAAGCTGTTTTGTGGGGGTTCTATGAGGAAGAAGAGAACCACATCTACCACCTTGAGCTCTGTGGAGGAAAAGAGGGGATATAAATAAATCGAGAGCCTGAATAGCTACGGCTAGAGGTAGGATCCCCCTGGCACCGTGGGTGGACGCTTGCAGGGGAGCCTCACTTTGTGGGTGCAGACTGTTCCCCTCAAGGATTTATTGGGAAGCAGGCCATCACATTGAAAGGCCAACCGTCTCTCAGGGCAGGGGGCATTTCCAGTCCAGACTCTCAGACTCCACATCATGGGCAAGGCAGAGGGGCTCCTGTGCGGCTCCTCACATTCCTTACCGCCTCCGTTTCTTCCCCAGGGACCCGGCGAAACCTCCGTAACGATTTGCTGGTAGCAGCCGATTCAATCACGAACACAATGTCATCGTTGGTAAAGGAGCTTCATTCAGGTAAGTGGGAGAGTGAGGGGCAGGGGGCAGGAGCCAAGCCAGCGGGATGGGCCAGCGTCCTCTGGCCGAGGTGTCATCAGAGCAATCTGCCCCAAGGCTTTGTTGACCAGGACCACTTGGCGCAAGAAGCCCACCTTCCTCTATTCCTTCCATATTCCTCTATGCCACAGGAGCGGCAAGGATCCTAATTGCTAAAAACTGGAAAAAAAGAAATTGTGCCAACAAAAAAGAAATGGCAAGACAAACTGTTAGAGTATATTGAACTGGCTAGATTAACAGAGGCAATTAGAGTTCACACTAGACAAGAGTTTCAAAACGCATGGGGAAAATGCAGAGAATACTTCACAAAACAGTGCCCTAAAATACATACCTGGACTTGTTTTGATTAATGTCTGCAGGAGACTTTGTGGATATTTAAGTTATAATTAGAAAAATCTTAATAATCTTAATAATTATTCATAAAGGAAATAAGCTTATAAGAAGTAAATAAGGAGGCCAGGTACAGGATAAAGGAAGTCTTTTATTTGGTTGTTTGTATTGTTGTATGTTATGCTTATTGTATGTTATGTTCACGTTTAATGGGGGTGGATTTCTGTATTGGGGGTGGGGGGGTTATGTTATGTTGTAAATAAAATTTCCAATACAAAATTAAAAAATAAAGAAGCCCACCTGCGGAAGAGCTTCATCTTCCTCAAGAGCAAGGTTGCACAGTGACTGCAAGCAGATCCTTCCGGTTTGGAATGCCCTGTTGGGGAACTGGGGGTGGACTACGTGACCCCCTGGGGTCCCTCTTCAGTTCTCTAGTTTTGAGTTCCACTGAAACGAGCCCCGTATTCTCCAGCTGCCAAACAGCTAATAGCCAAGAATCACCTGTGACCCTCAGGCAGCCACTTTCTGCATTGCAACAGGTATATGGGAAGGGAGGCCTCTGGTCCATCTGCCTCCGTCCAGCTTTCCCTGCAGACTGACCGGCTGGTGGGTTTGGGGCCTGAGGGGTGGAGAACGTGATGCCTCTGCGCTGCTTGTGGGGAACAAAACCGGGGAGAGACAACTTACTTGCAATGGAGGCAGTTAACTAGTGCTACACCAAATTTTTGCAGGGGAAATTGCTGTTAAGTGGGGGGCAAAGATAGTTATGGAAAAGCCACTACTTTTTGCTCAATTTTCCATACCTGTTCACAGCCCTGATCCTCCCCAGCCAGCCGCTTCTTTGACCTACCTACCTTCCTTCCTTCCTTCCTTCCTTCCTGCCCCTCCAGTGAGTAATGCCATCCAGCTGAGGACTGTGGAGCTAAACTAATTAGTTTGGTGGCCAGTTGGGTGGTTCTGACTACCTGACAGTGTCCCTAAGGGCAGATGAAGCCTTTCCGTGGCCCTCACTAAAGATGAGGGAGGCGAGGGAAGAGGGAGCCCAGGTCAGGCTGAGCTGGAAGTTTCATTTGCCCACAAGGACTGGCAGGCAAAGGTCCATCCCAGACCAGCTCTTGATTGCGCGTGATTGTGCAGGCCTCATTGTGTGTGGCTGCCAAGACTTTCCTGGATTTAAGAGAAATCCTCTGCTGTCAGAATGGAGAAGCAAGTTGCGTGGATGTGCTGGGGAAACTCTTCTGAGCAGGTTGGAAGGGTGTTGGGCTAGATTAAGTTCAGGCGGGTTAAATCTCTTCTGGTCAGGGGGGGCCACTAGGGGGCGCATTGGAAGATGGCCGACAGTACCATCTCTCCGACCCACACGGGGTAATTAAGAGGCTGTTATGGGAGTAGGCAGCCTCCCTTGTTGCCCCAAGGAAATGGGGAACACTGCCCTTGCCTGCTGTGCCCATAAATCACCCCCTAATTCGAAAGAAGGGGGTGAGGGCCCTAGGCAGAATGCCCCCGTGTGGACCTCTGCTCTCCTGGACGCTGTCTCTGATCGCGCACTAGTTGCAGCAATTTGGAATAATTAATTACAAAAGAAGCAAATGCACATATTTCAAGTGAAGAAGGAGAGTGAAGTCTGCTAATTTAAGTGACCTCTGCGAAAGAAGACGACGGGCTGGAGAAACAGGAATATTTTACGATGAAGATACACCAAAGGCGGGGTATGTTGACAACGGGGCTGAATGGGGGGGAAAACCTTTTTTACTTTCCTTCTATGTGATTTACAAGAACCCCTCCTCATTAGAACCGTCGGTTGAACTGACCCAAGCAGGATGATTAAGGTCTGTGTGGAGATAAACTTTAACCAAAAGTATGCTTTATGGAGACCGAGAAGCAATAAGAGCTTTTGGGAATGGCGCAGCAATTAATTCGGAGTCGCCATCTTGCCAAAGGATTTACAACCAGGAGGAAGAACGGATTTGTTTTCAGACTGAATTCCTAGTGAATCTCCTCAGAGGTTTTGAGAAAGGAGGCAGATTGGTGAAGATTAATGACACTAAGACTGTTTTGATGTATGGAAGTGATGTTATATGGAAAACGTCTGGATATGGCTACTGGATAAAAAAATAAAATCCACGCAGGATTACAAACTGTTCTAACCAGCTTGCGGAGACTATCAGAGGTCACAAAGAGAAAGGAAAATAAATGAAAATAACAACAAGAGATGTGGAAAAATAATAAGAAAGGACTGGATAGTACTGTGAACATCATAAGGTTAGATTTGTGGACATTAAAACAGCAGTAAGAAGCAAGAAGTTGATTGGATCCCTTCGGAACTTGAAATATGGGTACCCCCAACAAAAATTTAAAATTCGGCTGTGTAATTTGGAATTTATGTAATTTGGTTTGATTTGATGTGATTGGTCGGTTAATAAAAAATTATTCTTATAAAAAAAAAATCTCTTTTGGTCATACATCCAAGAGTATCTTATCTACCTGATGAGCTTTAGGGGGGAGGTTGGATGTCTGTGGAGCCCCTCCCAGTTCTGATTCATAGACGCACAGAGCTGTGGAGTTGGAAGGGACCCTGAGGGTCATCTAGTCCAACCCCCTACAGTGCTAGAATCTCAGCGAAAGAATCACCCAACCTCTGCTTAGAAACCTCCAAGGAAGGAGAGTCCACCACCTTCTGAAGTTCTCTTCCATTCCTTGCATTCCCAGAGAGCAGCTTGAGGCCTCCTGGTCCTTCTGGAGCGCAGCTTAACAGGGGGAAGGGCTGCAAGCCCACCCCCTGCCTTCCCTGTGGCCTCTCTGGGCCTGGAAGGAGGCCTTCCTACGTGAGGAAAATGCCCAGGCCTGTGGCAAAGGTGGCCTCTGGGCCAGTGATGAGTGCTCTGCTCCCGAGTCGTTTGCTGGAGCAGTCTTCTCTGGGGCGCTTGGTGCCTTTGGGCTGAACCAGAGGCTGCCGGCGTCGGCTCTGGCAAGATGGAGCCCTGTGTCTTCCGTCAGGGTGGGGGCTTAGCAAAGCTGCCTCCTTCCTTCCCTCCCTTCCTCGCTCTGGGAAAAGGCAGCCTCTTGGGCAATAACATTCGGCAACAAAGCAGGGCTTGTTCTGCCGGCGGCTGTTGCGCTGAGCTCTTGGGCTGTGCAGGGAGATGACAGATGAAACAGACTGCAGGCTCCCACTTTGATAAGATGCAGGCCAGGGGACCCTGGAAGGAGCTCATTTGCGTAAATCCATGGAAACAGCTGGAGTTGGGAGCCCGTCCGCAGCAACCTCTGCCAGAAGGAGTCTGGTTGGAGCCTGGCTTCCATGCCCAGGCAGGCAGGGCCTTGGGCTGCAGCTTCCTGCCCCCTGGGAAGAGGCGTGGTGCCCTGGTGGGAATCAGCGCGGGGTGGGCCAGGGCACCTTGATTCCAACAAGGAAGCAGGTGGGGGCCCCGGCTGCGTCCTCTGGACCCCCCCCCCGGAGCGAGGCTGCCTGCCATCTTGCCTCTGGGGTGCTGGAAGCAGATCCCCAAAGGAAGGCCTGTTGGTGGGCCAGCTTCTGGGCTGCCAAGCACAGCTGGAGGGTACAGGGGAAAGTAGATCTTCCCCAGCGCTTCCCCCCAGCCCCGTCCTCCTTGGGGGTCCAGGCATGCAGATTCCACTCCCCCCACCCTGGTCCCAGACTTGTTGCTCCTTTTCACCTTGTTATGTACTGAGTTGAATAGGATCCAAACTGCAGCAGTCTGATTGGTCCTAGAACAATAGGATTCAGAATGCAGCAGTCTGATTGGTCCTAGAACAATGCAGCAGTATGATTGGTTGGCAGGAACCACCCAATCCTGCTCCAGATAGAAGTGAATCCACAACCTGATTGGCTTACAGTAGAATTCCGGAATTAGCCAATCATGGGCAGCCCATTGTGTAAATAATGTATATAAAGCAGATACTGTGAGGGAACATCCATTCAGTCCTCCTCACCACTATGAGCTGAATAAAGAGCCTGAAATCACTTTGCGACTCTGAGTATATTTCAACCTACTGGGACAGTTTCGTCTTTTGCCTTCCTGTCTTTTTCTGCTCATGCCCCTCACCACCCTACCCCCCCCCCCAGTCTGCTTCCTGGGTGCCTGAGGGAACACACACAGCAACACACTCATAGAATCATAGAATCATAGAGTTGGAAGAGACCCCAAGGGCCATCGAGTCCAACCCCCTGCCAAGCAGGAAACACCATCAGAGCACTCCTGACATATGGTTGTCAAGCCTCTGCTTAAAGACCTCCAAAGAAGGAGACTCCACCACACTCCTTGGCAGCAAATTCCACTGTCGAACAGCTCTTACTGTCAGGAAGTTCTTCCTAATGTTGAGGTGGAATCTTCTTTCTTGTAGTTTGGATCCATTGCTCCGTGTCCGCTTCTCTGGAGCAGCAGAAAACAACCTTTCTCCCTCCTCTATGTGACATCCTTTTATATATTGGAACATGGCTATCATATCACCCCTTAACCTCCTCTTCTCCAGGCTAAACATGCCCAGCTCCCTTAGCCGTTCCTCATAAGGCATCGTTTCCAGGCCTTTGACCATTTTGGTTGCCCTCCTCTGGACACGTTCCAGTTTGTCAGTGTCCTTCTTGAACTGTGGTGCCCAGAACTGGACACAGTACTCCAGGTGAGGTCTGACCAGAGCAGAATACAGTGGCACTATTACTTCCCTTGATCTAGATGCTATACTCCTATTGATGCAGCCCAGAATTGCATTGGCTTTTTTAGCTGCCGCGTCACACTGTTGGCTCATGTCAAGTTTGTGGTCAACCAAGACTCCTAGATCCTTTTCACATGTACTGCTCTCAAGCCAGGTGTCACCCATCTTGTATTTGTGCCTCTCATTTTTTTGCCCAAGTGCAATACTTTACATTTCTCCCTGTTAAAATTCATCTTGTTTGTTTTTGCCCAGTTCTCTAATCTGTCAAGGTCGTTTTGAAGTGTGATCCTGTCCTCTGGGGTGTTAGCCACCCCTCCCAGTTTGGTGTCATCTGCACATTTGATCAGGATGCTCTTGACTCCCTCGCTGGTCCTTTAGGAAACGGACTGAGACACTGCATGCCTTTTATAGGGGGGACTTGGCCTATTTAATGTGGACATTTCCTCTTTTGCAATCGTGCTTCCTTGATGCTGACCACCCTGAGCAGCCCTGGGGAGGGCTGTGGGTGCTTGGATCTCCTGCCAGAGTAGCCCCCCCCCATCCTCTCTCACCTTTCCTCCTGGGAGAATGTTTTGATGTCCTTGCTTGACGTCTGAGCTCCAGTTCTTATCATCTTGGGCCCCACACCCGTGACCCAACGACTTGGGAGCAAGGAGTCCGCCCCATAAGAAGGACTCCCCCTCCTCCGGTCCCCTGGAAGGGGCAGCAGACTCACTCTTGCCCACGGCCCTGGCAGCCTGGCCTGTGGACCCCTCCCTGGAGACTCTCCCTTTGGCCCAAACCCTCACTGCTGGTTCTTTGTTTTGTTTTCAAAGGTGAGGAAGGAGGTGAGGAGGAGGAGGAAGACAAGATCCAGAACGGGAAGGACCGAGGTAAGATCAGGGGAGGAGGGAAATCCCCTGGCCTGTTGGTGGGGCAGGCTGAGGCGGTTGGGTAATGCCACCTTTGCACGACGGGTGCAGCAGGAAAAAGTCTCCATTGGTGCAGAACGCCCAAGCGCAGCTCTTCACAAGCCACGGGGCAGGATGACGGGCCTTCTTATGTTTCCAATGGGTGGCAGCTGCAACAAGCTCCCTGTGCCCTCTGAGCACCCACCCCACCTCACCCCGTTAGATGGTGGGGCAGAGCAAGGTTTGTGTTAGCGCCCCCCAGGGGTGGGATGCAGAAGCAGAAGCTTCACGGCACCATCTCCTGCCCCCTGGTCTCTTTCTTCCTCCAGGTCTTTGCGGAGGGAGGGGGCTGCCCAGTTCTTCCCAACTGCAGTACGGTCACATTCGACAGCAGGGAGGGGTTGATTCCAAGGGTTCCCCACGTACACAAAAGCATGTGCCCTCTGCTCCCGGTTAAAGTCTCTTTTTGTGCCCCAAGCAGCCCCAGCACAAACAGAGCGTTGAAGTTCCCTGCCTTGCTTGTGGAATTCCAACCAGCCTGCCTCCAGCCGCCTATGGCTGAAATTAAATGGGCGTAAGAGTTAAGTGGGCGTAAGAGTTAAGTGCAATCGTATTGTCCTTAGTTTGCCTATCTGGTTGATTTTGGAGGTCCGCGTTGTCTTCCCATCAGATGTGAAGGAGATAAATTAACTAGACAACTTTTAAAAGACACCTGAAGACAGCCCCGTACCGGGGAGTTTTTAATGTGTGATGTTTTATTATGTTTTCCTATGTGTTGGAAGCCTCCCAGAGTGGCTGGGGAAACCCAGATGGCCAGGGTATAAATAAATAAAATGACTTTTGTTGTTATTATTATTCATAATTCTTTAAAAATGCTTTTGGACATAAACCACAGCAGGTGCTTTCTTCAAAGGCATGGTATAGACCTTTCAAGATAAATACATAAAACCTTGCCTGGGTGGGGTTTTGCGGCTGCTGCCACCATTGCAGTTTGTTCCTGGCTTTCTCAGCCGGCCCTTTGTCTTGTCCCGCAGGTTAAGCGGAAGACTCCGCCCTGGCCAGCCATTCAGGTGAGCAGACGCCCTTTGCTTTTCCAGGTAAGGTGTAGGCACAGTTGTGTTTACAGAGGGATGAAAGGCAGATTGCAGGACTGCCTGCCTGCCAGCCACACTGGCCCCCCAGTAGGCAGGGTCCCAGACAGGACAGGCAGGCAGACCCCGCTTTCGGGTCTCAGAGACTTTCGAACATCCCCCTCAGCACAACCATGGCGCTCTGAGCCTGACAGCTGTAGCCAAGGGGCTTCCTCCAGTGCTGCGTTTTTTACCCTGTGGGGCCAAGCAGAGACCCTTTGTGGCTGCCCAGTGCACAGGGGCATAGCTTCCCCCAACTGAGTGCAGGTGGTGTCCAAGCCATTGGTGATGAATTTGTCGTTTGATGTGGGGGACCCCTCAGTATTGGGGGTCCCGCCCTCCCTGTTCCTGGCGCTTAGCAGAAGGAGAGGCTCCCAGCTTCAGATCTTGGAAGCATAGATTTGGAAGGGATCCCAAGAGCCATCTTTGCTCTTAACTCCTGCGACCACCTAATCAATTCCAGCAGAGCTCCCTCCCGTCCAAAAGGGCTTCCCAGACCTTTCCTTCTCCACCTGGAGCTGAAGGGGCCCCCGACTGTGGCTCTGCTCTGGAAGGGATCTCAGTTGCGCGTAGGTTTCGAAGGACACGAACATGCCCTCCCCACAGTGCAAATGTCCCCTGGTTTGAAACCATCTTTGACGGCTCTTGGGTCTCCGCCAAGGAACCTCAGGGACTGTTGGAAGCGACATGAACAGGCAAGCCTGAGAAAATCCTCTGTGCTCTCAAACCAACCACAAGCCCCTCCAACTCCCAGGGCTCGTTGCGGGGAGGGGGCTTTGGAGGGGCACTGGGTGGTCTCCCGCTCTGCCTCACTGGCTGCTCTGTGTCTTTGGCGCAGGTAAAGAGGCGCCAGCTCCTCTTCTCAAGACGTTTCCACATCCTTCCGACGAGGCATGCGCCAGCCGACACATCTGCCATTGTCAAGTCGCGAGGACTCGCAGGGAAGCCGCCTCTTTCCAACGGACCGCGTGGCAGCCTTCCTGGGGGGTGGGGAGGGCGGGGGCATCTCCTTTGGTTTGCATGTCCTGTTTCCATCCGTCTCCCCCCCGTGCTTAATTGGGCAGCACCTCATCTCAAGTTTGGACCAGAAGACGTTGTCGAGAGCCGCTTCCAGGCAGAGACCGGCCGTGTCTCCCGCGAAGCATCCTCTTCCCTCCCCGGCAGAGCGGTCGCCTCACCACCCACGGGCCACCCCCTGCGTGGTCTCCAGAAAAAGCAGACTTCTTATTCCATGTGGCCGAGTTTCCTTGTGCAAAGTGTGGGCGGAATGCTCTGTTGCGGAAAGCAGAAGCCCCTCTGGCCTTCCCCACATGCCATGGATTTCGGGTTCCCTGGGCCCTTGGCGGGTGCAGCTCACACAGGACAGGCTGGGAGGCAAGTGAGATGGGTGGCTCCCTGGGAGGTGCCCCGCAGGGCACAGCCCACACAAAGCCCACTGGGAAGAATGTGCCAGCATGCCCCCCCCTTATTTCAACAGTGGTTGCGCAGGGAGCATCCTAGAGAATTGTGCCCCATGTTTGAGGGACAGGATGGGCTCCCCCCGGAGTCCCCGAAGGTCTTGTGCCGGCTCCAGTGCCAAGAGGAGAGGAGTGGGGCGGAGGGAGACCCAGCCTCTGGAGGCGCCCTGTGGGGAAGCTTCAGGTGGTGGGGCAGCAGCAGCAGCAGCAGCTCGCTCAGTTGAAGGGACCCACAAGGGGCATCTAGTCCACCCCCTGAATTGCAGGACTCATAAAAAGCAGCTGGTCTTTGAACAAAGAAGACCCACTTGGGTACTTGGCACCAGAAGCCAATCTCTCTACTGCTGGCTTTGTTTGGGGTTTGGAAAGTGGCTCTTGGTGGATGGGACAAAGGCGTAGACGGACAGGGGAGGGCAGCGAGGGAAGGCAGAGCAATAATCCAGTTGGCACAGAGTGAGCTGCCCGGTTGCCCTGGCTCTCTGGGGGTGAGGAGGGAAGGGGGTCCCTGCATATCTCTCCATGTTCCAGAGGGGGGGCGGACAGCCATGTTTGCTGGCTATATAGTCCAACCAAAATATTGTGAATGGGCTGTCAAGCAAGGAAAGGAGTGATGATAACCTGCTGGGTTCTTTGCTCAAAGCAAAGAATGTCGAGTTGGGAGGGCCCTCCAAAGGGCATCTAGTGTAACCCCCTGCAGTGCAGCAAATGCAGCTAAAGCATCCCTGACCTAAAGGGTTCATGGCCATCCTTTGGTTTGGTGACGAGCCACGTGTTGGTGACTCCGGCCGGTGAGGTGTCTGGGGAAGGAAGAGCTGCGAGGGAAACTTCTGGGCAAAGCACAAAGCCCAGTTGGTGGTGCTGAAAGGTTCAGGCCTCAGCGTTTGAAGGAGGGGGGCTGGGCTCAATCCGCCCCTTTGGGCTGGTTTGGGGGGGCAGTTCTGCTTCTCTCCTCCCTGGGCATTGGAGGTGGTCTCTCTGATTGCAGAGAACTGTCTAGGGCGGCATTTCTTTGGTTTTCGTGAATGCAGCAGAAAGGAGGGGATTCGGAGCAGGGGGTTTTCCCGGGGCATTCTGACATGTTGCCAATCACAGGAGATGCCTTGCTTGGCTCAGACCAGACACCCTCCACCTCGCTCAGCAGCCACCCAGAGGCAAAAGACAGCAAAGGAAATCCACCAGCCCCATCCCTTGGCCTGCCACCTCCCCTCATTTCAGCCCGATTGTGTCCCTGCAATAGCCTTCCACGGCAGCAGCTCAGAGGATTGTCACCAAAGCTCAATCCTCCCCCAGGTGAGGACCCCTCCTGTCGCTCTGGGCCCACCTTTGGACTGGCCCCAGGAGGAGCCCCCTCCTCTGCCCCCCATTACCCACTCCACGACACCGGTCGGTGATGTCCGAAGTGGCGACCAAGGCCCTGTCCCTCAAGTCTCCTGGGACTTCTTCTTGCTGCCAGCCTATGTGGAAGTGGCCTTCTATGCCCTGCTCCTTGGTCCCTCCCCCCCCCCCCGATTCCTTGAAAACTCTGCGCATGTTCAGCCTACTTCAGCCTACCAGAGCCTGCTCTTAGTCTTCCTGAGAGTGGCAGGAGATGGAGAGTCAGTTGGTGGCCATGGGGCTGCAGACCCTCCCCAGCAGCCGCGGGCAAGGGGGTTGTTGGCCAGCCCCATGGCCGCCTGCCATTTTGAACCCTCCGAGGCCTCAGCCTGGCGGAAGCTCTGCGTGGGGCTGAGCCAGGGTTTTCCAGGGCCGCCTGCACAGCCTCTGCATCTCTCGCTTCCCCTGTGACAGCCGGGGCTGCTTCCGGTTGTGGAAATCCCCCTGGCCGTGAGAAAAGGGGGCTGGGGAGGCGAGTGGGAGAAGGGGGCCGAGCCCTTCTCCCTGCAGGGGCTGTTGGGGAGAGGCCAGGAAGCTCCTGCAACCATCTTCTGCCCGTCACAGGAGCTGGAGCTCTGCCAGAGCTCCCTTGTCAGGCCTGCTGGGGGACCCAGCACCGCCCCCCGCTCTGCCTGGACCTCGGAGGCTCCCCTGGTTTCTGCCTCTTCTCCAGGTGCAAAGCTTCTGCTCTTGCAGTTCAGGCAAAACAGCCTCCGGCTGCCGGGGTTCCAGCTTGGCTAAAAGAGAGGGATTTGTCCCAGCCTGCCGGACGTCCCCACACCCGCCTTGGGACACCATCCGAAGATTGTTATTAATAATAACAAAGAGTCACAGGCCAGTGTACAATATAAAAACTCAAAAATATGTGCCATAATAGCAAGCAAAAGCAATGCGCGCGCACACACACACGCACACACCCATTGATTGCTCCCTGTGACCAATAAATAATCCTTCCAATTACCAGTTCCTGGATCCCACAGCAGGGGAGAGGGTTCTCCTGCTTGCGAGTTTGTGGGTATCTGGTTGGCCACTGTGAGCAAGATGCTGGCCGGATCCCTTTGGTCCCGCAGGCTCTCCTTGTGGTCTGAAAGTGGGGCTTGGACGTGAACCCTCTTTCCAGGGCACACTTGACTTGCTGCCGTCCTGACGGTCGGGGCCTCCTTTGCAGGGGCTCCCCAAGGGCTCCCGCTGTCCCTGTGAGGTGGCTGCCTTCACCATCCAGACTGCAGGCCTCACCGCTGCATTGCCAAGGCCTCCATGCCTTACTGTGGCTCAGAGTGGGGATCCCAGAAGGCTCTCTGTGGCTGGTGGGCTCCAGCTGGGGGGGGGGGGGATTGGTTTACGGTGTTGGCGGCCAGGCAGGCTGGCCATTATGACCCCCGTCCTCCTGCTCCTTGCTTTTCATTCCTCGCACCAACAGTGACTAGTTTTTCCTTAAGCTCTGCAGGGGCACCTCTGGGCTCCTGGAAGCAACAGGGAAACCCTGGATCATAGAATTGCAGAGTCGGGTCATCTAGCCCAACCCCCATTGTGAGGCTCGAACCCACAACCGTGAGATTCAGAGTCTCAGGCTCTACAGACTGAGCTGTCCCAGGGAAGGTGCCACATGGGTGAAGGGAAGGAGGGGCTGCTTGTGTTTTCTTTCCCGGTGGGTCAGTGGCTCCCCCAATTCTCTTGCTTCTGGGGATCAGCAACAGAGCTGCTGTTTTTTTTGGGGGGGTCAGCTGCCTGTTCATATCTTCCCACATCACATCCCCCCAAAACTGCAATTGGACTCTGTTGCCCCTGAATCTGACCTTCCCTCAGAACAAGCATCCATGTTCAAAGTTACGTCCTGGATATTTTTGTGAAGCAGGGGTGGCAACTGTGCCAGACCCCCCCAAGCCCCTGGAGACTGGGGATGGTGGGCTTTCGGTGGGCTCCTGGGGGAGAAAGCAAAGCGTCTGAGCAGGCACCGCCTTGCAGATGCCTCCTGCGTTTTCAGAGTCACCCAGCAGCCAGGTGGAGAAGGCCTTGGAAGGCAGACTTGGCACCTGTGCCAGCCCAGGGCCCCTGGTGGCAGCCTGCCCTTCACCCGGGGGCTTTCATCACAGTGACTTGAGGCCTGGGGAGCTTTGCCAAGTGCAAACAGGTGTGGGAAGGTGACCGGAAAGGAAGTCGAGGCAGCGGGAGCTTAGAGGGCAGCAACTGTGCTAGGGCTCTGGGGCTGGGGTGGCCGAGAGGAGCTTCTGCTGCTGCTGCTGTCAGTTGTGCATGGACCCAGTTCCACCAGTCCAAGGTTGCCAGCTAGCCAACCCCTCAGGCCTGTGCTCTGCAGATACCTGCCTAGTGAAAAGGAACAGTCTCATTTTGCAAAGTTGCTGGAAATTGCAGGTGGGGAGAGGACAGGGTCCTGCTTGTGGGCATCAGGTTGGCCACCGCGAGGGCCTGGGACGTGGCGACGATGTTGGAGGGGAGAATGTGGCCGGGTGTTTCTGTGGAGCTGCAGGAGAGGCAGCGGGAGGGAGACCAGAGGAAAGTGAGTTTCCTCTCAGGTGGGAAGCAGAGGCGAATCAGCCGGATGCCACGTGGGGGCCATGATAAGCAGAAAGTGATCAAGGGGGTCCAGGCCACGGGCGCTCATGGCGGGCATGTGCCTGATCTCAGGTGCTGCTTGCCACACTGGGTAGCCAGGGCTCCTGCCATGCCACTGGGGCTCCCCTGAGTTAGCCAGGCTGTGAGGGAGGCCTGGGCTGTGCAGGGCATTGGGGATCTGTGCCCTTCCAGAGCCCTGTGTCCTGGCACCTGTTTCCTGCCAGGAGCTCAATTGTGACCACATTGGAGAGGCCACATGGGGCCTGTGTTTTCCAGCCCAGGCTAGATCTCAGGCGAACGCTAGGACTGCAACAGACGGCAGACGCTTCCTTGTCCGCACACCCAAATCTGTCTGGGTGTTAGTTGAAGGCCAGTGTGAGGACCCTTGTAAGAATTCCAGTTTACAACCACTTCCCTGCTTCTCATGTCTGTGTGTCTGCCTGTCTGTATGTGCGTGGGAGCACACACTTGAATGTACGAATGTGAATTCTGGGCATGAGTGTTTTCATTTTACAAAAGAAAAGGTTGAAATACCTGGGAGATTCTGTACATGTTGGGAACACGTCTAACTGCAAGCTGTAAACTGGAAGCCACGTTCTCTCATCTGCCAAATATTTAATAAAACGAGTCCCGTCCATCTCACTTGGTGTGTGCCCTGAATTTCCGGTGGGACCAGGCGGGTGATCTGAGCAAAACCCCAGGGGCACAAAGCCCCCTTTGCCTGCCCCTTCTTTGGCTGCTTCTGCTTGGGAAGAGGCCTCCGCAGGTGGGCAGGCACTGGCTTCCTGGTGCACCTTGCGCTGCCTGCGCTCCCTCCTTGCCTCTCCTGCTCTCCTCCTCCTCCTCCTCTTCCCCTTTCTGGCTCCAGGCGCATCCTCTCCAGACCCCCGAAAAAGCCAAGGCCCAGAGCCCTGTTTGTCCTGGCCGGATAATGAGGGGACGCCACAAAGGTCCCCCGCGGTGTCATTGAGCCTGTGTGTGTCGGCACCTAATGAGGCTGGCGGCCGACTCGGAGGGTCAAGGGAGGCCTGGGCTCCTCCTGGGGCGCTGGGGTCAGCGGGGAGCAGGGAAGGTGAAGGGGTCAGGCTACCTCTGGAGATGGACAAATGGGGGTGGGGGTATTAATTCTAGAGCCCCGTCTGGGCCGGGAGGAGGACAAAGGAGGAGAGGGGGCTGGCCTGCCCTTCCTGCCGCTGGTTGCCTTCCAGTCCTGGTGCGTCTGGGGCAAGGCGGGGAGAATGTAGGGACCTCTCCCCCCATGAGAGTAATTTTATAGGCATGTACTTTATACCCGGGGACGCGGGTGGCGCTGTGGGTTAAACCACAGAGCCTAGGACTTGCCGATCAGAAGGTCGGCTGTTCGAATCCCCGCGACGGGCTGAGCTCCCATCGTTCAGTCCCTGCTCCTGCCAACCTAGCAGTTCGAAAGCACATCAAAGTGCAAGTAGATAAACAGGTACTGCTCCGGCGGAAAGGTAAACGGTGTTTCCGTGCGCTGCTCTGGTTTGCCAGAAGCGGCTTAGTCATGCTGGCCACATGACCTGGAAGCTGTCTGCAGACAAACACTGGCTCCCTCGGCCACTAAAATGAGAGGAGCGCGCAACCCCAGAGTCGTCCACGACTGGACCTAATGGTCAGGGGTCCCTTTACCTTTTTTTTACTTCATACCCAGTCAGACCAGTATAGCTCAGTATTGTCTACACTCTCCAGGAGTTGGGTCCCTCCCAGCCTGACCCAGAGGGCTGAACCCAGGACATTCTGCTTCAAGGTGGGTCCTTTGCTGCTGAGCTACAGCCCTTCCCGGCCAAGGCCTTGCACGCCCAAATGCTTATCTCGGGACTCGCAAGGACGCTCAGGTGTTTGCCATGGGGGGCTCTGGGGGCCTGTGGTGTAGTGGCAAATCCTGACAGTGCTGGCACTCTTCACGCTGAGACCCATGCCCAGGCAGTGGCTGCAACAGCGAGGGCTGGACCAATGCAGACATTATGGCCAGTTCCCCGCACCCTTCAACTCTACACCCCACACCTGATGAAGAGCTCTGGTGGACTCAGAAGCTTGCTCACTACTTGCTCGCTATTGTTGTTGTTGCCCACCATCCCAATCTCTGAGCAATGCAGGATTCCAGAATTCCAGGGACTTGCCCAGGATTAATGTTTCCTTATGGTACTGGAGGAGACTCTTGAGAGTCCCATGGACTGCAAGAAGATCAAACCCATCCATTCTGAAGGAAATCAGCCCTGATTGCTCACTGGAAGGACAGATCCTGACGCTGAGGCTCCAAGACTTTGGCCACCTCATGAGAAGAGAAGACTCGCTGGAAAAGACCCTGATGTTGGGAAAGATGGAGGGCACAAGGAGAAGGGGACGACAGAGGACAAGATGGTGGGACAGTGTTCTCGAAGCCACCAGCATGAGTTTGACGAAACTGTGGGAGGCAGTGGAAGACAGGAGGGCCTGGCATGCTCTGGTCCAGGGGGTCACAAAGAGGCAGACACGACTAAACGTTTCCTTTAGAAATGAGGCACAGTGGAGACTTCAGAGTCTTTATAATATATGGCTTATTTACATATATACAACCTGAGTCTATGATGGAGGGCTTCACAGCATCAACACCCCCAAAAGGGTCTTCTTTCTCCCATAACCACAGCCTTGGTTTCCAACAGAAATTAAATGTTGCTCTCTCTCTCTCTTCAGCTTGCTGCTTTTCCTCTAGCTCACCTCACTGCTACTCTCTGCTCTCAACTCTCGTTTCTCTGTCGTTTCTCCCCACCCATTTGGCATCTCACACCCAGACCCTTAATCCCAATCACTTTACCAGGAGGCCAGCTTGGGTATTCCAGGAATTAGAAGGCTTGATTAGCTTTTAATCAAAGGATTAGAAGGGGCTGGCATACACAGAGCCAAACTCATAACACTATTATTATTATTATTATTATTATCATCATCAACAACAACAACAACAACATCAATTTATATACCGCTTTCAGGGCAGTTTGCAACATAAAAACACAAAATGCATAACATAATAAAAAATACACATATTTTAAATGCCAAGTGTTTGACAGCCAAAGGCCTGGTAGAAGAGGAATGCTTTTGTCTGGTGCCTAAAGGTGTATAATGAAGGTACCAACCGAGACTCCCTGGGGAGAGCATTCCACAGACGGAGCCACTGCAGAAAAGGCCCCGTTCTCGTCTTGCCACCCTCCGGACCTCTCGAGGAAGAGGCACACGAAGGAGGGTCTCGGAGGATGATTGCAGAGTCTGGGATGGTTCATATGGAGAGAGGCGGTCCTTGAGGTTTTGTGGTCCAGTGCAGCCAGTCCAGGATCAGTATAATATTCTCAAACCGTCTTGCCCTGGTGAGCAAAATGACGCTTTGTGACATTTGGGTTGGACTCTGGGATTTTTCAAAATCGAAGTGGCACCTCAACCTTTGGCAGGTGGGGGGGGGTCTCCAGGGTTTGGCCACTTCTGTGGCTTCTCTGATGTCCACATGTAGCATCCACTTCACCACCCAACAGGCAGAGGGGACCAGGGGTCTGGCCCTGGTGAAGACGGGCGATGAGATGCCAGGGGGAGCCCACCAACCTGTGGCCCATCTCCCCTGCCCCACCTCTCCCACTACTGCCCACTCCAGCCTTCCTCAGCGTGGCTCCGTTTGGGACTCCAGCCTCAATCAGCCAGATGGGTTTGGGAAGGCAGGTTGGGACTTTGCCTGGCAGCCACTGGCAAAGATTGAGAGTTTTTTAAGCAGGAAATGCTCTTGCTGGGCTTTGAAGCTGTTGAATGCCAGTGGTAGGAAACCACATGAATTTGTCTCATCCTCTTTCCAAGCCATTCCTGCCTCCTCCAGCAGTGAGTTCCACAGTTTAACTATGCACTTAATAAAGAAGGACTTCCAAAGGCAACGGGAAGCTGTGTGAGGGGGTCCACAGGCTGTTATGATCTGGCAGGGCCCTGCCGTTGGGCCACGGGACATGCCTGCTGCCTCTGAAAGGATGATGCCGCCAAGAGCCAGGTTGGGTCAGCAAGTGGAGGCTGTTGATCCCAGCCATGTCTGAAGCAGCCATCCCTGGTGGACCCCTTTTGGGAGAGGAGCCCCCCTGCTTGGGCTGGTGGTCCTGTTGTTTACAAATGCCCAAGAAGAGCTGCTTTGAGGCTTCCTCTGTCCCGGATGCTTTAGTTGGGATTCCTGCATTGCAGGGGGTTGGACTAGATGACCGCTGGGGTCCCTTCCAGCTCTATCCTGCCCAGCTTTCGCCTTTTGGAGATGGCTGTAACTGCAGCCACAGGGAGCCCAAGGGCTTCGTGCTGCAGGCCCAGGTGGCTATTTGAGTAGAATGCTGCCGGCGGAGTCCAGCACAGTGGAACTATTAGCTGTCATTAGCAGCCCCGGGAAGCAGGCAACGGCCTGGCGGTCCCCCTGGCCTGTTGGGGCCAGGAACAGCAGGCCAGCAAATGGGGAGGTCAAAGGGCAACCTGCCGCTAATCTGAGCGGATTTGGCGGCGGCGGCTCCCGGGTCAAAGGTCAGAGAGGGCAGCTCCGCGTGGTGCCAGCTCCGCCTGGGCTGGGGCATGAGGGGCTTTGCCCCACGACTGAGCCAGGATGCCCATGGATTTGCCGTTCCAAATTCGGCTCTGCAGTCCCCCTTCCTGGCACTTTGCGTCTGCTGGCGACTGATGCCCTGGGCGTCTCAGCACAGGCGGATCGTGCAGAAGCGGACAGCTCCCATTAGTTAGTTGGCTTAAAGGTGTGTTTGTTTATGATGTTGCTTTCCCTGCCTTTCTCCCATTGTACGTTTCCGAGCACAATTCAAAGTCTTGGTGCTGACCTTGAAACCCTAAACGGCCTCGGTCCAGTAGACCTGAAGGAGCGTCTCCACCCCCATCGTTCTGCCTGGACACTGAGGTCCAGCTCCGAGGGCCTTCTGGCAGTTCCCTCCCTGCGAGAAGTGAAGCTACAGGGAACCAGGCAGAGGGCCTTCTTGGTGGTGGCGCCCGCCCTGTGGAACGCCCTCCCATCAAGGAATGTCAAGGAAATAAACAACTATCTGACTTTTAGGAGACATCTGAAGGCAGCCCTGTTTAGGATAGCTTTTGATGTTTTGTTGTGTTTTTAATATTATGTTGGGAGCCGCCCAGATGGGCGGGGCATAAATTATTATTATTATTATTATTAAGAACTGTGGAGTTGAAAGGCACCCCAAGGGTCATCTAGCCAAGCCCCCCTGCAGTGCAGGAATTGCAATTTTTTTAAAAAAAATATTAAGTACAAATTAGAAAACATACATATTTACAACAAAAGAAAATACAAAGGAAAAAGAAAATACATATAACCAAGGGAAAAAATTAGAGAATACTTTGCCTCTTTTCAAATTTACAGTTGTTTATACCTCTCTAAAATGCTATTCACAATAAAGGAGTGAAATGAAAGATAAGATATCAGAAAATGAAAAAAAGAACAAAGAAAAAATAAAGAAGTAAAAGAAAAGGATCATAGGTGAAAATTTTTAAAAGTAGATAAGCATTCACTATACATAACCATTTCCCATCTATATTTGTATTCAATTGTATAATTTCATCTTGTCGTTTTTTAAAAGACTTCCACCGTTTACCTCACGCGTTTTTAATAATCCGTTCGTCAGATCCTCTGTTCTTCATATTTTCCCTTTGGATTTCCTTAATGTCTCACTTTGTATTTTTTATATTATGCACAAGATTATTCTAAACACAACCAGATTTTTATAGTCAAGCCCTGGTTTTGTAAATAATCATTTAAGAACTCCCATTGCTTCATAACCATGGTTTTGGATTTTCTCCTTATTATATCCGTCAGTTTTGCTAGTTCCAGGTACTCGCAAAGTTTCCCCAACCAGGAATTGCAATTAAATAATCCCTGGCAGGAGGAGCTCAAGGCGGCAGCAGATGCTGTGTGAGGGGAAACAGAGGCAGCAACTGCCTTCCACCGTCTCTTGCACCTGAGCCGCCTTCCCCTGCCTGGATCCCTCCAGGTGCGCAGAATAAGAACAAGGGCATAGGTGAGAATTAGGAACCTGCCTTCTCCTGAGTCAGGTCCATCTTGCTGAGTTTGGCTGGCAGAATGGCTCTTTGGGGTTCCAGGCAGGAGTCTCTCCCAGTCCTACCTGCAGAGGCCAACAGGATTTGAACCTAGGACCCTCTGCAGGCCAGGCAGATGCTCTTCCAGTGAGCTACAGCCTTTCCCCAAAATGGTCTCCTAAGACAACCTCCTGCAGGTGTTGAATTCTCCACTTTCACCAGCCTGATTTATTCCAACTTATTTATTATCAAATTCCCTACTTGCCTCTCGCCATGAGGTCCCAGGGCTTCTTATAACAATGTAAAAACACAACATTGCAATTGGTTAAAACAATCTGCAGTCAGAAAACTAGGGTGGGCACTGATCTCTGTTTGCTGCCTCCCTCCCCTTCGGACCACCTTTTCAAAGTGGTTGTGTGAATCAGGAAAAGGGGTGCAGAATTTGGATGAGGAAAGTGGGGTGAGCAAAGTCAGGCGGCAATGCAGGAGCCCCCCTGAAGTTTCCCTGAATGTTCCAGCTGGGAGAGGACCCCCCAGCTGAGCCTGACTGGGCCGAGGTGGAGAAATTGGGTGGCAGGCCTGGGCCAGGGGGCCTGAGGAGGGTCTTGAGGTGAGCGCCCCTGGTGCCAGCCTCTCCTCTTCCCGAGAAGAGGAATTTGTGGGCATCCCATGAAGCTGAACGATGGAAGTGGACCATGCAGAATTAGATAAACTAACAGGAAAGATTCGAAACCTGCAGGACCAGAGATTCTCAGAAGACGAGTAAATTTACGGACTATTTGAAAAGTAATTGTGATGAACAGATCACGCCAGTAGGTTTGCAAGAAGTTTGGTAAGGTGAATTATTTGGTATATTGCAAAAAAGACAATGAGGAGAATTTTTAGTTAAAGATAATTAAAGGTAATATGAAATTGAGAAATGCATAATAAGTGATAAGGACGGAAAATCATCGGAGGTGTTGACGGAAGTCCAAAAAATATTGCATAAGATGTGAAGCTTTGTTGTATGAATGTTAATTAATATGTTAAAAACTAATAAAAATGTATATATATACAAAGAAGCTGAACGATGGAAGATTTGGGACAGAGAAAAGGAAGCCCTTCATCGTGCAGCACATCGCCTGTGGAACTCCCTCCCACAGGAGAGAGCGAGGGCCACCAACTTGGGTGCGTTTAAAGAGAATGAGGCCAATTCCTAGAAAAGGAGAGATGGCTCTGCTCTGGCTCCAGGCCAGAGGCAGCAATGCAATGCTTCTGAATCCCAGTTGCAGGAGGGGAAATGGCTCTTGGGTTCGAATCCTGCTTGCTGGTGTTTGAACAGGAGTCTGGACTAGATGGGCGACTGGCCTGATCCTGCAAGCTCTTCTTAGGTTCCTCCTCCTCCTCCCAGGAGTGCCTGCTCCTTCCCTCCCTCCCCTCACCCCTCCTTCCGGGGCTTCCTCGCCCCCCCTCTGTTTATTCTGTGTGTGCAAATGTTTTCACACCTCATTAGTTTGGTGCTTAAACCCAATTACCCCCAACCCAAAGGAGCAGGGATGAGCCCCTATTGAAGACCCCAGCAGATGGCCCCTTCCCCAAAGGGAGCTTAATGACCCCACAAGGTCCCCTGGGGGCTCACTGTCTTGCCAGCAGGAAGCGGGAGGGAGGGGGGCATCTTCCCCTCGCTGGGTCATTTAACCCTTCGCAGGGAGGGCACCGCAGTCAATGGCAAAGGGGAGCCGGGAGGGGGGCATGTCAGAGGAGGCAGGCGGAGCAAGAGGGCAGAGCCCTGGCACACCCAGATCCCCTCTTCAAGGGGCAAACTCGCCACACTGCCAATCTGGTCTGGCAGGAGCCCAGTTGGAAGGGGGGTGGAGTGTGGATGCAGGATCCCCTCTGCCTGGGGCACCGACTGGGGGGGTCTGTGTCCCCACCCCAGTATTCTTTCCTTCTTTCTTTCTTTCTTTCTTTCTTTCTTTCTTTCTTTCTTTCTTTCTTTCTTTCTTAATGCTTTTTATTGGTGTTTCATTTAATGTTGTTGTTGTTGTTTAGTCATTTAGTTGTGTCCCCTTCTTCGTGACCCCCTGGACCAGAGCACGCCAGGCCCTCCTGTCTTCCGCTGCCTCCCGCAGTTTGGTCAGACTCATGTTTGTCGCTTCAAGAACACTGTCCCACCATCTCGTCCTCCGTCGTCCCCTTTTGCTTGTGCCCTCCATCTTTCCCAACATCTGGGTCTTTTCCAGGCAGTCTTCTCTTCTCATGAGGTGGCCAAAGTACTGGAGCCTCAGCTTCAGGATCTGTCCTTCCAGTGAGCACTCAGGGCTGATTTCCTTCAGAATGGAGAGGTTGGATCTTCTTGCAGTCCATGGGACTCTCAAGAGTCTCCTTCAGCACCAGAATTCAAAAAAGTTTCATTTAATACAAACAAACAAAATGCAGTAAAATTCAGCAGTCATTTACCCACATTCTTTCCCCACACTGCTGAGCATTGACTTCCTTCCCTCCCTTCAACAGGTTTTCTTTACTTTTCCGCAGTTACTTTTCCGCAGTTTCTTATTGTATCCAGTCCTATCTACATCGTAAGATTTATTTCAGTCCTGCCAGAGTCTTCAAATTTCTACAGTTATTATTTATGTACTCCATAAATTTACTCCAATCTTTTTGGAATTTTGCTTCCTCCTGATTTCGGATTCTACAGGTCAGTTTTGCTAATTCTGCATAATCCACCCTCTTCGTCTGGTACTTTCCATTTTGGGGCTCACAAAGTTCTGGCAGCAGTTGTAGCAGACATAAATCACCTTTGAACTGCTTTTTCTATTTCCTCTCCCATCAAGCCTAGCAAGAAAGCTTCCGGCTTTTTTGGGAAAGTGTATTTAAATATCTTTTTCAATTCATTATAAATCTGTTCCCAAAACTGTTTCATGTCCACCCCCAGTATTCTGCTTTCAACGGGGCACTGACTGGACCCATCCCCACTCAGGGTACACCTTTGTTTGCAATGCCAACCAACAGAAAACCCACCTGCGCCAGGCTGTTCAAATCCATATCAAGCGCTGATCCCACAGATGTGGGCCTCTCCCTTCTGCCCGTTTATCCTAGAACCATAGAACTGTAGAGCTGGAAGGGACCCCCAAAGCCCATCTAGTCTGACCCCTTGCAATGCTGGGGCCACACTCAAGGAACCCTGACAGGTGGCCCTCCAACCCCCCCTTAAAAACTACCAAGGGAGACCCCCTTTGTAGGGTGATGGGATGAGAGTCCTCCACCTTCCAACCAGAGATGAATTTGTGGAAGAGACTCCACCCCCCAGGGTACACCAGTCCAACCCCCTGCAATGTGGGAATCGGTAATCGAAAGTAGGTGAAGGCCCCCCTCCCCACAGAGGGGGGGAAACAATTGCCTAATGCCTTTTGACACCAGAGGTCAGGGGTCACAGTCAAGAGCTGCCCCCAACAGAGGTGGTGACCTTTCCATGGGGCTGAACCCTGGCTCCCTGTGTCTTGAAGCTGGGGCTCTGCTGATGCCCCCCCCCAGGACTGAGGATGAAGAGTGTCCCTAGTCCTGGGTGGGTGATGGTTGGCTCTGCCCCCTGCCGGGTGGCATCTGCTGCCTGCCCACCCCTCCTCTTCCTCCCCACCTCTCTGCATTGTGAACCCCTGGCCTCCCAGCCTCCCTTAGAGATGCCCCCCCTGCCCCTTTTAATCCCACCCCCTCGTGGTGGTGCCAACAGGAGTTTTCTCTCTCTCTCTGGCCCCTGTGTTGGGTACCTAAAGGGAGGAAGAATCTGTGGCCTCCTCCGAGACCTCTTTCCCAGAAGATGCCCCCCAGGCTCCCTCCTTGCTTTCCTTCACCTTCTCTGTCGGAAGAGGGTCTCCTCTCTGTTTACTGAGCTTGTTTTTACGCCACAGAATACGTCTCCTATTTACCAAAGGCACCTGTTGACCTTCCTTCCGTGAGAACAGCAGCCTTCCTTCAGGTGTAGAGAGGAAGTGAGCTAATCCAACTCTTTTCTTTCTTTAAAAAAATAATAATTTTGTATTGGTTTTACATAAAGGTTATACACAACAAACACAACATTTCCAAAAATAAAAAGCGGTTCTTTCAAACCTTGAGACCTCCTTCCTTCCCTCTATGGCTTCTATTTCTATATTTTGTTCCTGCATCTTTTAATGTAATCTATCTATTATATAATCATGGTTTCCAAAGTTCATGTTATTTTACAAGTGTCTTTGTATTCCTGCCAATGATTTCAAACGTTTACAGTGTTTCTCTCAAACATGTTAAAAAATTATTCCAGTCTTTTAGAAATACTTGATCTTCCTGGTTTCTGATCTTTCCCGTCAGTCTTGCCATTTCGGCAAATTCCATCAGCTTGCTCTGAGGCTCTTCTCTGGTCAGTACTTTTTCTTCTTTCCATCTCTGGGGTAGGATCCATCTACAGTCATACCTCATGTTGTGTCCGCTTCAGGTTGCGTTTTTTCGGGTTGCTGACTGCCGAAACCTGGAAGTACCGGAATGGGTTACTTCCAGGTTTTGGCAGTCGCGCATGCTCAGAAGCACTAAATCGCACTTTGCGCATGTGCATTAGCACCGAATTGCAACCCGCGCATGCGCAGACACGGGTTGCGAACGCTGCAGGTTGCAAACGTGCATCCCGCATGGATCACATTCACAACCTGAGCGTCCACTGTATTTTCTGAGTGGCAAGAAAGACCCTGAGTGACTGCTATGTGTCTCTGGGCTCCCTCCCAGTACAGTGGTACCTCAGGTTACAAACACTTCAGGTTACAAACACTTCGGGTTACAAACTCTGCTAACCCAGAAGTAGTTACCTCAGGTTGAGAACTTTGCCCCAGGATGAGAACGGAAATTGTGTGCTGGCAGTGTGGCAGCAGCAGGAGGCCCCATTAGCTAAAGTGGTACCTCAGGTTAAGAACAGTTTCAGGTTAAGAACGGACCTCCAGAACAAATTAAGTTTGTAACCAGAGGTACCACTGTACAGTGGTACCTCTGGTTGCGAACGGGATCCGTTCCTGAGGCCCATTTGCAACATGAGCAGAACGCAACCCACGTGTTCACTAGCGGCAATTCACCACTTCTGTGCATGCGCGTGACATCATTTTGCACTTCTGCGCATGCGCGAGTGGCAAAACCTGGAAGTAACCCTTTCCGGTACTTCCAGG